TCTCTGACCGAGTCTGCGATTCAGAAGCTTCGGGAGCATCCAATCATCACTTTGGACAGCCCCATCGTTCCAGCGTTGTACAATGCAGCAGCAAGAACCCCAAATTATTCCGTTCGGGTAAGGGCAATAGCTCTGATGAGGGTATGGCAGCATGTAGAGGGATTCGCAAACACTGCTTTAGTCGCTGATATACTCGAGGAAGGTCTCAAGATCGCCTTGAGAAAATTGAGACGAGAGATGATCGCGACGTCCCGTGCATTGCCTGCCGGTTTGATGTTCGTCCCCGCCACAGATGGGCAGACCTTTGTACGTATAGGGTACAGGATGTTTGGTGCTGAGCACGAACAGTGGCTAAGCCTCGAAAAGAGTCCCGCTCTCTTTGATGCTCTACCGTTCATACAATCTGCCAGTCAATGGTCATGTTTGCGATCACTTGGGATTGTCAAAAGTGCTGGGGCATAGAAGTGGTACCAGCAAGACGATGGTGTTAGAATATGCTTAAACAGAACAAGTCGAGTGACGCATGATGATACCACAGTTGGACACTTCACTGAGTGATAGGACGGCAAATGTCTTGTGCTAGCTAAGTAGATCCTCACAAGCATCGATACAAGTTTAGCCTTAGGTAACAGGTCTCATTCCTGACCTACTCGAATTCTGATCTCTGCTTCGATGCAGACTCATGAATCGCGAGGATGATCGAGTCCGGGGGTCATTGACGGTAGCTTGGCTGGTGTACAGGTTCGCAAAAATTGTTGACGAGTTGTCTTAGATCTTCAAATGCTATTTTCCATTATGAGCTTGGAATTTGAATCCGGATCAATGTTGTTTTTGGCACCAGCTCCCCTTCCTTACCACCCCTCCTTTGCCTAGATTTATGCACAGCGGTTCAGACAATGACAGCCACGCTACAGGCACTAATGCACTAATGTAGTGAGGTGGTGCTGGTGTGGGAGGCGCAGATTGGGCACCCGAAAGTACTGTGGCCTGAGCTTGCATTAGTTTGTGCTGCACTTTTCCAGGTCCTCACCGCTGCAAGAAATTGAGGTTGGGCGGAGCCGTCTTACAGAAACTCTTCAATACTCAAGTCAAAATTACAGCGATTCCTGGCACCATGAAACAAGATTTTGTCTGCTGAAAAATCACTTCGAAGAACCTGAGCAGATCTGTCTAGCATTGCGAGCTGTCGAGAGCCACGGCTTGGCAATTAAAGTGGCAGGCTTCCAAATCAAGGAAGTGTGTACGAGAAGGACTTTTTGAAGAACTTGTATTGACCACTGCCCAATTCCGCAAAGGGTGGCACGTTTTAGGTGCCTATAACAGGCCCTGGGACGAATGTTTCTTCATTCCCGAAGTTAACACTGGCGATTGCAGGACGTTCTCCCAGTCATGAACCAACTCCGTATTCAGGGTGCTCAGCCTGACTTCACCGCCAGCTCGAGCAATCATCTCGTCTTCGTATTCCGTGACTGCAGTAGATTGGGGCTCTACTCCTGATACAAATCGTTGAATGGCTTCAACCAGGTAGGCTGCATCTGTGATGGAGTGGTTCAAGCCTTGGCCGCGCTGATACGTCATCGCATGTGCGGCATCGCCAGCAAGTGTGACTCGTCCACCGTGATTATCCCAGCGATGGTCCTGAGCGCCCGGATCGAAATCCGTTAAGCCCATGTACCATACTTCGTGGTCATCATCCAACCATTGGAAAGCGCTCTTCCAAGGGTCCGCAAATTGCCTGGCGAACTCCTTAACTTGCGTCAATCTTTGAGCGTTAGACCAGTCAGCTGTCCTCTCCTGCTCCTGATAGGTTGACTGCCACGATATGTAGAAGAAGAATGTCCATGATTCAGGTCGATCGGGATCTTCCACCTCATGCATTCCGAAGAAGGCAAACTGTCCGGCTGGATTGATTCCTGCTAGGTACAGAGGATGGAATTGCCGCAAGAAGCGAGCCCGCTCCGCGCTAAAGCGTGCTTGTACGAAGGTCGCACAGTAGGGAAGCGGACGAATTTGCCCTGTCTGTGGGAGCATTAATTGACGGATAGTCGACCGAGCTCCATCGGCTCCTATAACAATCTTCGCTGTGAGGGATGTTTCATCGGTTAGTCGCACGGTGGCATATTGACCATCCTTGGAGAAGTTGATTCCCTGGACCCGCTTATCGTATCGAACGTCCAGGCCGGTTGCCAACAATTCCCGTAGTTTACGGCGACGCAGTCGGTTGAAGAATGGAGCGGGAATAGAGGCCATGTTCTCCCCTGTCGATCCATTGATAAAATTGAGCGCATCACTCTTGCTTGGAGAGATGCTTGGGTCTACCTGCACGGACTGTATCTGCTTCCACAGCTCGTCCGGGATGAGACTTTTCAAGGACTCAGCGCCCCAATGCAAACCCATATTCCAATCTCTAGGGTGAGAGCCGATGCTAGACTGTCTCTCCAACAAGACGCAAGGTATATGAGCCTGAAGACATGTTTAGCTTCAGCCCGGCTTGGTGGGTTTGCAGGTATGTTGTAAAGCAGGGTTGGTACCTTTTTCAAACCTTGTGCCAGGGCAAGTCCAGTCGACCCTGAGAGTGAGAGGATTAGCTCCCATTGCTAGATTGGCCGATTCAATTGCGGTATGTTGGCCTGAGGTCAAGCTGTTGAGGTAGCCTTACCTGCACCGACGATCAAGACCGTAGTAGTGAGCTTTGGCTCGGACGTGGTCGCCTCCCCGGGCTTAGCCCCTAAGAGCGTCCGGAGCCATTGCACTATACCCATGCTCAAAGGGAAGTAGTCTGAGACAATGTGCACACGTAGGCTAGCGGAAATAAGAAGGGCAGCGAGAGGCGCCAACTTTTAATTCTCGATAGGCAGATGCAAAGTTTGAGAAGCGACCCAAGGAGAAGGGCATTGTCCAGCTGTTATTGCAGCAATCGATCTCCCGGTGCAGCAGCCATTCGTCAGCCATGGGCCCGGGTTCCCGTCTCTGGTGGAGAACAGGAAAGGACTCCTGCCTGATACAAGGGAAGACATATTATCCAGTGAAGGAGTACCTTCAATCAGATTACTGAATGCAGCTAGGAGCGCCATGGGCGCGGAGCGGCTCTGATGGACTCTCCGCCATGAAGGAGGGAAGGCCTTCCCTAATACGAGCGTCCGAGCGTCCAGCTGATTCATGGTTCAGGAAATTTTGGCATCGATTCTCTCGTTCTCCGTCTGGACCACTGATAAGCGGGAACGTCATCGCGGTGGGCTGCCATGCTTTTTGGCGATGCTCGAGTGTCTGACCCTCGGACTCACCCCCGCATCTCTCATTGCACCATCGGACGATGCACAAGGAATCGGGATGACACGGGATGGCTGCAGATGCAGGCCATAAATTGGGAGCGAGATGGATTGAGGGGGGAAACACTTGTGTCGAAATGGTTTAAAGCTTGCAGTGAAACGTGGGAACCGGGTGAAATTGTACCAGAACTTCTTCAGAACTTCAAAAGAAGGCCGTTGACCAACCGGTTGGAACGAAAAGTGGGTTCAGAATGGAGCCATTTTAGGTTCCACGGCAAATCCAAGACATGTGCCGGGTCAGAAGTGCGGGACAGACTACTAGGGGACTAAGATAGGGGGGGGGGATGTGGAAATATGCACATCACCACTATCATTAATCATTTATCATCATTGATGATGGTTCGTTCATCCATCACCCTGACCCGAGTCGATGGCGCGGTGCGAGAAAATCAGGAATCCCGGTCGGAGAAGGTCAAATTTGGGCAAGTTGGGAATTCAATTCTTCAGGCTAGTCAGCACTAACTTCCACTAACTAATGGGGGGGACGTTGGGGGGGGGGGGGGGGACCACTAACCTGGTTTGGGGGTAGCTGATTACTTTAGTGGGATATAAAGTTAGGTTGAATATTGATAAATGGGGTCATCCTTGTCAGGGAGTGGTTGAAGGAGCATAAAGGGGAATGAGTTGTCTTTTCTTGGGAGGGAGGAGAAGGCGGGTGTAGGTACGGAGTAGGAGTAGAACAGATGGGGAGGGAGGTTAGCCTGCAAGTTCAGGCTACTACGGAGTACCCTCTCAATTCTCATCCAACTCCTTTTCAGTGAGCTGGCGCTGTACTCAACGCTGTATGTACTCCGTACTGTCTCCGTACATCTACATCCACCACAGTGAATAGCACCTTCCCAATTGACCTAGACTCTCTCATCCCTGGAAACCGTCCAGGAAACTCAATCATGCACCCACCACCCAATCACACACTCGAAAGTGGACTCACCGCCCCTCCTTTGCATCATGTGATTTTCAGCAAAAGCCTGAAGCATCTGGCCTTCAGCCTTCATGGGCACTCAAGCACTGCAAGCACTGCAATCACTGCAAATCATCCATCCTATCCTTACTAAGTCCGGATAGCAACTAACTAACTAACTAGTCATGCACCAACTGCGGCTTCTCTCTTCCTTCCGATCTTCTTCTTCTTCCACCAACTCCAATTCCCTCCTCCAAATCTAATTTAATTCTTACCTTTACACATTGTTCTCCTAGTGTGGGGAAGCAATGGTGGCAGCACCAGATGATCCGTTTCTAATCTCATGCCTCTTTCTTCTCTTTCCTTTCCTTGATCCCTTCTAACCCAGAATCCACCCCCCCCCCCCAAGCCTCAACTTGCTTGTCACCTCCTCCCTCCCCTTGTCATTTGCGCAAGGTATCCCCTCCCTCGTGGACTCGAACTATCCCTCTGCGTTGTCAAAGTAGTCATTCCTTTCTTGCCGATTGGAATACTCTTCGTATGATTACCGGTTTCAAATATCTATAAATTCAACTATCCGTGGACCGCCTCCTTCCCCCGGACGGAGTCGATCTCCGCAATCCGATCTGCTAGACTCCTTCCCGATCGCCGCCATGACCCCCCCATGTGAGGAAGAGGATGGACGTGCATCAACACACCCTTTTCTGCCCGATGATACTCAACGCCATAACCCTTCCTCCGACCTGTCGGGCCATGCGACTGACGAAGAAATGGAGGACGATGATTCGGCTTATGGCGAGGATTCCCTGATCGGAGACGACACCGTCACCCTGTCCACCTATATCACCGACTACCGATTCGAGTACGGGCGTCGGTACCACTCCTTTCGCGATGGCGCATACTGGGTAGGCTGGTCCGACTTCAGAGTGATCCGATTGCGCCCCGTTGCGGACTGACTGACCGATTGCGGGTGCGAGTGACAGGGCCCGAACGATGACATTGCGAACGAACAACAAGACTTGGCCCATCATATGTACTTTCTGACCCTCGATGGGAAGCTCCACATGGCTCCCATATGCAATCCGCAGGTACTGTCTGTCGTTACCTGAGTCACTTTTTTTCTTGTGTATAACAACAGAACATTGTCTGACCGATTACCTGCACAGGAAATCCTCGACGTGGGAACGGGAACCGGCATTTGGGCAATGTGTGTTATGCGACCCAAAAGCTCTGTAGGAGGCAGTGACTGACGACGAGCTCATCCTAAACAGAGATATGGCGGATGAATACCCCAGCGCCAAAGTGACGGGCGTGGACCTTTCTCCGATCCAGCCGCTGTTCGTCCCACCGAATTGTGTCTTCGAGATTGACGACGTGACCCTTCCGTGGACCTACGACCCTAATCATTTCGATTTCATTCACGTGCGCGAGCTGTTCGGATGCATTCCTGACTGGGACGAATTCTTCCAGCAATGCTGGCGTTGCCTCAAACCCGGCGGGTATATAGAAGTCGTCGAGCACTCGGTCGAGCCGATCGCGGACGACGATACCGTACCGGAGGACCATTTCTACCGCGTGTGGGGACAGACCGTACTCAACTCGGGGAACATGTCAGGCAAGACGTTCAACATCTGGGCCGAAAGCGCGACGCGACTGCGGCAGGCTGGATTTGTCGATGTGGTGGAGAGACGCTTCCAATGGCCCATGAATGCGTATGTTTGACATCCCTTCACAAAAGTAAAACCCTATGCTGATAATTATCCCAGGTGGAGTTCCGATACCAAGTTACACGAATTAGTGAGTAATACAAGCCTTACATCCTCGGAAATTTGCTCACCTCTTGTCAGGGCCGCTGGAACCAACTGCGCCTCCACGCTGGGGTTGAAGGTTTCATGCTCCGTCTCCTCACAACGACCCTGGAATGGTCTTACGAGCGCGCGCAAGTCTTCCTCGCGCAAATGCGCCAGTCCCTCCGCGACTTCGAAACACATGCCTACCTCCCGGTGTCAGTCGTGTACGCTCGTAAACCCGCTTCAACAACCAATCCCTCTTTCTAGGAATCTTTCTTTTTGCTTCTCTATCTCCTGCATTGCATCGTCCCAGACCCTTCGGTCAACTTATATCCCTTTCAGTGCAAGCGTTATACCCAAGTTTTATTCCTTCGAGCGATTTTCTTCTGTTATGACAGACATGTGGATGTGTATGTACGGATCGGCTTTGCAGGGTTGTACCTTATCGATGTCGTGGATTGAACTGGCCTGTTTGCAACGGTGTCGGAACCCTTGGATACATTGGTATCAGCACTAACGTAGGCTCTTATCGAGTGTAGAAAGTAATCTATCAGTCCCGTTGCTGGTGGTCGGTAGCTGTGGCCCTAATGTCCCCGAAGCGTCCGTCACCTTTCATTCGAATGCTCGATTTGACCAAAGCGATACATAAGGTACTAGTCATGTACCACCTTAGGAAGAAGAACCGAGGCGGCCTTGTCTTCCTCGATGCCTCGCAAAACTGCCAAATACAAAACCCGCGGCCGGGAAACTCCTAGTCCCAGCTGTCCATCCTCCCGCCGTCAACAGCCATCGCGGCATATATCGTATGTAGTGTACGGACTCTCCTGTAGCTCTATACCCCCAGTCCATAGTGGAGAAAAGGGCCTCCCTCGGAGGTGAAGGTTGCAAATAGTTTATAACATTTTTTCCGGAGGATTAACTTAGATTTTCATAAAGAAAATGAGGTTAAAATGTCTCGAAAACTATGAATGCCTGTTTTGAAATGTGTAAACGATAAGTCATGATATGATGTAAGTAAAGATGAGATAGGGGTTATCTGTAACCTTGCCAGAGAGATTTCAATATTGATCTGCAACTCATTGAATCTCTCAAGGATCTCAGCGCTAACTGGCTGCCAAAACTAGTGTTATATCTTATTACAACTCTGACCCTCTCTCTACTCTCCTATGTTTGATGAGTCCCAGTCTCGCCGGGTATTATCCAATCGAGGGTTCAAGCCTAACTGTCTACATTGCTACTTCATTCTCTAGTAGACTCTTCGCGTGAAGCTTTCGGGTTTGCAAGCTCATCACGTATTCGGAACCATGAACCCTGATCCATGATGTGTGTGATGTTACAACAGGCGGGAAATGTGCCGTACAGGGTCCTCATTGAGGCTCGTTGCAATTAACTTAGTTATGTCCTGGTATTATACTCCAAATCTTACAGTGATCCACACACAGGGGACATGATACAATTCTCACTTATTGCGTAGACTTGGCCGCTTTACCCAAATCACCCATCAACTGACAGAGCCCCTGGACCAGTGGAGGAAGTGCTTCGTTTGAGGCATCCGCCCGCAGAAGCCCCTGCGCCACATCCATTGTCTGTCTCGGATCGGATACAAATGCAGGTCCCTGTGGCCCCTGTAAAGCCGGCGATCCACATCCCAGCGAAATGAATTTCTGCACCTCCGTCGTCTCTTCCCCGTCGAGATACGTGGTGGGAAATTGGTTGTTCCGGGGATTCAGGCCCAGCGATCGGCTGCCACCGGCCTGCCCGGTCGACTTCACGCTCTTGGCTTTGGAGACTACACTGTAGGACCAGAAGGCCAGACTCGCGTAGTACACCCCAACGGCCAGAAACCCAGTGAGTGATCCGGGTGCCATGGCTTTAGCAGCGCGAATAACTTGACCCGCGTGCCACACGGCGCGCCGCGAGTCGCTGCTCTCGATCCATTCGAGGGCACTGTGGTACACCCGACGAGCCTCTCTTTTGTCTTCCTTGCCAGCAAAGAGCTGAAGTTCTTCGAGAGACATATACAAGAACATGGAGATCACTTCGTGGACTAGGAACACCTCAGGTCCAGGAAACTCAGACCATTCGTAACAGACCATACGGAAGTGCTGCAGGGCCTGTGATAGCTCCTGGTGCCGAGAGCTGATTACTAGCCCATTCCAGTGCTTGGAGCTTCCCTTGGAGATGAAACTGAAGCGGTGATACTCAGTGACCATCGCTGCTAAGCCGTGCAAAACGACGAACCCAGCCAATTGTGAATCAACACGTGTCTGCAAGCGGGACATGTCTCTCATAGCATCGACCAGTGATGGCAGTCGCTCCCGGCCAGTCAAACCGGAGGCCAGGTAAGCATCCCTCCACTCCGTTGACGACTTCGCTTCCCACAAGGACCGGATAGAAGGAAGGGGAAGTTCCAGCTCCGCATACGAGACGAGAGGGTTGACATTCAGCATCAGCGCGGCTTGAGCGTCATGTAGAAAGAGATGGTGTACCAGTCTAAGCTGTCAGCAGAGTCTTTGAAAAGCGATTCACAAGACCTACCGCTTGAATGACTCCAGCTCCGCCCAATCCCGCCACTTTTGTTCAAGTTCCTCTGGAGTATCTGCGAGACTAGGGACGATTACTGTATACACAGATCGTCGAAGTCTTAGGGCTCTTCTGAGCATCTGGGAAGTGTTAGCTTCGAACAGCGCCTCAGCATATTGCGAACGAACCGTAAGTAGAGGCTGTTGGAAACTTTCCGCAATCTCTGTCCTTCGACCGTTTCCGCTCCAGAGTCCAATATCTAGGACCAAGGCGAATGTTTGAGAAGCTCGCAGATCACGAGTCGTCCGGTTATCAGTTTCGTACTACCTAGGTCAACGTCTACCTCCGGGGACATTTTCGTTACCTCAAGCATACCTTATCTGAAATCTGCAGTCGCACGATCTCCAGTAGTGCGTAGCCCAATTTGCGGATAGTTGGAATAGTGGACCTTGTTGCTTCCGCGGCGGCGATGGCGGTAAGGGTGTCGGAGCTTTGTTCATTGATCCGGAATGTTGGGCCGTGTATGTAGGAATCGACCTGCCGGCTCTGATATGCAAAGTAATCCTGTATCAGTCCGTCCAAAAGCTCTGTGCTCGGAAACGACTTCATGATTCGAAGCGGATTGGCTTTCTGGCTGGCCTGCAGCACCATTCCGAAAATCAGATCGCGGCTCCCTGCCGACAGTCGTTCGGAAAGAACTCTCCGTTCGGATCGAAGACTTGTATCGGGGCTGTCGATAGTCCCGGGGATAGCAAGATCGCCTTGGTGTGCGAATGCATTGTCGCTCTGCGCAGGCTTCCACGCGGACAGTGAGGAACGCTTATAAGCTTCAGCGCCCAGCGCAATCCCACTCTCCACATCCACCCGGTCATTGGGTGCCTCAGGAGCGGGGGGTGCATGATGTGTGATCCCTTGGGAGTTGAAGTATTCGAGAAGTCCAAAGTCTATTTCGGTGAGATCGAAGTTGAATGGTATGTTTTGGTCGAAGACCCCATAAGCATACTCTTGGGTGTGGTTCAACAATGGATCCAGATCCGGACGTGAGAGAGAGGTGATCAGAGAATCGGGGATGAATTCCGGGAAAAAGGTTCCATCGATGCTAAAGATACCACTTTCGTGGTCCAGGCTGGGAGAAATTGCTAGCAGGCAGTCCGTCAGCTGACACCCAGTTAAGCGAGATGGGTCACGGTACCATCGTAGCTGGTGGTCAGTGGATCCTCCAGCGGAGCCGAATCGGGTGCCTGAGGCAGGAAATTACTGACTGGGAAATCCGGCGTGGCGAACGTAGGGTCGATGGGTGGCGGCAACTCATTCATGATGGGTGCTGGCGAGGGAAAGATGCCTTGTGTCTGAGGGGTTTCGAGGCACATTTCCGTCTCGTCAGGCTCATCGTATGCTGGTGGGAGTTCAGCCGGGGTGCCTGGCTGCTGCAGATCCAGTGCATAGCAGAGCAACGACAGACCTTGCGATGATGAACCGGGAGACATCTCGCCGGGATTTGCCTCCTGCCAGTCACACTCCAGCTTCTTGTCTCGGCACCGTCGGCAAGGCTTCTCCTCGTCACACTTGAGCTTTGACGTTGCGCATGCTCGACAAGCTTGGGAGACACGGCCACTCTTGGCGAAGACTGGCGGCCGTTTTCTCTTGCCGTCGCGGGGTTGATCATGACCTGCGGCGTGACGTTTCATGAGATCCCTAGATGAGGTCAGTAATGTAGCGACCCATTAAGAAAAATTGAGTCCGCTTTGGGCCGGCGAGCTTCTCGATCACTGGAAGCTCACGGAGTTCATGAGTTTGCGACAAAAGGAAAGAGGGCGACGTACGGTCTAGCGAAGCCTTTGTTGCAAATGTGACACACATAGGGCTTCTCTCGGGTATCTACAGAGCAGTTAGTCTTCTTCGTGCGAGCTCGAATAACAAGGACTTACGCGACCGAACATGGCGGATTAAATGGTCGGCACGGTTATAGTGTTTCTTGCAGAAACCACATTGAAAATAGCCGTCGCGGGCTTTTTGGGCTGACCTTGAGGGAGATTGCACGGAGGTAGATGGGGCAATTTCAGTAGGTGGTTCCTCTAACATTGTTGAGAATTTGACATGATGGTGTGTGTGGTGGAGGGGAGAGTGAAGGGGATGATGAGCGTACAGTGGGAGGGGGAAGGGAAAATGTTTCAAGGTTGGGTGGTTCAGGATCCGGGGAAGGAACAGGCCGGGTCAAGTGCATTGCGGGGAAAAGGACCCACTCGACTCCGTAGAACTCGGCTGCCTTACTAATTCGTGCTCGTACACTTCCTCGAACTACTTGCTATGGTTTCTAGCCTGTTTAGAACTTGTTGACCACAGGTGGTCGATTGCACGGTCGATTGGCCCATTGACCCATCTTCGACACATGACTCAGCGAGAATTAATCTCTCATTCTGCCTGTCTGTATTGCACAGTAGATCTGAACCAACCCAGTCGAACCGAAACCAGCCGATACAATCGACCTGAAAAGTTCCGAATGCACGAGAAACAGACCAAGAGGTAAGCGACGACGATCTCAGCTCTTAAACCCAAAGCATTGACCGGTGCTGGCTGATTAGTGCTCTCGGGGAGAAAAATGCTGACGCTGAACACCTCGCTTCGGGATGTGGAGGCACATCCCGGCCACAGCCTGCCCTGGCGGCGGCGGCGACATACGCTATCCACCAGACCATCTCCACTCAGCCTCTTGGACTGCGCTTTGATCGCGCGATACAATCATCCAAGAACGGGCAAAAGACACTCCACAGACCAGCTCCGTCTGGTACCGAAGCGTAGTTGCTATTCTGCTTTTTGATGGTTCATCACAGCAACAAACACGAAGCCAGGCCCGGTACACTTCTTCTTACATGGGTCGCCAATGATGCTCAACTAGACCGCCAAGCCATTGGACTACTGGCGACGCTGTGGCGACGAAGAACTAAGGAAATGGCAGGAAGGCGATTTTCATCCTGGCATTGTAAGCAGGACTCACTACTATACGGCACGGCACCTTGAACACCAATAATACTACCTAGCTCCTCGGCAACACTAGCGCCCTCAGTCTAGCTCCCACTCTGATTTAGCTCAATCAAGTATCTCCATACTAGAGCGCCCGCTGAACCAATTCCTCCAACATCATTTCCATATCAATCAACTGGGAAGGAGTAGAACAATGTGAATCTGTGTTTGGAGGAATGACGGGAAGAACAAGTGTAAAAGATAAAGATACTGCAAGATGATATGGTATATTTAAACCAGAGACAGAACTAATAGAAACACGATTCACGCACGCAGTCGCTTGATAGCAGAGAAGCCATAGAATCCCATCGTCGACACCGTAGCCGCCAGGGAGAAGAGAAGAATCACTCCGCCCGTGATGATGCCTTGTTCGAAGAAACCGATCTTCTTGCCGGCCCGTTGGCCGATCGCAGGCAGCGGCGCCAGATTTTCCGCCCACACCTGACTCCAATTGCTATTCTTGGTGTTCAGGACTGTCTGGGTGAGTGCGGCGTTACTTGTCGGAGTAATAAGCTGTGGCCGCGGCACCTGAAGTGATAGTGTCGAGTAGCGAGTGTCAGAGGTGGGGGGGAGGTTGGTGGGATAAGCGGGCCCAACTATAACTCATCAACTTTATGTCGCACAAATGTTCAATATAAACATACTCAGCATATCAGTGGGAACATGGTTGACCCAGGAAATATAAGAGTCAATGAATTGGGTCAGGTATTTGGCGGACGCCGGGGCCGCAAAGGCGTATGTCGCAGCAAGAGTTCCGCGTCTGCGACTGTTAGCTTCGTTTGCTTCCTGCTTCAGAACGAACCGATGCAACATACGAAGTACTAAAGTCAATGGCATCATCCAGACTGGTTATCGGGTGTAGGATCAGCACTTTCTCAGCGACCTTTCTCTGTAGCAGGGGAGATTTCCTGAACAATGTTTAGCAAGCAGCCTGAATTTCCACCGCCTCTCAGAGACCTACCGATCCAGCACTTCGACAACTCCCCACTCGGATCCAGAAACTAGAACGCGCGAGCCAGCGTCCTTATGCGCCGCGTCGAGCAACGAGGCTCCCGGACTCGCGCGGCGAGGGTTCGCGACGGTCTGTCGCGCCTCGCCATTCTGGCCGCCCAGGTACTTCGACGACCGCTGAAGCACCGCTTCCACAAACTCCTTCATGACGAATTCCTGCACGAGCACCACATCGGGCGAGTATGGCGAGCGACCTCCAAAGGTCAACCGCGCCGCGACCAGCGCCTCCGCCGCCACCGGCACGTCAGCAGTGCGGTCGACTACGGCGACCGTCCGAGCTGTGCTTGGAGAAGAGATACTTTGGCCGGAGGTTTGGCCTGCATCACCGTTCTGATTGAGTACTACCACCCGGCTCAAAAAGCTCGCATCGGGTCTATCTTCATTAACGGCGAAGGTATCTGCATCCAGCGCGGGCGGGAGGATCTTTTTCAGTAGAGCAGGCAGGGCCATAGTGTTTTTCGTCAACTACCCCCAATCATCGGTTAGTCGTCTCTCCCCTTTCTGTCAGAACAAGCTGTAAACACACCTCCAGGATAATGCAGTTCCCTGCCGCCAGCGCCGCACTCAACGCCGAGACAACAGAGAAGAACATGGTGTGCGTGCACGGGACGATGTAGACGATGCCCGCGCCACGCTTGCCATCCCGGTTATCTTTCCCATGTGCAACCCTATACTCTTCCTCAAGGTCTCTGCTCAAGTCCAGCGAAGCATAGTGCGTACGGACCTCCTTCAATGCCAGACAGATCTCGGCGCGGACTTCCTCGGGCGCATGGCCCGAGTCAGTGAGCAGAGCGTCCTTGATCTGGTCAACGTGCTGGACGAGGGTAGACTGTAATCGGTGGAATTGGTTCTGACGGTATCGGATGTTCTGAGTGCGGCCGTCGATTTCCGCGGACAAGATCCGGGGGAAGTACTGTGGTGCAACCATTTTCGTCGATGATGTGAGAGACAATGTTTGCACGAGGCCTTGTGAGAACGGGGTAAGGATATAGCCATAAACAAGATCTGGGGAACGAACCGACCTCAGCTTCGGAGATAAGCTAGCAGCAGTTGATTCCCTTCAACTATGTGGACATGAATGGTCCAGTCGGATCAATGGGCCGCAGTCGAGGTGCTGGAAGATGGGGGATGGGCATGGGGTTCGGGATGTGGAGGAGGCAAGAGATGCGCTTTGGGGCGACCGATTGCCTGCCGAGGTTTGATGCTGCAGCATCCAGCATATCACCCTGACTCCAGCTATTCTGTAACTATCTCACCATAATCAGTTTCCCCATCATTGCCTTCCCCACACAATTATCATCACCATGTCGACGACCTCCGCGACCACCATAAGAACCACCTCCTCCACACGGGTTGGTACTGTATCTGTGCTATCGGATTATGAACTGCATCACTCAGGCGAGGCGACCCCTTCACCATCACAAGAATCAACGTCCAGCACGACATCACCCGCACAGCCCGCCAACTGGCCCACCGACCATCGCCGGGTGCCTGCCTACCGTCCGGTCAACCGCGAGCTGAATCTGAGTGAGCGACAGGCGGGCGCGAACAGAGCCGAATTTGTGTTCATTCAGACCATGCTACACGGTGTTTGGCTGAACGCGGTAAGTCAGATTTGACTGACAGGCATATCGAGCACAGCTAATGAGGTTAGGTCGTGTCACGAGTCTGGCATGCGACTGGGGGGAAGATCAACGACAAGATCTTTCACTACGAGATCGGAGGAGAGTGGTAGCGTTGATTTCACGGGGTATGCGAGGACTGCGATACAAACATGTCAAGTCTGGGAGTTATACTATTTTTTGTCACAGAGCAATACAATGCAGTTCATTCAAAACAAGCTCTGTCATCCAGTTGAGCTCGTCTAGTGTGAATAGCCATATAGGTGCTCCTCCGAGACCAGAACTCACCTGGAACGTCCAACAGCCCTTGAAACCTTCAGTGATCAGAACGACGCATATACCGATAACTATATCCCAGATCCAATCAATTCTATAGTTCAGCCACCCAGCTCTCTTGGAATGTAGTGCAATACCTACATCCAGACTGTGTTCTCCTACAGCTCCCAATTCCATATACATACTAAAACAACATGCGCAACACACAAGAATTTATCAAAGCAAAAGCACGTCTTGATTTTCACAACATCTATCCTCAACATACGCAAAACCAACCATACATGCAGCACCAGCAACCATCCCCTCAAACCCCCTTCTATACCCCCTCGACCACAACATCAACCCCCCCCTCCCATCCCCAATCTTCCCACACCGTCTTCCACTTCCCAATAAAACCCATAAGAGAATCAAGTACTCCCCCTGACCTCAATCCCCGACACATCCTCCAGCAACCCCTCCCCCCTCGCCGGCGCAAGCACATACAACATGCGCGCCCAGCCTTCCACCCTCCCCCCATCCGCCCCCACAGCATCCGGGGTCACGTTCCGCCACGCGTGGTTCGTGCCGCGCTGGACGGCCACATCCCCGCGCTTCAGCAGCCTCGTCTCCCCGGAGTCCAGCACCAACTCGACCTCGCCCTCCAGCACGACCCCGTAGTCCAGCGAGACGGTGCGGTGCATGGGGCTCAGCGCGTGCGGCGGCATGTCCACGATCCGGCAGACGGTGCCCGTGCTGATCGTGATGCCGGGGGGGTGGGTGAGGTAGTGGTTGTAGGCGGGGATGTCGCGGTCGGCGGTCAGGTCCACGGGGAACGTGTCGGTGGTGTACGCGAGCGAGAACTGGGCGCCCGCGGAGTCGTTGATCTGCTGGAGGGGCATGGTCTCGGGCAGGGCGGTCGAGAAGATCGCTTGGCCCGTGGTCGGGGAGTGGGTGGTGATGTAGCGGTTGAGGGGGCGGATGTTTTTGGGGGCCGTGGTGCTTGGGGCGGTTGTAGTGGCCATTGTTGCTTGTGTTTTTTGGTTTTCGAGGTTTGAGAGGTTGAAAAGGAAAGAAAGGGGTTGTTGGTGGTGGTGGTTTGGTAGGCTGGGTTTGGTTGTAGTAGTAGTAATGGAATTGTGCGGTTGGCTGTTGGGTCTGTTCAAGACAAGTATGAGGAAATTGGAGATTGTATAGGGATCGAGCGAAGGTGCCACTACTTGAGCTATATGTGTGTTTGTGTCTATCGTTCTTGCTCTCTAACATCCTACTTACTGAGTATACCAGTCATAGTTACCGGCCATACTGCGGGGAACGCTCTCGGGTGCGTTTCGGGACCACATCGGGTGAGGGGCTCAGCATCAGTTACAAGCGTGTGTAAGCAATCAATCAATTCAATTGTTTGGTCGGTCGACTTCCATCCCCACCCCCAAGTCCATGTTTCTAAGTCTGACAATCTACTCCCTCGGAGGAATGATCGGCAAAGTCACATAGTTATCCCCATGCCCGAAATTGATGTGGTTGAATCCCTGGAACTTTTCCTCCGACCGGTCGACAGGCGAATTATGCTGGAACAGACCGGACCCCTGCGTATCCCCCGAGGACACCTCAAAAACAATCTTCCCTCCCTTCTCTACCACCACGTTGGTCGGCCACACCTCCACATCCACCGCGTACACCTCGCCCGGAACCACCGGCAGCACATCGGTGGAATAATAGTCGCGATGGGGCAGCCAAGGCCGGTTGCGCGGGTGCTCCGCGTTGACCTTGCGCAGACTGACTCGCTGCCAGCCTTTGCAGAGAGGGACCGGATCCCCTGCGGTGCCGGTGTAGAAGACCTCTTTGCCCTCCGGGGAGATATAACGCAGTGTCAGGAATAGGTCGATGTCTCTGGGCGTCGGACGCCCGGGCTCTGGGCTCATTGATACGTTGAGGTGGGCCACGATGTGACCGGTGATTTCCGTTTCCTGCTCGAATGGTGCCGTTGTGAACTGCACCAGCTGTGGCTCATCGAGGTTACCTAGAGCACGGTACGTGACCTTGGTCGGTCTCTCCTTGGGGGCTTCCGTCACCAGCTCCTGTTTCGAAGTCAGGTAGTAACGAGTATACTGGGTGCGTGCGATAGGCCACTCGTTCTCCTGTCGGCGTGGGTACTGCTTCTCAGCTTCGGCGTTGTTGAAACCGACATCGCCCTTGCGGAGAACCACATCAACCTTGGGAGCAGTGCCGTCCGCCCAACCAGCGCGATCTTCGCCCTTCAGGAACGCATCCAGAAAACTCCGCTGCACCTCCACTTCCTCCTTGTAGTAGAAAGGCAGATCGTGACGGCCCGTGATGAAGCGCAGGTACTTGAGTTCGCTGCCGGCTTGAGTGTACCCCTCGACGTTGCCGCGAAGATGCAGGAGGATACCACCCCAATTGGCGACCGAGAGAAGAGGAACCTGAATATCGGTCATGGTGTACTCCTTGCTAGCATAGTATACATCATCCCGGAAATGGTTGTTGACATTGTCGATCGTCTGGTCTTGACGGTTGGCCTCCAGTTCCTCCTCGGGGAGATCACCCTCGATGGTATCGGGGCCCCAATTGCGTGCTGCTCGACCGGGGCGTCCGTATTGATTCGATACGACCTGACGATCCCACCAGAACTTGATAAACTTGTTGGAAAGAATACCGCCGTGGCGACAACGGTCGCGGTAGTAGTCAGACATACCCTCCCAGGGAATAATGCAACTCAAGCCCTTGGGCTGGCGGGCGCTGACTCGCCATTGACTTCCAGCATAGTAGCTAATACCAAGCAAGCCGACTTTTCCTGTAGACCATGGTTGCTCGGCCGCCCACTCCACCACATCAAAGAAGGCCTCGCTGGTCTCGCGAGACATGGTGTCCAGCTTGCCGCGCGACTGGCCAGTTCCCCGCTCGTCCGCTCGAACCACAACGTATCCATTTTGGGTCCAGAAAAGGGGATCGGGTGTCTCCCATGCTGAGTGCTCTGAGCGATGCTCTGGATTGACTTCACTAAACGACTGAGGGTGGAAGTCTGCATAGGGGATATCCTTTCCGTAGGGGCCGTAGGTCACCAGCACGGGCGCCTTCTCCAATTCTTTGGGGCGGTAAACATTGCAGCGCACAAGGCCAGATTGATCTTTCAGGGGAATCGTGACATTCTGCTCGAAGACATAGGGGGAAGAACTATCGTCCACCGTGGCGAGGTCTTCGCGGATAGGGTTCGGCATGTTGTCTTCACTTTGCAAAGGCCTCGGAATGCGGCAATTGTTTCGTTGAAAGAAGAGAAGGTGATCCAGATTGATCTCGGTGGTACGTGAGATAAGTACTCGGAGACTCAAATACGCAGCTTGCCAATTGTAAGTTGGGGGCTGCTCTCCGAGCACTTGCTCATACACACAGTACACGCTCCGAACGTGGGGCCGAAATGGTGAGCCGAACCTGCGCGGGGGAGTTAAGTAAACCAACCCGAAAGGTGGGCGATAGTCCAAGCAACTTGGTATGCATGCTACTCTCCACGTAAGGGGGTGAACAGCGTCCACCGTTGTTTCTAGCATGTCAGTTTGCGGGCTTATAAAAAAGAGAGCAGGGCTGTCAGGCGGACGGTCTATATCCCCCGCTTCTCGACAACCTCTTTCATTGACGCAGCACGTTTATAGCGCAAAACGGGCATCATGGGCAGCATCGATCCGAAGACCGCCTCACAAGGAGGGCTAAACATTCTTATTGCTGGTGCTGGTATCGGTGGGTTGGCTGCTGCCATTGCACTACGCAAGCAGGGCCATCGCGTTCAGGTGTGTAAACTGACACTCATATTCGATTCAAACTAACCGCTTCCATGCAGCTTTTCGAGCGCTCTCGTTTCGCAAATGAGATCGGAGCTGCTATTCATCTCACACCTAATGCGAATTCCGCGCTGCTAGGTCTGGGTATTGATGCTGCCAAGTTTGGAGCCGTGGAAGTAGACCAGGTTTGTCGCGTGGAACATTTTACTCAGTAACTGGAAGCTCACCTTCCCAAAGCTGCACATCTATAATCCTGCTGGCAAGACGCTGGCAATTGTCGATCACAAATCACGGGCGGATAGGTGGCGAACTGTAAGAACAGCCCATTGCCCCATGTTCATTACAGTCTAACATCTATAGAAATGGTCTCTTGTGCATCGGGCCCATCTCCACGAAGGCTTGAAAAATGTCGCTCAGGGATCTGGTCCTGGCATTCCTGCCGAGCTGCATACTGCCAGCAAGGTTGTTGACATTGATCCAGAAGCTGCCACAATCACTCTCGAAAACGGCCAAGTCTTCCATGGTGACGTCGTGATCGGGGCAGACGGTGTACACTCACTTGCGAGAACGAAGCTGCCAGGCACCAAAGAGATCGAGCCCTTCAGTTCTGGCAAGAACGCTTTTCGCTTTCTCTTGTCGCGCAAGGTCGCCCAGGAAGACCCCGAGACAAAATCCCTGGCCGACATTCCCAGCATCTGTAGCATGTGGGATTCCCATGACAAGCGTGTGGTCATCTACCCATGTGCCAACAATGAGATTTTGAACTTTGTCTGCATCCACCCTGACACGTTGAGCAAGGTGAACACCGGCGCAGACTGGGATCAGGAGGCCAGTAAGGATGCTCTTTTGGAAGTTTACAAAGACTTCAAGCCAGAGGTGGTCAAGATCTTGGCCAAGGCTGATCCCCAGACACTTAAAGTATGGCCCCTTTTCGACATGCAAAAGCCGCCCACGTGGGTCAACGGTCGCCTGGCAGTACTGGGAGACGCCGTTCATCCGTTCTTGCCATACCGCGCTTCTGGTGGCGCCATGGCCATCGAGGACGGCGTGTCTCTGGGTGTGATGCTCTCGAAGAACCTCGACCCAGCAGAAGTCCCAGAGAGGTTGAAGCTGTACGAGGAAGCTCGATACACACGAGCTACCACGATTCAACAGATGACTCGCGATTCTGATGGCCCCCAGCCCGTCGACGAAAGTCAGTTCCTCCCCTTCCTCAATCCTGCCGTCCAAGGTTACTGACCTCATTTAGTCCGTAGAATGGAAGACTACATTTACGGGCATGACGAATATGATCATTCGACCAACCTCCTTCGAAAGCACATCTGGAGTCAAGGGGCGCCCAAGTACTGGCGTCAGCCAGTAGTGTTTGGGCCTATGCCTGGTCCCAGACAGGACTGGTACGGTCGAGATCGTGTCCAGAAATCGCTCAAAGCCACTTTCGAGACAGTCTCCATTCGATTTAAAACCAGTCGAACCTGCCTTCAGAACCTACTTCCTAACGACTCTTGGTCATTTGTGAATCAGGGTACAGTAGCCTACGCGAGCTTCTCCCAAACGAAACTCCACCGCATGGACTGGCTTGGTGGAGGCGGTTACCGCCACATCGGGCTGTACATCGAGGGAGTGCAGTATAAGAAGAAGAATGGTGAAACGGTTGAAGGCACCTATTTGCCGATTCTGTTCGAGAGTCTGACCGACCCTATCGTCAGCGGTCGTGAGGAGCTTGGCATGCCCAAGCTCTATACAGCAATCGATGCCCACGACCGTAGCAACTCGCACCATTTGACAACCAGCTGGCAAGGCGCCGTTTGGGGCCACTTCCATTTGGAAGATCTCGAGGATCAGGAACCAGAAATGAACACGAATCCTAATCCGTCCAGCGTGGGAATCTTGGTGCACCGCTACTTCCCTAAGGTCGGCCATGAGAATAAGGGAGTGCCCGAAGCAGAGTACCCTGTCATTGTGCCACATGCGGAGGAGGCCAAGGTGGTTCCCTCCAAGATCACCCGGTTGCGAACCACCAAGAACGCAAGGTTTGAGATCGATGGTCTCAACTGGACACAACTACCCACATTGCATCACATCATTTCTCGTTTGGCTGAGATTCCAGTAGACGAAGTTGTGGGTGCGAAAATTGTGGAAGGTGAGGGAGTGCCAGATGTATCAGTGGCAAAGCGTTTGGAATAAGTACTGCTTGGATCACATTGTCACGCAATAGTCACTATAATTGACCACACTTCTGTACTTATGCTTAGTCGAGCCACCGATGAAAAATCGAAGCATAGCCGCAAATCTCGCATGTTCTGCCCCCGCATAGCGGGGTAGGCCTCGAACCGTAGGGTAGGAAGTAAAGAAGTAGCAACATCCGCGCTTGCCAGCGTTGCGTTTGGACCATCAACCCCCGAGGCTAAGACGGTTACTTGACTGGGGTCCTGAGCACAGACTAGTCTGCAGCATCACGAAACAGGCAAACAGTGTAGTAACTTCAAGGTGGTATCCGTTCAGTACTAGTTCACACAGCTCATCTTCAGTCCATATGCTTAATCCTTGGCAGTGTCTGATGCAGTGATGCCAGCCACGAGGCCTATGATGGCCTCTTCTTTCGGGGCAGCATCTTGAGGTGAACCGCAACGTCCCGTAATTGTTCTTTAGGTTTTCGTGTAGTCACTTCGGGTCAATTCAGCAACTGGGATGCGATGAAAAGACCGCAAGCACGCTCGAGGTTGAGGTATAGACACAGCGATAAGCCTACATCAAACAGTAGCGTAATGAAATGTTTCATGGCTGACCAATGACTTACTTGCGAGCATTGACCGCATTGATAGCCTTCAATAGAGGAAAGGGGGATCCCAACTTGGAAAAAGAGAGAGATTTATGGATTGATCAGCTCGAATGCCATAGGCATCGCTCAGTTACCGGCCACTAGTTAATCGGGCTCGGGCTCATGATTACCAAAAAGGCTGTCGGCCAAGCCTGATGACAGGAGGGTTCGTTCATATGACCTGACACTATTTTCGCCTTCTTGGTGACTAGGTGATAGTAGTTACGAAGAAGATGAACTAGTTATAGTCAGCGATGGTCAGAAACACGATGACAGACATAGTGGTGTCAGGTCGAGTGGAAGATATACTTCTCTTCTTGGTGGTGATCATTCTGGGTCTAGAATGGTCTAGAACAATAGCGAACATGACCATAACTGTCTCCTTCATTGACGCTTGTTTAAATGAGATGAGATAGATGCAAAGTACAATGCTGCATTGAAAGGGCAAAGGAAGAACTCAAGCCCGAGCACTCATTCAATAGCTTGATGTAGAATGGGTTAGAGTTGTTTGGAGATTGGCATGTATGTATGCCCGGAATCTACGGTCGCAGGCCCGGGGGCCGATGGGTGGACGGATGACGCACCATGACTTGCTGCCTGTCGAATCAGGCCGGACGCCGGACCTCCATTCATTCTGCACTTCACCAGGAACCGTAACCTGCCCATCCCGCCTTCCTTATCACTCACTCACCCACTTACTCACTCACTCACTTGCTCAACTACACCTACACAATACAGTACTTCCTGCTATTTCTAAATATCCTACCTTTTTATTCCCTCTTATTATTCTAGGTTCTACCTTACCTGAATACCCTTAGACCTCTGCATCTTTCCGATCCTTTCCTCCCTTTCCTCTTCGGTCGTATCCTCCCCCGCCCGCGTCTTACTCCTCTTCTCTACAACACCACCTCTCCTCGCGTGCTGGTTCCCCGATTACCTTTCCCTGGGTCTCTACGCACTTCCATTAGAAATCAACCACACTTGGGACAGATAAACAGCTTCGTTGACTCTCAGCTTCTTAAGCGTACCTATTTGCTGTCCTTCTGAAACGGCCTCAATCCTACATTCTTCTTTCCTCAATACAGCTTACTCTTCCCGGGTTTGGGAGAGCTTCCCCGCACCTACCGCTGCACAGCATCATGTACGTCGCAAACGGGCATACACTCGGAGAAATTACGTCCAGGAGAACCTGTTTTAGCTAACGATGATCCCACCTATCTCTAGGCGCATCACGGTAAGCGTAATTCGCCCGGACCAGGCCGATGCCGATATTATCTCCCTCGAAGTCGGGGCGGATATGACCGTCGAGCTCCTGAAAGCTATTGTTGAAAGTGAAACCTCGATACCGCCCGACGCCCAGCGACTCGTATATAACAATCAACTCCTCGGTGATGACTCCCGTACGCTTGAGCAAGTCGGCATCGGTGAAGGGGATATGCTCGGTGTCCATGTGACGCTGCGAGGACCCCCCGCGCCCACCCGGAGCATAGGAGGTCCCAGCTCTGCTGCCGCCCAACAAAATCTGCAGCGGCGCCAGGCTATGACCCCAGATCCCGAGACAATTCGCCTACATATTTTGGGTGACCCTCGTGTGCGGGAAGCCGTCCGAAGGCAGAACCCGGAGTTGGCGGACGCTGCCAACGATGCGCAGCGGTTCCGCGAGGTCCTCACCCGACAACAAACCCGCGAAGCTCAAATGGAGGCGGAGAAAGAAGCGCGGATTGCCATGTTGAATGCCGATCCTTTCAATCCCGAAAATCAGAAGCAGATCGAAGAGATCATTCGTCAGAATGCTGTGACGGAAAACCTCCATAATGCAATGGAGCATCATCCGGAGTGTAAGTCGGACCTGCAAGTGTTCATAATTTGCGGAGCTGGTGATTAAACATACAGCACAGCATTCGGTCGCGTAACCATGTTATATATCCCTGTCGAGGTCAACGGCCACAAACTCAACGCTTTTGTCGACTCCGGTGCACAGGTCACCATCATGTCGCCAGAATGTGCGACCGCGTGCAACATTATGCGACTCGTTGATCGGCGGTACGGCGGCATTGCAAAGGGCGTGGGAACAGCAACCATTCTAGGTCGGGTGCACTCGGCACAAATAAAGATTGGCAGCATGTTCCTGCCGTGTTCATTTACTGTCATGGAAGGCAAACATATTGATTTGCTCTTGGGCTTGGACATGCTGAAACGGCATCAAGCCTGCATTGATCTCCAGCGCGGTGCTCTGGTGATCCAGGACCAGGCAGTCCCCTTCCTTGGTGAGGCGGATATTCCCAGACATCTTCTGGATGAATTCGAGGACGAGCCCGTCATCAAAGGACCCGATGGCGCCGAAGTCGGCGCCCGAACCGGAGCGGTCACGCATCAGGCCGGTGGCAGCAGTCAAGGATCTGGTGGTTCTTCCGCGCCTCCTCCTTCCCGCCCAGCCCCACCAACATCGCGCTGGCCACAAGTTTCCATTGGAAAAATCACAGAGCTGGGCTTCACACGGGAAGAGGCGATGCGTGCATTAGATGCCGCCAACGGGAACCTGGACGAGGCCATTGGATTCCTGATTTAATGTGTGATGTCACGACCTGACGTAGATTTCCTTGACATGACCGGGCGAGGCCTGGCCATTCTGTTTATTACCGCTCAATTTGATCTATCATCGCCGAGCCGAATGTGCACTGTGAGATGCGATTTTTCTTTCTGTCATTGTGATAAATGGTCTCCTGATGTTGCTCGCATTTTGTCCCTGTGACTCTCGGCTCTTGCTATAACGGAGGTCGCTACGAGGTGGGCTACCAGTCACCATTTTCTGTCTGTAGGGGAGTGCTTTCTCGCGATTGCAATATTTGTTTTTCTTGGCCAACCTACACTGCGGGCGCCCTGTCTCTCATCCTTATTATGCAATGTTCTCACATAGAGTCGGTGTGGCGGGTTCTGCTGTCACTCGGGAAGCACCTAGAACCTGTGCAGCAGCGAGCATATATGCCACAATCTAACAGCTGAAAGCTATGATAAGGCAAGTCAGTATTTTTGCGTGCCTCTATCCGAGCAACTGTAGTAATCTATGTGCGTATGTGGTGACCAAGATCTGCTTTCTAATTCCTGACCACCCCGTCTTCCAACCTTTCGCGACCTGGGGCATGAAGCCCGTCGCAGATCCAACGAAAGTAACCAAACTAAATTTCGAGGGACTTAGCCGTCTACTCCAACTTGGACTTGAGCACAAGTCGCTCGCGGAGTCTACAAAACATGTCGACTGCCATAAATGCGCCTAGAGAACCCATAAGTCAGCCCCGGCCAACTTGTACGATAACTACTTGCTGTCTTCCACAGAAGGAAGCAAGCCCTAAATTTAGATCAGCCTTACCGAGAGCAACATAAGGACCATAGAGCATGGTAATATTCTGCTTCTGGGCGAGCGTACGGTCCGTCCAGCTCCAGACCTCCACCAGACAGATGGCCGAGGTGAGAAACGATTGCACTCCGAAAACGAGCAAATGGACGGGAACAAGAGGATCATCTGTCATGGTAAGCAAGCAAGCACCCAGTGGGTGTAAAAGAAAATTAAAATCGAAGAAAAGAAAAAGAAAAAAAAGAAAAAAAGAAGAGACGGATGGAGACAGGGCTGTGATGTAAGGGGAGGTTAGGGGGAGGGGGGGGGGGGGGGGAATTTCCCGGAAGGGAAGAAGAGAGTGGAGGAGGCAGAGGCATAGGCGCAGATCATGGAACCCCAAGAAGAAGAACGAAAAATGATCCACCCATTGGCAACCCGATGTACTGGATTGATGGACTGTGAGTACTGTACATACCTTTCTTCAGGCCGCGTAGAGCCCAGACACTGAGCGGAACATGATAGAATAGCTCCATCAACAGAAAGAAGGTAAACCAAGTGGTTGGGGTCTCCTCGAAGAACTTGTCATGATAGGTTTCGATGTAGAACTCGCGTAGCGTCACGCTGAGATTGGACTGGAGGAAAGACGGCAGGATGGGAGCGGCATCGACCACTGATTGTGTTTGTTTGCGTGCATCATGTCAGCTTTTGTTTTGCCCTTCTTACTTGCTCGCTCACTATGTCTCATCTACATCTGATTTGTGTTGGGGGTGGAGGTGGGGGGGAAAGTAGCAGAGTAGTACAGAAAAACCGTCTTTCTGCATTGGAACAGAGTAGGGATTGGAGGGGGAAACGAAAGTATCTCGGTAGTTTGGGGGACAACTCCCGACTTACAGAAGATGATGGGGACATGGATGGCGAAGAATGCGAAGTAGACGAGATCGCGTTTCCGGCTCCACAAGGATACGGGAGAAGTGGCAATAGCCATGGTTCTAGTTTTGCGAATGCAAATGCGAATGCGAATGCGAATGCTTTCAAGGTCCTGTGTGATCGCTCGAGAAACCTTGAAGGTGGGAAATCAATAATAAACAAGGCGGAAGCAAATAATAGTGAGGTATACCTAACACATACAACACGATTCAAGTTTGCTTTTGGAAAATTGATGTGTGCTGCACCGTACTTAGTCAGGTGATCCCCGCCCCCTTGTGCAGCTGCCAAAACGGGAAAAGCAAACAAACCAAAATGTACATCTCACCTGACCCGGTTCTGTTGACTTCGAGAACTCGACCATCTTCTCCAGAAAGTCTCCACAGCAAAAGCACCTTTCTCATTCTCTTTTAAGAAAAACAAAGGGTGTAAAAAAGAAAGAGAGGGGAGGAGGAAAAGCTTCCCCCGCCGTTCGCCTGACCCGATCGACTGGGAAAGACAAGACAGTCGACAGGTACGCACGATCAAGAAGGATGTTTGCTTTTTTTCCCACCTCTCTGCACGCACCTCGGATTTCTTTTTACCTACCTGCCTAAACATAGCTTAAGCTTAGCTTGCGTGAGACTACGATGGCCTGTCAACCAAGCTGTCCGCTTGGACCCTCACGGCTCTACTTAATTTCACTTAGTGTGTCGCCCCCAGCAAATGGTTGGAAGGACGATGGTCCAACAGTTCGTGGACACCGATGATGGACTAGTTCGATTCGGCTCTCCATCAATTGACCTTGCAGCAAATCTCCTCCTGTCTAAGAATCTTATCGCCTTATGAGACACCTCATGATCCGTCCACGATGGGTGGTCCCATCATCAGGGGATGAACCCGTCTACTGATCCTGAAAGTGATCTCTCATTCCTGGGCGGCCCGATAACTGGACGTGTGTGTGTGTGTGCCCTCACCGCAACTTGTGATGCCCCCCCCCCCCCCTTGAAACTCGTCCTTTACGCCCACATTCCCCCCTCCCACCAGGAAAGCCTGATGATGCAAAAGTCCCAATGGGACTTTCGATCTGTGGCAACAGCCCCCTCTGAGCTGATCTTCTGCCTCTCTGGGCTATTCTTGGACCGGAAAGCGGCCTCACTCCCTAATGTGAGGCGACAAAAGTACTGCAAGGATAGACAGTCGGTATCCGCCAGAGGAAGGCGGATCTGCTATGCCTTTGAATAACAGAATTTGTGTACTATTTCTGCAGCCCCGGTAACTCGATCCAGGAAATCGACTTTGACATCGATCCTCGATGGGGCGGGCCATGCTTCCAGAATATGAGACAGGCTCGATTTTTTCCCCTAGACCCCATGAACTCATTGGCAACGGACGACGGGAAGATTGGCGCATAGCGCCACACTTTGTGCCACCAGCCGTCAGCAGTCCATTGTTGCAGTTCCAGTGCTCCGTGTGGATTATTGGTCTGCTAGTCCCCGGTTCCCGGGACGGTACCGCTGCTGGTCATGGATCCCTTGTATTCCACCCTGGAAGCTAGTATAACCCTTAAAGAGTAGAAACCCGGGGCGAGGATTTGACCATCCGTGGTCACAGGACTGTCCAGCATGCAGATCAGGATTAGGAGCACAGTACTATTTGTCGCAAGCATTCAATATCTACTACTCAGTATCCACCGGCATCAGATTTGGGATTACTCTCAGGATTCTCCTGGAGCAGCTGCAATTGTCGTTGTCCATTGCGTAAGAGAAAGATCGTGAAGAGCAAACTGCAACGCGATCTGAAGGAGACGGCCACGGATCACGTCCCGGAAACCGACTTGGTCATGCCTCGAGAGTGGACTAACCGATGCAGGAAGTAGAAGAGTCCAGTGCAACTAAATTGACAGAGAATTGGGACAGCATGCCGCATGCACAGCTGTTTCCGATGGCTTCGGTCACGATGGCAATTCGACGCCTCCAGGCTCTGGAGTTTCTGGATTGACGGTGGCTCAAAGTGGACACTATGCAATCCGAACCGCGTCGGTGGGCATGATCGCACATTATCAGGCCGATGCCCCTCCGCCCTTTCTTCGAGGCTTCTGTGGGCCTTCGATACCGTCTGGGAAATGTTCTAGAGAGCGGCCTTTGGCGATCCATCGTCACCGACGAGTAGACACCTTAACGTGGCTGAGTGGAGACGACTTTGATGGAACCCCGGACATTGGTCCGCATTCCCGAATGGAAACAAACGTCACAGGGGGGGCTAGCAAAAGCGGATCGGCCTGGCCCACCGTTGCGCCTCGGTCCAATTTGTTTGGTACCCTAAATCCTACAATGACTACCGGTATGATTTGGATGCAAGTATGGCAATCGACGAAGATCAAGAATCCATGTACCACAAGCGTTTACACCGCGTCTGGATGGCATTTGGGAGCTTGAACGTCTCCAGAATGGTCTTCTTCAAACGACCTATGTATGAACGGCCATCGAGGTTGATCTCCTTGACAATGATATAACGATATACCGTTGATCATCTCAGTTCAATATGAGGATTATACCGACTATATCGGAACCAGTAACGTCGACTTTTATTCAATGACTCGACCAGGGCTCGGGATCAGTCAGAAACACCCTCGAACAAGTGCCACACGGCAGGGAGCTTAGATTGCAAGCACGCAACTCTCAATTCCAGGCTCAACGTCGTACGGGTTATCATGTCGGTGGCCTATGGATAAGACATGTTATTACATCCACCAACCAACGAAGAGCCTTGACGCTGCAGAATTCCAGGATTATTGAGGAAAAGAAATGATTTCGATGCAGTACGCCCCTAAAGTCTCGTAGGACAAAGCATCCGCAGGCCTGGAAGCCGGAAGATTAACAGGCTGCTGCCCAGGTATGCAAGGATTGAGAAAAGCACGATAGCCAGAGCTACCAGAAGCTACGGCGGCGGCGCATCGCGCATCCACCTACTGCACAGGATAGATTCCGCGGGCTCTAGTGCCGTTCCGTGACCCTACGAGAAGCAGACGACACCACCACCACCAAAGTTAGCGACATTGACCCAACGTGCCTGCTGCAGGGTTCCACTCTCATGTCTTCGTACAGATTATTAACCGATTTTTTCTACTTCTTTTTTGACTTCTTATCGATCACCTAGACTCGCCGGACTGAGAGAGAGCGGTGAAACCACACGAAGACAGAGACCGGGGTCAATTGAAAGAAGGGTTTGAGATGGTTCGAAACTAACTATCTACGGATAGTGGGAGCCATTCTCTCGGATCCAGCAAGAAAAAAAAAACAGGTCAAAAGACTGAAAGACAGTCAGAAGCGGTCGATCATCAATGTCCGAGATAATCTCAGTCCTCATCCGATGCGGGCAGGACGGATGCTTGCTGGGGAAATTGAGACTATGAGTCCACTCGCTTTGCCTCTATTGGGCCCTTGACCGCTTCTCCTTACCAACAACCTCTTGCGTCTCCGCCTGCCTCTATTCTCGGTCGCGCTTCCGAGCGGGCTCCAGCCTGCTTCCTCCCTTGTCCCGACTCGAACTTCCTCGACCTGTCTATCTGTCTGCTCTGTCTTTGTATGCTTTTTTTTTCCCACTATTCCCACTGTTCCCACTACCGTGACCTCCTCTCCTCTCACCCTTTTGGTTCGTTTCGGACTTATCCTTCTCTCTGACTGGCTCGCAGTCGTGCCGCCGCCCCCCTCCATCCCTTCCCCCTTCACCCCCTAGTCTATAATCGGCTGCCGTTTTTACCTGTAGAGACCCGTTCAGCATTTGGTTCTGTACCCCTGTCGTCATGGCCCTTTGAGGGTGGTTCTATTTCCTCTGTCCGCCGTGGACAATCTGGTGTGTCTCTCAGCGCCGACTTTCCGCTCCGAAGATGGAAGGGATAGCATTCAGTCTACCTATCTGGGCAATAGCCAAGCGACTCCCGGCAGATGCAAGATCATTTAGCGCCACCGTGATCATATCGTCCACTCGATTGCGCTTAAAGGTTGCGCAGTCTTTTCAATCGTCATGGCGAGATGGTGGAGTAGATGTCCAGCTTGACATCTATATATTGCTGCTTGTCCACCTTCATCCAGCCCTTCTTCTTTTTCTCCTCCATGATTCAATCCTCAATTCCATCTTTTCTTTCACCTTCTATTCAGTCTCCTTCACCTCAGACACGATACCTTGATTAAGTCTTCCAGCTTCAAGCTATTCTACAAGCCTTCATCCTCTACACACAAAGAACATCTGAGATAAGATTACCAAGACAGCACAATGCCATCCACAGCCCCAATCCTGCGGCCCAAGAAGGCCATGAATGCCCATCAGGAAGAAGAGCCGATCAGCTACGACATCAACATTCCTTACGTCGACGTCACCAAAGAAGTGCATCTCCGCACCAGATACCCTGAGTACCTTCCCACATGGGACAAAGTGTGGTTCGACCCACTTCCTCCATTTGAGTACCAGGATCCTGCCCTGCGTGTGAAGGACAAGAGCAAGCCCAACCTTCTGACTTCGAACACGAAAATGACGGAGATTCAGCCGCGGATCGGAAGCATCTTGGAGGGAGTCCAGTTGAGCCAGCTCTCGGATGCGGCTAAGGATGAATTGGCGCTGCTGATTGCAGAGCGCAAGGTGGTTGCTTTCCCCGATCAGGATCTGATCGATGCTGGGCCGGAGGAACAGGAGGCATTTATGCGACACTTTGGCAAGCCTAACTACCAGCCGGTCTCCGGCTCCATGCGCGGCCACCCTGGATTTCACATTATTCATCGTGATGGAAACCGTGAGGAGATCACACGCTTCTTGGAGCAGCGTACAACAACCACACTCTGGCACCAAGATGTGAGCTACGAGATTCAACCCCCCAGCTATGTCATGCTAGGACTGCTAGAAGGTCCCGAGGTGGGCGGCGACACCGTCTTCTCGGCTACTGATATGGCGTACAAGTAAGTAATGGCCCCGCTGCCACGCATGGATGGCAAGGCGACGGAGAGTTACTAACCAGGAAATGGTACAGGCGTCTTTCTCCCACTTTCACCTCATGGCTGGATACGCTGCGGGCAGTCCACTCCTCCGCCAAGATGATCAGCCACGCTCGCATGACTGGTAGTTTGGTGCGCAAGGACGCTGTCGACACCGTCCACCCGCTTGTGCGCGTTCACCCGGTAACAGGCGAGAAATGCCTTTTCGTCAATGGGGAGTTCATCACGAAGATTCAGGGCCTAAAGGAGCCTGAGCAGAAGTGGTTGCTCGACTTCATCATGCAACATATCATCACCGGACACGACTTCCAGGCCCGAGTCCGATGGCAACCCAGGACAATTGTCCTCTTCGACAACCGCAGCACCACTCGTACGTTCTCTTCCGATTGAAGCTTAAAAATGCATACTGATTCTTTTCCTTATCAGACTCTGCCATTGTCGACTACCTCGATGACGACAACGGTGCTAAGCTCCGCCACATCTTCCGCATGTGTGCCTTGGGCGAGAAGCCCATCCCAGTGTACGACCAATTCGAGTAGAATGGCTCTCGACCCCTCCAATCATTCTCTCCTTACGATGTACGCATGTCTTTTCCGCAACGACGACAGATCTCTGGCGCGACTGGGTCGTATCAGAAGTGAGAGAGAGCCTACCTTCGGGGAGTCCTTCTACCAACCGCCCTTATTCGTCTTGCGCTGCGATTCGTTTTCGCTGACTCTCCACACCTGATTCCCATCTTCTAATCATTATACCCTTTCTTCTGGGTCTCATTTAAAGGAGTTATTTCTGTTCTTTTCCCATCTTTTTACTACTTCTAATATCTATTTTGATCCTCGATTCGGCCCTTCAAAATTGATACCTCAGCCCTTCGATTGATTTTGTGTTTTCTTTCTGCTCGTGTTATTCGAATAGACCGCTTAATCATTTTTTGTTTGCATATCTAGACTGGCGGGGTTTGTGTGTGGGGGGTAAAAAAAGTTCATTCGGTTTTTTTGACTAGCAGGATTCGTTTTCCTGGGGAGACCCCACCGCTGACTCCATTTGGTTTTGTTTTCTGTCCATCTTTTTTCTTTTCTTCAGGAAGTTGTTTTTCTGGTACATCCTTTTTGCTAGCTTTGATAACTGCATTTGGGGTGGGCATTGGGCAAATAGTACTTAATCGAAATATTGACTCTGTGTTGATTGTGCAGTTAGTCTGATTAATTATAAGTTAGCTATCCGCTTATCAACCGCCGAAGTAGCACATCTCCATTCCGGAGGGGTATTCGAAATACATAGTATTAGGGTAGAATCGAGAAAAGCACTTTGTCTAATGCATCATGACGATGGACCCGAACCCGACGTGCATCCTCCGATCCGGTAGTATAGCCAGTGATCTCAACCCCCAAGAAAGTAGTGAAAGCTAGCATCAGCCTCGGGTACCTTCCCTCTATCCTATCGTGCATGTACGGTAGTAGTATAGTAGTACATCTATCTCTTCCTCACCGGACCAAGAAGAGTCCGCCGGCCTTCCTGAGTAATCCGGCCACGTGATTCCAAAGGCCTTTCCCTCTTGTTTACATGAGAGAACGTAACGTAGCTAATTCCAACAACCAAGAACCACCCAAGTTCAAGAACTGTTGCCAGATAGCCCACCCCCTGAGGCCTCAAATCGCTGACAGAGTCAACCCCCGGCTCCCAGATCCGACCATTCGTATAACCCACCAAGTTCAAAGCAAGAATAGCGCAGCAAAATCCCCCATACAAGCAGACAAAGAATCCCGGGAACCAGCGGGGGCGAGCAGCGACCTAGAGGATTTGCTGTACAGTACTCGGCTTTTCGACCTTCTTGGAGCCCCCCGAATGAGTATCCGGGGACAGAAATTCAATGATCCAAACCCGCAGTTTTAAGTTGGAGCACTCTCGCGGCCTCGTCGATGGTTTGTCTGGTTTGTCTGATTTGCTTATGGATGCATACGGTGGTCCGGGGTTTGTGCTGGATTTCCGGATCAATCTTTTACTTTGTCAAGGTGTAGTACCATGGTGGAGAGTATTTGGGACCCGGTGGACGTTTGTATACCTAGCGGTCAGGGTTTATCAGGAAGGAATGGATGAGGATTGAGTTATGCAGACCGGCCTATCGAGGATGGAGAACGAAGACACTGGTTTTGTATTTTGTGTAAGAGTACAGATTTCTTCTTTCCACATATAGGAAAAATGATTCAAGAGTATACTAGCAGTCTAGCCCGTCTGCGCTCAGCATCCACCCCCCTTAACTGGGCTACTAGTCCACTAATCAATCGACTATCGGCTTGAATGTGTCAATGTCCCTCCAAGGACCAAATTTTCAAAGTACAAAGTTCCCAAAGCGCCTCCGAAGTGCGAGAAGAGAGTATCAATGAGAAATCGCCCAGAGATCTGAAATAGAACAATAGGGTACACGTTGCACGGGTCAGAAGTAAGCTCGATTGCACTCCCCTTCTAATTGTGTAATAAACACAAAATTGGAAGATCGAAAAAAAAAGGTAAGACAAAAGGGAAATAAAAGGAGAACTCCAGCACCGCCCCCTTTTCTATCCGCTCGCTGTCTCCTGTGATCGGAGACATGAAAAAAATACAGAGTCAAAAGGTGAAAAAAAAAGTGAGATTTGAAAACCATGCTACCTACTTGCCCCAATCCTATAATCCATAGACAAACACGCACACGCACACGCTATATTACCGTAATATATCCTGGACCTTAGTCCGGAGCTCGTTGGCCACGCGCAATTGATCCGGCGGGATGCCGCCGCCTTGTTGAATGAGGAGGAGGGTCTCAAGGACGCGGTTGGCGGCGGTGTCGCTTCCAAAGACCCGGCCGCCGGGGCGGACGGTCTCGTGGTACCAATGCTGGATGAGATAGAGGAGGTCCTTGGCGATGTATCTCCGGTTGTTGCCCTGGAAGGGCGCTTCGTCTGTGTAGTACATGCCCTCGAGGACGGTGAAAATGGTCTCGTGTGCGACGTTCAGGTCGAGGAGGAGGTCAACGATCCACGTTGGGGGCCCAACGTCACGCTGGTGCTCTAGGGCGTAGCGCTCGAGCATGGGCAGGATGATCGGGATGGGCATGATGGAGTCTGACATGCGGAGTCGGCCGCCCAGACTCCGCACCTGGTCGATCACCGCTTCGTAGGGCTGGGGCTCGCCCCGCTCCAAGACCCGGTTGTGGAGGTCTTGCAGGAGATGTTGCCATGTGGACTTGATGTCAGCCGCGTTGCGGTGGTCGGCGTGGAAGAAGATCTGCAGACAGATATCGTAGTAGCTTCCAGGGTCGGCGATATTGTTAAAGAGCTGATAGGCATTAGAAAATCTGGAAAATCATGGGGGAAAGGCAATTTTCGGGGTCTAACACATACATAACTGATGTCCCTGATAGCCCCATCCACTTCGTTCAGGACCTGGGGTTTGGCTTCCGGCGCAACCCGAGGATCGTCTTTCAGGCGTTGCAAGATTTCGTCTTGAATGTCGGCAACATCAATCAGGTTAGAGGTTTCCTGGACCAGTCTTTGACGAGCCTGTCGGCTAACATCCGGAGTGAATATCGATGCGTTGGCCCGAGCCCATCCTAGGTACTCGATTCTGCGGCTCAAGGGAATGTTGAAGCTGCTCTGCGCAAGCTGGAGTTGAACCTTGGCTGCTTCGAAAAATCGTTCAGACTGCGCAAAATAACGCCAGAGAAGATCGGCGTGTTCAATATCATCATCGGCTTTGCGCTCAAGGTAGGCGACCACGAAGGGAGAATCGCTCTGGAGCAGTCGCTCACTCCAACCTTGTTCGAGATACCAATCATATAGGGTAGTCAAAAACACCTCGTCTCGAGAGTCGGAAACCACTCCATATGCCTCGTTCCTGCGTTTGGCCATCACTGTCAATTGTCCATCAACAATACCGATATCCTTGGCAGTATGCTTGTCGACTGCAATGATGACCCTGAATATGAGATCATAGCATTGCTTCCGATACTGGAAGTACTCAATACGAGTATCCTTAAGATGGAAATGTCAGTCATCAAGGAAGTGATTTAGATCAAAGAGGGTACTTACACCAGCAGGGCGACCATCCACAATCCATGCAAGTGCCAGATTGGCCTTGTCTGAGCGAGCGGCCACATTCAAAGCCAGTTGAATCGCGCCTGCAGTACTTTGTTTTAGTGGCGCTTCTTGTGCTCCAATACGAACACGGGGATCATACCTGCGAAGAACTCATTCTTGATGTAGCTTTCGACTGCAGAGACCAGGTAGTCCATTGGCAGATTGTCGGATACCTGCTGAAACAAGTGAAGGCTCTCATTCAGCAGGTTGCGTCCAAGCTCCGAATTGGAGCCTACTTCAGTGGCTCGTTTCAACATCTCCTGGGCCTTGAAGATCACGACATCCTCGGCACTACAGAAGCTGCCGCATCGCCGCCTTAGAGCATCGGCTACCGTTTCGACATTAGATCCCTTTGCAATGTTCCGATTCACAATGCCCTTCACCAGCTCCTTGGCAATATCGTGGCCCTTTGTGGTACTGAACAGCTGCTCATACGTAAGTTTCATGAAGCGCTCCTTCGACTCCGCTGGCAGGGTAGCCACAATTTCATCCACGCGTTCATCGAATAGAACAGAAACAAAGGAAATGCCTTCGATGGTGTGAGATACAAGTTGAACAAGCGAATGCAGTGCGCGATGTTCGGCTTGTAGGGCAGTCTCTTCCTGTTTCGTGGAGACCCGAGTCAGAGCCTCTGGGCCGCTCAGCCCTTCGATAAAGTTCTTGTTAGTCTTGAAGAATTCTTGCAGAGCAGTCAAGTCGCGCTGAACAGCTTGCAGCTTGGCAGAAGAAACTGATGAAACGATGGTCTCCGTGCCAATGGGCGGCGTCTCGGACTTTTCGAGCTTGGCAATCTCTTTCTTCCAAATAGAGCGTAATAATCTCGAGATGTAGAGCGCGATGCCCGCATGCCGCGGTGAAGGGAGGACGGTGTCGATGGCAGGTGTGGAACTATCCGCCACGGCATTTTCGTTAATCATAGGCTTGCCCCCGTGGTCAATCAAGACCTTGCGTGCAAACTCCAAGACATGTGGATCATTTATTTGGGTGAGTCTAGAATCACTCGACACCTCCACTCCTTGACCGCAAGCGACGGCAAGAGCCGTAGCAACGGTCTCGCTCCGGCCATAAATGCGGATGAAATTCTTGACCATACCCTCCAATCCGTCATCGCCTTCTCCACCGTTTCGAACCAATGCAGCAAAAACATCGACGAGACGCCGTCTGCGAATGATATGAATACCATTGTTGGTAAGAATGGCGATTTCGGCCACAGGTTCGTCATACTGAATAGCCAGTTCATTACCGAACCCACTGAAAGCCATGGCGGCCTCGGTGGGTGGGGAGCAGACCCCGACATCTTCCGCTCTGCTACCCAATGATACCCAGACTGCTGTCTCACCAGCCTTGGGACTAACAGTCTCTTGAGCGCGAGCGACTCGTCCAGAGTCGGGAGCAGAAATGAAGAGAGAGTCCGATGCCGCCGAGTCCTTGGAGGTGAAGCAGAAAAAATGGCCGGGTGGATACCGTACGGCAAACCGAGTGGGCTGAAGGGTGTGAACAGGGATTCTCGCTGCCACTGTAGGGTGATAGCGTGCCTGTCCTTGAAGACCTTGCGAGGCTGCCAATTGAGCCGAGGGAGCGGCGTCCAACGGAGGTGTTTTCACATGATGAGCTTGCATGCTTGTGGGAGCACTTGTGCCATTTGGTGCCGAGGCCCAGCTATAGGGACCAGTAGCACTGAGGTAGATCCGGTAGCCTGTCGCAGTAGTGGCCATCAGATGGTATCGGGACGCTTCCGCTGCAAGAATGGGGCTGATGGAAACAATGGGAACTTTGGGGTTGAGAGTTTCGTTGGACGCGATGATATGTCCGATATTGGCGTATATGTCTTGCCCTTTCTTTGTGATCGCAAGAGCTAGACTTCCGTCGGGCTTCATATGAAAGACCCTGATCGTGGACAGCGACGAGAGTGTGTAGAGCAGCTTCCTGGTGTCATCAATCTCCATTTGCGCGACGTGTTCATTTGGTTGGGTAAAGCTCAGCGAGGGAGCCAAGGCAGCGAGACGATTGCTAGTACGATTAACCTTTGAGCAGCGACCCTTGAACCACTTCTCCTCTTGCTGATAGACGAGCTCGTAGACATCATTGTCGGAGATACCGCCGAAAAAGATGCGCCCAGTCGAATCGGATGAGGCCACTTGATCGATCTCCAACCCTCGGATTGCTACGGACATGCCAGTCTGATACAGCGTTACTTGTCGTGCGCCTCCGGGCGTGGTCTCGCAGCCCATTCCCAACAAAATGACTTCGGCCGTAGTGGATATTACAAGCAAGTGAGTGATACTGGGCAAAAACACTTTCGGGCGAGGCTTCGCTAGCTTGACGGTGATGATGCTGTTTGGTTGATCCTCGAATCCAACTAACTGCGGGTTAGGGTGAGTGTAGTCCCAGATATAGAGAGCATTGTCGATTGCGACCCAGGCGTGATTCAACTCAGCAAATAGTCCCATGTTCGTCGATACCTGTGCTCTGTTGTATTGATCGAAGATCTGGTCGGGGATATTGTACATCTTCACCTTCTGAAAAGGAGCCCATGGTGACGATGTGGGAAGATCATAGTCGGACGAGAATCCTTCTACACAGGAGGGTCAGCCGGATCCCTGCCAGCGGTGCGACCACAGTGGTCAACTTACGAGACAGAGAGTTGTCCAAGTCTGGGTAACGAGATTCTTGGGCAAGGGTTTCATTAATAGTCCGCGCAGCACGCTGCTCCGTGCTCACTAGGCTCTGCTTGGGCTTTGTTTGGACCGCAGTGAAGTTGGGAAGCTGAATGGGGGACGGCGGATCGGTTGGGGTTGCGGCTTGTTGGGGGTTCGATGCCGACGCCGTCGCGCCAGCATTGGGTGCTGGTGTTTGGTAGAATGCGCCAGGGAGTGGCCTCTGAGGGGTGAGGGTTGGTAGAGATGGGTATGACATGATGCCGGCAGTAGACGGCGCCCGTATGAGGCGGTTTGGGCTATGTATGGCGCTCTCCCCGGAAAGGTGGCTGGGAGATTCGGAGACAGCAGCGCAATGACGCGACGAAAGGAAGACTCGGTCAAGGAAAGCAAAAGAGGTCGTGGAGAGATGGTAGAGAGGGATGTTGCGATAAAAAGAAAAGGAACACCAATGGGGGAGCGCAGGGAGTGGTGTTCCGCCACGAGGATGGTGTGTTTAACCGGGTCGAAGAACAGGCATGAAGCTGTGGATTGAGCATGAGCAGGATGAGAAACAAAAATGTGCACGGGCCCCGGGCGGAGGGCGGACGGAGAGCTTCTCTTCCGCCTTGGAAAGATTATTATCAGGCTTGGATTTTCTACGGGTCCGACAGCGTCATTAGTTCCACTCTACTAGAACAACAAAAAATCAATTCGCATCTGCATTCGCATTCTATTACTTCCTCCCTAGTCTGTCGTTGCGTAATTCCGAACATGTTCCCAGCTCTGCGATCCACCTCGTCCCGTCTGGGTTTGCGCCTGGTGCGCTGGAACTCGACCGACAGCCCGATCTTGCCGCCTTTGATGACCAAGCTCAGAACTGACCTCAAGACGGCTATGAGAGCCAAGGATACTCCTCGGTTTGTCTAATACGACCTACGGATTGAGACAAGACTTGGTTGATTACGCGGACTAACGCGCGCTTCTCAGGCTGAACGTCGTTCGGGCTCTGATCTCCGAAACCAACAACGCCGCGAAGACCTCCTCTCCCATTCAAACCGATATCCAGCTCCTGTCTCTGATTCGGAAACGTATTGCTGCCTCCAAGGATGCCATTGAGGAGTTCAAGGTTGAGAACCGCCCAGAGCTTCAAGAGCTTGAGGAGAAGCAGGTGACAGTCTTGGAGGAATACGGTGCCCAGGTGGAAACCATGAGCGCGGACGACATCAAGCAAGTTGTCTCCCAGACGCTCTCCAGCATGAAGGAGGCTGGCAAGAAGGTCGAAATCGGCCTTGTTCTCAAGTCTCTCTTCGCTGCCGGTGGTGCGCTGGCGGACAAGCCGGCTGACAAGTCTGAAACTGCAAGAATTGTCAAGGACGCTGTCACTGCCTTCAAGAAGAACTAATGCTGGCATGTATTTTACCTACCTGTACGATCACAAATAATACCGGGGATACGATAATACTGACGTTAATACACCGAAAGAAAGGTGGGGGAGAAATGTCGTTTCTGGCAATATATGTATCAACAATAGGTATGTTAATAAGTGAAGATTTACGGCGAGTCTAGAATGCGGTGTTCTGAAAACTCGAGATGATAGAGTGCAGAGAATTCCGCAGATGATTAAGTGTTAGCATTGAAAAGGCCCATGCATATGCGCGGCGGCCGTGTAATATTCCAAGAAGTCCTTCAGCGCCATTCCCTATGATCATTTGTGTCCATGATGCCCTGAGTCCCCTGCTATTACCTAGTAAGTCAATTCGAACTCCAGATTCCATCTTGATAACCTTGCCGTTGTACCGTCCGTCCGAAAAAGAATCATGTCGATGTCATTGTAGTTTACGAGCAGAAAACGGTGATTCCACCTATGGCAGTCATAATAACACCAAGCCACAGCAAGCGATCGGGATCGATGACCTTCTCCTTCGACACAAGGCCCTCCAAGCTGAAGTATGACTTGGTGTCTTCGCTCATTTGGCGTTTTTGCTTCTTAGCCTTTGAAGTGATCGGATTCAGGACGCCTGTAGGTAGGATTTGCGGTGGCCTGTACACGAGGTACATGGGATGCATGGGCGATCCGTCATGAGCGTACAGGTCCAGGCGTGGGATATCATGATATGGGTCTACCGAGATAGTAAAGGACTGCAGCTTTTAGCTAACTTGCCTTGAATGTATCGACCAGGGAAACATACCTTGAACTCCTCGGTCTGGTTATATCTCGTGTAGGACGTCAAAGGTGTGGCACATGGATCTGATACCAGCTGGCGCCCATCAACCGCAATCGGGGTTAACACCAGCGAACCATCGCTCTGCGCAGTGTATGTACCGTGCTGCCATTGCATTAAACCCTTTGGGCAAGCTGGATCTTGGGCTGTTGTATTGTTTACACGTCAGATTGCGACTCTAACAAAGCAGAGAGTGAGCAGGCACTGACGATTGGCTATTGCGCGGTAGTAAGCCTCTTCATAGAATCCATCCTCGGTGAACGAGTATGAGATGCCGGTCAGGTTTGGCTCCAGAAATCTGTCGTTGATTGGATCATAGAATCCCTAGAGACAAGGCCGGGTGTTAGCCAGTTTGGCGATTCTGATGCGTCGACTGAGATCCCTAGTAAACAATGGTTTGGATAGAACGAGAGGAGTACAGCATACCGGACCTGTCACAACCTTACGGGACTTTGTCGTCCAGGTCCCTACTAGATCAGATACACTGGCCGCACTGGCAGCCGTCAGGAGGAGGCTGCAAAGAAAGTAGCCCGCAATCATCGCGAGTTTTGTCACACAGGAAAGATGAAGGCAAAGAAGAGAGGTGTTAGATAGTGGAAGAATGCCTGCCTGCCTGCCTGCCGCCAAAGGGCGCAGGCGACCCTTGAACGGGGGGCGGATGCGGTACAGTCAGGACCTTAGGTATGTGCAACAACCAGGGCCCTGCCGATCAACAACCATGCACATCATGGCAACATGCCAAGCCACGCGGTTCCAGTCATTGCGATATCTCAGACACTGCTCCAGACAATAAGCGGAACTTCCTATATTCATCATCCTATCTCAATTACAATCCACTGGTAATCCGCCCACAACTATTTCCTGTCAATATTTTGTCCCTATCCCTCAATCGCAAGGATGATGGCTGGTCTACAGGCGGCGAAGAAGGATCTCCGGCGGAGAATGCGGGATGCGCTGCACAAGATCCCCGCCGACTCCATCACAAATCAATGTCAGCTCAGCCTCATGACCTTCACACTCGGTCTATGCGAACGCTGACCTCTACCAGCCAGAGTCGCCGCCAACAGGCTGTTTGCTCTCCAGGAATACCAGGATGCAAGGAGGATAGGGGTTTATCTCTCCATGCCGGCAGGGGAATTATCCACCACGGCCATCGTTCGGGATGCTCTGGCAAGTGGTAAGGAGGTCTTCGTGCCCTACATACACAAGCTAGAGTTATCGGAACAGTCGAGGACCTCCGTTATGGACATGCTCAAGCTAGAGTCGATTGAAGAATTCGAGGCTCTCCAGCCCGACAAATGGGGGATTCCGTCGCTGTCCGAGGTCCAAGTACTCAGGAAGATGAATTGCTTTGGGGGCAAAGGAGTCTCGCCCCAGCCAGAAGACGCTACAAAAGGACCTTACGGGCTCGACTTGGTTGTGATGCCAGGAATGGCATTTGATGAAGGGCTCAGGAGATTAGGGCATGGTAAAGGCTACTATGATCATTTTCTGACAAGGTATTCAAGAGAGGGGGCTGCAGGTAAGTCAACAAAGCCGAAGTTGCCCTTCCTTGGTAAGGAACAAGCACCCTGACACCAACGCAACCAACCATGAAATAGCCTGTTACTAAGTCTCGCGCAGTTGCCCTATCTCTCAAGGAGCAAATGCTTCCCCCGACCGAAGAGATACCGGTAGCGGATCATGACTGGCCTGTAGACATGCTCATCGTCGGTGATGACCGGTCTCTGGTGCGCCAACACTGATTTTCCGGGAAAGCGAGTCATATCGATCCATAGGTTCGTCTATTTTGCTAGAAGTGCAATATTTGTTTCCCAGCGACATCCGTGAAAAGCGAAAGGTAAAGAAGTGCAAACAAAGTCGTATAACGGCACGAGATCGGTTAAAAAAAAAACAAAATTCCCTTTTCCCTTCAATCAATCCCTTAACGCCCCGATAAGATCACTGGACGGCCTGGATGAGGGAGACGTTGTCGCCCTTGAGGAGGATTTGGCCTGTTGTAAAGTGGAACAACAGTCAGCAACTTTCCGTAACACACAAGCAGTTTGATCTTGCAATACGACTTCACATACCGAGCGGCCTCCGCTTCTCTTCCTCGGTCTTGGTAGCCATCCGAACCTCCACTGCGTCGTCAACGACCAGGTTCATGAACTCGTCGAAACCCTGTGCCGAAATTGTTAGCCGAGCGATCACAGCCACCAGAGAACACGGGGCCAATTACCCGGATCTTTCCTTCTATCCGGAAAGCCAGCTGCTCGTAAAGCCAGATAGACACTGTCGACCGTTGCTGAAGAAGCTTGAAGATGAAATGAATAGGCGCAAGCAGCGTCTTGCGAGCAGCTCCACCGCCTCCACGGCCGGTCATGGTGGGCAAACGAGATGCGCAAATGAAGGGAGGGGCTATGTAAAGTGTAAAAGAGAGCGCAAGGATACCAAGATCCTAAAAACTGCAGTTGTAAATAATGACGCGTTGATGGAGTTGCGCGGGGATCGGGGAGAGAGAATTGAAGGAAGAGCTCCGTAAGTTCAGGACGGTCGGACTCGGGGAAGTTCGACGGAGGGAGAGGGAGGCTCACACAGCTTTTCCGTTTGGGTCGATCGTCAGTGACCACTCACTACATCCCACCTCCACCACCACTAACTTACTACTAAGTCAATCTTCCCCTCCCTTCCTCTTCACTTTCCCCCCTCCTTCAAATCTTCCGCCATTTTAGTTGAGGATTTCTGCGCTTGTCTCTCATCTCTGAATTCTCTCTTTTAATGTTATTTAATGAGTGTATATGATCGCACTGCATAGGTGTTAAGCCTTCCGGCCTGGCTGAACCCCTCTTTCTCCCAACTCCATTACACCAACTTCCTCCCCCTCTCTAGAACATCCCAAACCCCCGAGTTGACAAACGATGACGAGCAAGGAGGGGGCTACAGGGCAGGCCTTTGGCCCGGTCCTGGCCGCGGTCGCTACCATGCAAGGAAATGTGTCGCGCGCCGAAAAAACGCATGCCCATGAATTCTTAGAGAAATTTCAGAAATCGGTAGGTTATCCTACCCCTCATTCCGCCACCTTGAATCAAGTTGATGCCGCCCATGATTCCGATGCTGACCATTTCTGGGCTTGTGTCTCTAGGTCGAAGCTTGGACTATCACCCATGAAATGTTACAATCTCCGGATGTTCCTGTCGAAGCCAAGTTGTTCGCAGCGACGACGTTGAAAGGAAAGGTGAATTGGTACTCCGACCTGGGTCCAGCCATTCCTGCCTGCTGACCCCAACAAGATCATCTTCGATCTCGATCAGTTGCCGACCGAATCTGTAGTCGCGCTCAGAGACTCTATCCTGAACCTGCTTGTGGGTTTCGCCGCGGGTCCTCGGCCAATCCAAACACAGCTATGCGTATGCTTGGCCAGTCTGGCTATTCAGATGCTTGCATGGAAGGACGTGCTCCCTACCGTGGGCGCTGCACTGGGAAGTAGCGCTGGAGATTGCGTGCTGGAGTTCCTAAAGATTCTCCCGGAAGAAGTAACGGAAGGCCGCAAGATCAATCTGAGTGTATGTTTGGCACGAGAAACTCCCTTTCAGACTGTTACTCTGCGATCGCGTATCCCCCTGACCCTAACACCCTGTCATTACCTAGGAAGATGATCTCACCATGCGGACAAAAGAACTCCTGGAAGATAATGCTGAGCAGGTGATGCACCTATTGATTCAATACGCTCAATCATCACGTATGTACAATATCACCCTGATATGTTCATTTCTACATTGCTGACCACAACCGCTTTTGTCATCACACAGCGACTGCCTCTACTAACCCGCGCCTCTTGGATTGTATCACTTCATGGATGCGCGAGATTCCGGCCGCCAAGATTGTGGAGTCGCCTTTGATGGACGTCATTTTGAAGGGACTTGATGACGACAGATCTTTCGAGGCTGCCGTAGACAGCATGTGCACACTGTATCGAGATACCCGTGAAGTCGACGATTCGCTTGCCATTATCCAAGCCTTGTATCCGCGCATAATTTCACTTCGCCCCAAAATCGCCGAGTTTGCCGAATCCGAGGATACCGATGCCTACAAAGGCATCACGAGACTTTTTGCAGAAGCCGGTGAAGCGTGGGTTGTGTTGATCGCACGTCTACCATCCGACTTCCGTGGTCTGGTCGAGGCAGTTTTGGAGTGTTGCGCTCGGGATTGGGAACGAGACGCAATTTCGCTGACCTTCATTTTCTGGTACGAACTGAAGCAGTACGTGACGCTGGATCGATACGCAGACGCCCGAGTGAATTTGAGCGACGTCTTCTCGCAGTTGGTGGATATCATGGTCAAGCACCTCGAATATCCTGGGCCCGAAGAAGGCGAGACGGATTTGTTTGGAGGTGATCGCGAGCAGGAGGAGAAATTCCGGCACTTCCGCCACTCAATGGGAGATGTACTCAAGGATTGCTGCGCTGTCATCGGGGTCACCGAGTGCTTGACTAAAGCATACCAGTTGATTCAGCAGTGGGTCTCCAAGTATGCGTCGCAGTCCAGTGATGAGCACGTCCCACACTGGCAAGAGCTTGAGGCACCACTGTTCAGTTTGAGGGCCATGGGACGCATGGTGGATCCTGAGGAAAGCGTCGTCCTTACTCAGGTTATTCCATTGATCGTGCAGATTCCCAACCAAGAGAAGGTGCGATTCCAGGCTATCATGGCACTTGCACGTTACACGGAGTGGACGGCACAGCACCCGGAGACTTTGGAGGCCCAACTAAACTACGTCATCTCTGGGTTCCAGCATAGCTCTCCCGAAGTGGTCCAGGCTGCGGCTTTGGCCTTCAAGTACCTGGGAACAGACTGTCAAAAGCTGCTTGGGGGTCACATTGCCCAGCTCCACACGTTCTATGAGTCCGTGATTGACAAGCTGAAGCCTGCGAGTCAAGAGGAGGTAACCGAGGGCGTGGCAGCAGTGGTTGCAGTCCAACCTCTGGAGAAGATCTATGAAACCTTGAAATTGTTCTGTGACCCTATCATGGCTCGCATCATGAACCTAGCGAATAACGCTCAAGATGAAGAAAGCCAACGGGCTGTTGCTGGTAGGACCGATGGCATACATTCATTGAGGATGACGCGCTGACTATATTATAGATCACATTGGGCTGATTACCATTTTCGTCATGGTCGTGAACCCATATGTCTCTCCCCGTGAAGAGAACCCCGCCGTCAAGTACTGTGGTGAGATCTTGCCCATCATGAGCACGATTGCGCTGAACTTCACATCATCCACACCAATCCTCGAACGAGTTTGCCGTTGCTGGCGCAATATGATCATCTCCTACCGAACTGCAATCGCTCCTCTACTGCCAACTTTGGCCCAGAGTCTTGCTAGTGGCTTCCAGGCGTCGCGTGAAGGATGTTTCTTGTGGGCCACTGATGCCGTCGTCCGCGAGTTCTCGGAGGGTGCTGAGTTTGTGGATGCGAACACAAGCCAGGCTGTCTTCCAGTTCTACGAACAGCAAGCAATTGCATTCTTGCGCATCCTCAATGATTTGCCTCCAGAGAACCTACCTGATGGTACGTGTCCATTATCATTAAGTGTCATTCGTGCGGCCTAGCTAATTAATCGCAACTAGTCATCGAGGATTTTTACCGTCTTTCGTCGGATGCGATCCGCTTCTATCCCAAGGAATGCATAACATCTGAGCTTTCGGTTCCCATTTTCTCGGCGGCCCTAAGCGCCCTCACCCTTCAGCAGATTGACCCTCTGATTGCCACTCTTCATTATTATCATGATCTGTTTAGCTTTGCATTCGAAAAGCCAGCGGTTTCCGAGTTCACCACGTCTGATGGCAATGCATATTCGACGCCCGTCGAAGTTCGTGAGGCAGTCAAGCGGCTTATCGCATCCCAGGGTCAACTGCTTGTCCAGCGGATCCTTACAGGCATGATGTTCACCTTCCCTGGAGAGTGCTTCCCAGATGCCTCCGGCGTTCTGATGTCCATGTTCGAATTGATGCCTGAAGATGCGGGAACCTGGTTGCAGTCCACTTTGCAAATGCTTCCTGCGGGTACGATGAAGCAGGGCGAGGCTGAGCGTCTATTGAAGGGGCTGTTTGACAAGATCCAGTCTGGTGAGACCCGGAAGATTCGGGTCTTGCTTCAAGGTAAGATCAAATTTACCAGTGGGTGATCGAGTCCCATTAGTTGACAAGTACAGACTTCACCAATTCTTATCGCCGCCGAAATGTGGCTCCCAGAGACGGTCTGGGCCGACTTGAGGCCACCCGATTCAGGTTCAGTGGATAGATGTTCAAATTGGAGGAGCCACGGGACTGAGCAAGTCAGGTCACAGCACCGCTAAGGATTTTGGGAGTGGTGCCCATCACCCACCGACGCTCGGCCTCTGGGTCGGGGCGGACATTGACACGAACACATTCCGCGTCCACGGCATCCATCTGAGAAGATTCAGAATGCATTTGTGCGTCGAGAATCCATTCAGACTGCCCATCATGTATTTTCTCACCCCAGCATCAGCATCGCCCATACACGGTTGCATCAGGTCGTTCTATAAGCATTCGCGGATGATTAGCGGCCACGACCCATCCGGCGGGGGGCAGCAAGCGGACAAAACAGCTTGCACGGTTACCCACTTTGTAAAAACGTGACACCATTAGTATTATAGCGTAGGAAACTTAGATATATTATAAGAACAATGGTACGCCCGTTACTTATAGCAGACCACGAAATCGACATAAAGTCTGGACATTGCCTGGCACGGGTCACTGTCTGACCTACATACTGTATGGTGCAATGAGTACGATGGTATTGGTGATTGCGGCCATATCTCAACTGAAAATCTAGCAGAGTCTAGCGGACTCACATTAGTGACATTCTTATACATGGGTCTGGAACGCAGTTTGTTTTGATGAATGTTGCTTCGTCGACACTGTGGAGGCATACCAAGTGGAATTAAGGAGATTGTGGAGGCCGGAATATTTGTACCTTCATTGACTGCTATCGCCGGGGAACAATTTTTTACTGCAAATACATAAGAAGATGCTCAAAGGCGATATAGACTTTATAAGGGTTAGCAATTTCGAGAACAGGTTGTGTAGTGTAGTGGTTATCACTTTGGATTTTGATACCAAACAAGTTCCAATAACCCCGGTTCGAACCCGGGCACGACCTTTCTTTTGTTGTTTTTTTCCCCCGCCAGTGCAGGCTGATATAGGAGAAAGCTCATCTCGCTTTCGACATAATAGTATACAAAGGATGCTTGAAGAGGGATCTGATATATTTTTTAACCGCCTTGTAATGGTTAAAAGATTATTCAGATTGGGCTCCACGTAGGTGTATATATGTAAGCTCACTGCGTCATTTACTAGCTAGTAGACATTGCTACAGTTTTACTCCTGGTCTATGCTTCGAACTTTACTACTCATTCGCTCAATGACAGATTCCTAAGTGTTGTTGAGACAACTTGTTGCTTATGTGCGATTGTTCTTCCTGAGTCTCTTGTATTGTTGTAGCTTTTGCAGCACAATATGTTCCCAGCTGTGATGTTTATATGTATATGCATCTCGCGTGTAATGAACATTCATAGTGTAGTTTGATGAGATCATCTAACAAGTATTTGAATGTTCTAGTGTTATAGCCGGGTTCCATGACTCTTCGGTGGAGGTGTACGGTATGCATTGTCAACCTTGAACAAGGATTAAGGTTGCGTGTAAAGCATTCCATCCCTCCATCGAATCCGTTCCGCCCTCCGATCGGGATCTGCCCCACCTTCGCAACAGCACGCGGTCTCTCCAACGACCCCGGAGTCTCAGGGTCCATCTAAGATCCCCTCATTGCTCATCTTTCAGATGTATCAGCCCTAGACTCCCACTTCTAATACAATCGTTTGATCCCAGGCGGCTGTCGATTCCGAAGACTGCGCTCACTCGGTGGAATCGGGAGCTGCGCTAAGTCGTGAGTTTCTTCGGAACCTCCCCGGCCATCTTCCCCTCTTCCGTCTCCAATTCCTGATCTTTCCCCAACAGCCTACAATCTGTCGTACGATAAACCTATCCTCGCGCGCGCTGCGCATTCTTTCGGCACCTACAGAGACCCGATACCGCCATTATACTCGGATACTTAGCTTCACATTCTTTCCCATAGATCGAAACCGTCCTCGACATCTGCCCGAAGCTGATCCGTCCCGCCCGCCGAGATTTCGGTCCCCACGGGGTCGCGCGAATCTACAATTGTACCTATCGCTCACGACCAACACACGCTCCCATTGGATTCTTCTCCATTCACTCTAGCTTCCTATGGCTGATCTCGCTACACCCCGAATCTGAGCTCGAGTTCTTGCGGGTCATGTCCGCCCACCGACAAGGCACTAATGATCGAATCTTTCCTTTGCCATATCCTTGCGCATGATGACTTCAGCTATCATTGCAGTAGCTCCCCCGGAACAGGGACTCCAAAGCTCCCGCGAGGAAACACATATGTCGACCGAAAACGATGCGGCAGATGCGGCGCTGGATGGCTCCTCACGGAAGAGGAAGAGAACTCGGAAAGTTCAGACGGATCGCAAATTTGAATGTACCTTTGATGGGTGTGGGAAGAGTTATTCGCGCGCAGAACACCTGTACCGTCATCAGCTGAATCGTTCGTTTCCCCACCTAAAAGGATTACTCAAAGGAGCGTAAGCTGACTAGCGATCAACCTAGATACCCCAAAACAGATCTACCGATGTGATTTTCCCGACTGCTACCGATCTTTTGTCCGACAGGACCTGTGCCTGCGCCATCGTGAACGACACACGACGCAAGGGTCTCAACTGCAGAAGCGGGACAGTTTCGCGCAGGCTACCGTAAATAATGCACCGACTGTATCAACTGAGCAGAACAAGCCGCCCGTGCTTAAGAAAACCCACAGCGAATCCCCGACTGGGGTCCCAATCTCTTCTCCCACACACAAATCAACCCAGGCGTCAGTTGAGGGACGGGTAGATTCCATCACCATCACCAATATCGACGTAAAATCCGCTGCGGTTCCCTCTCGGACAGGGCATTCGCCTCAGGCATACAAATATCCACCACTGAGTTCACAGCCGGGTGTTGAGCTATCAGATCCCACCTTTTCTCGCTCTGTTAGTCTGAGCAACCGAACCACCAGCTCCCCGGCGGGCCAGTCAGCCAGTACTTTCAGCCCCTCGGATTACCATACGCACCGGAGTCATCCATCGACTAGCATGTCTCTACATTCGGGCGAAACAGGTCAACAGAACCGAGGACGTCATTCTGTAAATGAAACGACAATCATATCTAGCTATATGGATGGGCAGTCGCTGGCAAATCCGGCACCATATGCACCGATGCCTGGGGATGGATACGCGGGTATCTTGGCGCCAGCAGTGACAACTTCAGCGCCGGCGACATTGGACACCGTGAGTACTTTTGATGCCTTGGACACTGTTCCCGGTATGATGGCTCCGGGGTCAACGGGGGCAGACCCTGGTTTTGACGCTCTGGCCTCCTGTGTCTACCCGATTTTTGGCGGAGAGACGCACAACCGGTCTCCCTTCGCAATGCCCGAGGATTTCACAGCGTGGCTGTTCAATGACCCTCTTCCCAGCTCGTCCTCGATGGGCTACCCATCTGCAACCAACATGATCCCGAACTACCTCAATGCGATCCAGCTGCAGAACCAGTTTTTGCTGGGCGATCCTGGATACGGGAGTTTCATGAACGGAGTAATTCCGCACGATCCGATGAGCGTGACTAGTATCCTGGACGCCGGGTCTTCACGAATGAGCCTCTCAAATGAAAAGAGACAGGAGCTTCTTGCGCTTATGGGTTCACGTTTTAATGAAGCAGCATACTCAGCAGTTGCAAAACGGAAGGATGCTTTGATGGAAGGTGATATGAATGACGACCGCCATGTCCTAGGACCGCGCATGATGGAGGCCTATATCGCATCGTACTGGCATCATTTCCACCCTCAATTACCCATCTTGCATCGTCCGTCATTTGTCTTGAACAAAGCCCCAAACCTGCTTCTGCTGGCTGTCATAGCTATTGGAGCGTCTACCCTGGACAAGATGTATGGATCAGACGTCACTGAGACCGCAGCTGAGCTGGCGAACTTTATTGCATGGCATTTACGTTGGGAGTTGTTCATGGATGCCGACTTTCGGCCTCCAGCCAAGCTGTGGGTCTTCCAGGCACTACTCCTCCTCGAAGTGTACGAGAAGATGTACTCCACCCGTGCACTGCATGAGCGAGCGCATATACATCATGATACTACCCTTACGTTAATGCGGCGTGGCAGTTCGTTGATTGGCCGCTCTGCACTAGATTCCCCCGCGAGCCTTAGAGACGATCGACAAAGTCGCTCAGTAACCGGGTCGACGTTGACTCCCGATTTCGTGGCGGAAGAGTCATGGACTCACTGGATCAAAGCCGAGGCTACAAGGCGGGTAGCATTTGCAGCCTTTGTGTTAGACTCTACGCATGCGACCATGTTTGGACACTCAGCCAAGATGGTGGCCCACGAGCTGCGTCTGCCTCTTCCGTGCGATGGAGCGCTATGGTCTGCAACCAATGCCTCTGAAGTGGCTCGAGTGCAATCCAGTCTACATGCGAATGGAGTCAAACCTCTCATGTTTTTGGATGGTCTTAAAAGGACGCTCAATGGCCAGCCGGTCCGAACCAATGCATTTGGACGCACCATTCTTATGGCAGGCTTGCTGAGTGTCAGCTGGCACATGAACCAGCGTGATCTCCAGGTGAGTTCGCTGGGTGTGCTGCAGGCATTGGGTGGTCGCGATAAGTGGAGGTCCGCCTTACTGCGGGCTTTCGACAACTGGCGACGGGATTTCGACGAGGCTTTGGGAACGTCGGAGCCAGGATCGTTTACCGGGGGTTACCGAGCGCGACATCCTTGGGACGAAGCCAATGTATTCGAATCGCGCGATGTCTTGCATGGACTTGCACATATGGCCTCCCATGTCGACATTGTGGATTGCCAGGTTTTTGCCGGAGCTGGGCGGCTCATGGGGCGCGCCATCACCCGAAAGGACTACGACGGGGCGCGCGAAAAAATGAACCGATGGGCAACTAAGGCCACGGCCCGCGACGCCACATTCTACGCTCTGAGGTTTCTGTCTGAGTGTCTGTTGGACGAGGAGCGGGTGCTCGATAATGATGAAGCCTACTCGGGACGGGATGACTACCTGCTCAACCGACCATGGGTCCTTTATGTTGCTGCTCTCGTGGTCTGGTGCTACGGGTACGCTCTCGAAGGCCCGCTCAATCACCCCGTCAAATTGGTTCGACCTGCAGAGCAGCGACATGACATGCAGCAGTTCTTGCGGCGGGTTGGCGGAGTTCGCGAACCCAGTGACCTTGAGGGGATGAAAGGATGCAATCAATGTATGGGGTTGCTGATGGTTCTCCGCAATGGGTTCACGAACACTCGCTGGGAGCTACTGACTGAGGCGGCCAATTTACTCAGCAGCTGTATCGACAAGCTGAATGGCGGCGCAGCCGCGTAATGTGGCCGACGTACTGGATTCTGGCAGTGCACATCACTGCAAGTCCCATTTAGTCGGCAGGCTTTTATTTAATCTTCTTGTATATCTAATTCGCTTATCGCAAGCTTTGCCAGAGATGAAAGTTGAAGCCAGCTACTTTTTTTTGTGGTAGTCAAGCTAGGCTTCGAAGGGCGTTTGTGACCATGATGTGACCAGGAATGTTTCATGAGGGAGAGGCCATGGCAAGGAGGTTTTTATGAGCTATTCAGTTCTTTAATCCAGTAGAACCGACCAAGGTTGGCGTTTCTATAGATCTGAACCCAGTACTGCGCGTATTGGAGCCTGAGGTGTCCGGTTACCACAACAACAAGCGCGGGGCGGGCGTCATTGCTTGTTTCGCTCCCTTCTTTGAGTCTTTCCTCCTCCTCCTCCACCGCCTCACCTCCTTTCCTCTTCCTCCCCTCCCCTCCTTCATTCCAGTCAATCGAATATCTTTTGGTGTTTACCCCCCCCACCCCCCAGGTGAACGTGCTGATTAATTTCTTCGTGCCAATTCATCGCCTTGTCACCTTCGCTTATACAGGAAGAACATTCCGTTTGTGGAATCAACAGAACAACAACCATGGTACGTGGCTGGATCTCATTGCTTATGGAGCCATGGCCTGCATTGGGGTTCCTGGCGGGCGGATGAGGAAATGCCCGGGCGACGACACCTTACGTCTTATTGCAGCGCGTCCGCTATCATTAAGACCAGGGATTGATTACTCAATTGATTGTTGTTGACCCTCTGGTGTTGAATCTACGAGAGAGTTGTTTGGAACCATGGTGGAATCCCGGCCCTCTCGTCTGCCCGTCCAATCCCTTCCGCCCCTCGTTTCCGCGGATCGCAGCCTTGCGTCGCTGGTTGCTCGTCACCTCAGCGGCACGATCTGAATCTCTCTCTTCTCTTCTTCATCCCCATCGCTTCCATTCCTTCTCTGCCGTTTCTATCTATCTATCTTTTATCGCATCGCATCTGAAGATGGCACACTCACCTCATTCTCACCACGATCAACAGGCCTCGACCAACTACAAGGAAGCTTTCTCGCTGTTCGACAAGCGCGGTACCGGCAAGGTCGCCATCGAGTCGCTGGGCGATCTCCTCCGTGCCTGCGGGCAGAACCCCACGTTGGCGGAAATTGCGGATCTGGAGAAGAGCGTGGGCGGAGACTGTATGCGCGCGCCCTTGATTCTGGAATTCCTATAAAAGAGGATTGTTGCTGACTGACGATGATCTAGTTGACTTCGAGTCGTTCTTGAAGGTCCTCAACCGCCCCGGAGGATTCCGCGATCCCGGCGAGCCCGAGGAATACACCCGTGGATTCCAAGTGTTTGATAAGGACTTGACTGGATTTATTGGAGTGGGCCAACTGCGCTACAGTATGTTCACGCTCGCTGGGCGATGAGAATAGGGGGATCTGCGATATTGACGATGGCTATAGTCCTTACGAACCTGGGCGAGAAGATGTCCGACGAGGAAGTCGATGAGTTGCTGAAGGCCGTTGACACTAGCTCCGGCGAGATCAACTATACCGGTACGTTTGACAACATCCCCACATCGATCGCGGGGAATTCAGCAAGACTGATATCGAGTTCTGCAGATCTCGTCCGCACCATCCTTGCCAACTGAACGACATACGATACCCTTTCCCTGACGCTTCGTGACGAAATGCCTCCTTTCTTCTTCCCTGCGCGATCCCTGTTGCCGGAGTTGTCGGCTTGAGATTAGATTAGTTCATCTGTTATAAAGTTTATTCCGCTTGTAGTGTATATGGAGCTGGCGTATGCCATTCAGCAAATTTGGAAATGCAAGACAGAACCTTGAGTCTATGTTGAATTACCAGCATCTTCCGATCTCTGAGCTGTAGACAGTTCAAAAAAGGGTAACTTGTACTTCGTAAAACAGTAGGACCAGCATACCCCAGGGCAAATCACGAACTCTCCATCCACCCAGCCCACTCCCGATCCATTGCCCCCAATTTCTCAACATCATTCGCCTCCATGACCCCCGTCTCCATCAACGCCCCCGGCAGAAGATACACCACCTTCGCCCGTCGATTTCCATCATCTTCCTCATCTTCCCCTGCTGCCCTTTTGTTGATCTCCGTCGACGGAAAATGCACCGCATCCAAGAAATACCCCACCACGACGCGACACCGCCCGCACCGGAGCAGCAGGCGCTTCTCGAACCCATCCTCCCGCCTCACCAAGGTGGGTTTCCGGTCTGGGATGGTGGTGGAGAGGAGGATCGTGTAGTGGGGCTGTTTCGCCGCGGCGTTCTCGGCCTTGGGGTTGTTGTTTGTATCCAGCTCGTCATCCAGCTCGTCATCCTCCTCCTCCTCCTCCTCTGCGCGGGGCAGCGGCAGGATCAGCGCGGCATCCTGGGCTGGGGGTTTGCGGCGCGGGAGGGTCGTGATTGTGCGGGTTGTGGCGAGGAGGAGGTGGTTGCAGAAGCGGCAGTGGTTTGTGTGGATGGGGAGTCTTTGTTTTGGTGTCGGAGCGGGGTGGTGTGGTTCGTGGGGTTGTTGGGGTTGGGAGTCGGGGTGTGGGTGTGGGTGTGGGTGTGAAGACATTGTTCTGCGAGACGTTGTTGGCTTTGATTTCGGGTTGGGATTCGTATAAGTTGCTGGTATATTTGTTGTTGAGGATGGGATGGAATTTGTAGGTTATGTCGATCTTGTGGGTTGTGGGCGGTAAGCGTGGGTGTAGATGTAGGTGTGGGTGTAGTGGTTAGTGGTTTTCAGTCATGTTGTATGTACGCGCGGAAGCTGGACTGAGTTGGAGTTGCTTGGAGATGACGGAAATTGATTGAATTGGAAGATGCGCGGGTCCACACTTCACTTCACCCCCACAGGGGAGTGTGTGTGTGCCTGAGGACGCAATCTCTCTCGGGACTCGGAGCACCTGCGGCAGAGCTACGGAGTACCTAGGTAGGTTAAGCTTCTTGAGTATTTAGGGTAGGGCTTATCGATAAGGGAACCTTAGGTTGCTGTGGGCTGTCATCGGGGAGCGACGGAGGGAGGACCTGCATGCATTTGGGCTGTGTTGGGAAAGCTTATTCTTGTGGTTCTTATTGATTACTTTGGCTGATGTATGTAGACTTATGGGCTATTTACAACCATGCGGACTTTTGTAGATCAAGTATTCCGAGTTTGCACAATCTCAACACAATGCAGACTGGCAGGTGTAAGCGATCTCTCGGAGTGTAGATACATTGTCGCACCCGCGTTGACTGAGACACTCGCAAGTATAACATAAGAGTGAGGATATATACAAATAGATCAGGTAGGATCCCTTTTCCCCGCATTGGGATCAACGCCTCTCCTTGACTCTCCCGGTAGCCTTCCGATGATACCCCGTTGCACAGGGCTCCTGGCTGATGTCTCTGTCACAACACGGATGGATGAAAGCCTCCGGCCACTCCTCCTTGCACCATTCACCAGCAAAGCCTTCCCAATCATCCTGGAAATAATCGTTATCAATCTCATAAGGCACTTGAGGTGGTAATGTCAGTTACCTGCAGATATCAGTGGCTATATGTCAAGACTTACTCGGGTGAGAATGGCAGCTCGTGCTCGTATTCTTCGTCACGTCGAAGTCTTCGGTGCAATTCTGGCAGGTTGCGTAACGGAGCTTGAGCTTTTTGTTATCGTCCGAGACGGGGACAGAATCTTGAGATGCTCTCTTTCTCTTGCTCCCGGCTTCGAGGGGTCCATCGGCGCCATTTGTGCTCTTGACTGATACGACCTGATCTTCGGGTGCAAGAAGCCGAGAAGAGAGGTAGCTTCGCGCTTCCGGAATGTCTGCACAGAGGTCTTTCACGATGTTTTGCAGGATTTCTGGGGAAGTGGATGTGATGGCATGCTCAAGCCTTCCGTCAACTTTTGGGTTGGGAACTGGCATTTTGAGTGTTGAGATACGTGTGAGTGTCAAAAATAGCGAATGCTGATGTTTGTATCGTCGGTTGGGGGTTGAGGCGAGCCGAATTGAGGCGTTGTGATTGAGTTTGTGTTGTTGATATTGTGACAAGAGACGCGTCGCGCTAATTGTCGATGGCGTATCAATAAGTCCTCTTAAGGTGTGACAAAGCGCCAGGAGTGTGGAGAAAACGGCTCTCGCATCATCACGTGTGACCTGTCAAGTGTCATGGCTATCGATGGCCAATAGCTCCGAGCTTGCTGAATCGGATTACTTTTTCTTTGAACATCAACGCGCACATGCAGCCACTTGGCTTTGTGATTTGATGCTTATCACGTTCTAGACCAGTATATAGAAATCTCGATCAGTTAGTGTTGAAGATTCTATACGAATCAGCATATTAGTATCGAAGACGTCCCATGAGTTTCCGCCATGTGAGTAACCCACTGATATAACGTCGACGGCCTCTACTCGTGTAGGCCACACAAGTGTATTCAGGTGTTGTCATCGGGCTCGAAGTCTCGACTTGGAGTGGGGTTGTATCTGCTGTGCTACGACGTGCTGGAGGAGGTTGGGCTTCGACCGGTTGCAGGCAGGAGGCGAGATAAATCTTGAAATCGGGACCCTTTGCGCACAAATCTCTCAGGATGTTCTGAAGATCTTCTCGTGAGGCACAATCGATGGCGTCGTCGAGCTCATAGTCAGCGGGTGTGACATCCTCCTTTGTGAGCTCCCGATAAAACTTCTCGATGGCTGGTTCTTCGGTGGCGGGATTCTTGATGGTAGGTAATCCGAGGTTATACTTCTCGATGGGTATATGACTCGATGGCAGGATTTCTGGAGATATCTTTCTTGATTTGGGTTCGTATGGAACGAGATTTAAGTCGACCGGGCCGCAGACGCCCCTATCAGCTACCTCATTCCCCAGTAAGGCCTGCTGCACAGCCTCAAACAGCTCTGCAGGAGGATCGCTCACTGATGACGGGGGCGTATCTCCGTCGAAGTTCACTGGGATGAAAGTCAACACCGACTCGTCTTGCAGCAACTCAGGATCATCTCGCCCTGTGCGTAACCTGTGGTAATATCGTCGATTTGATTTCCTTTTTGCTTCGAGTCAAGCCTCCTCGGTGAAGTATTTGTTAGGTCTGCCCCTTCGATTACTCATTGTGCCGGGAAAGAAAGGTCTGATAGCAGATACATCAGTAACGAAGAAACCACCGAGCTTTTAAGAAACGGAGTGAGCTAGCCAGTCAATAGAGCCATCACGTGATTACGCGTTCAGGACGCGTCTTTTGAGGCTGATTGCACAAAGTGAGGAATATCAAGTTTATACTACCGGTTTTCTTTGATGCCAGTCACTCTATTTCAACCCCGGAGGATTCCACCTGTGGAGACCGGCAGTGGGTCGGGTGGTGCAAGGGGTGGAAAGCTGTGGCTTCGAAATGACATCCTAGATTAGATAATTTAGTTGAGTGGCTTCTCATCTTCACCATGGTTTCTACTCATGATTATATCATCATTTCGCGTATGTTAGACGATTGAACCATGAGTCGACCTGCTTCATCCATAGAGGCTCTTATGTTGATTAGTACTGAATGGTTCTTGAACCATGATTGCAATCGCAATACTCGTGGGAGTATTCTTCTGAACCAGCTCATAGTTCTTTCTCTACAGTATCCTTGGCGCATGAAGCCGCGCATCGATGTCCCATTTGTATATGACTTGGCTCGAGCTTCTGGCCGATTCCCTACCGGAAGATCAGAGATAGGGTTGGACGCCTTCCCGCTAATATGAAATTTGCAACTCGTGCTTGTATCGTTCGTCACCTCAAGCTCCTTTGTAAGAGTGCTATACTTAGCAAAACATAAGCCCAATTCTTCGTAGGACTTGTCAAAAGTGGTTCGGCTCTCTGTTGCTTGCTTCCAGGGGAAAGCGAGCTATCGATAAAAAGAGATATACATCGCAAAGGGGCCCGACGCGACTATGTCGCGCCATTAGATTTCACTAGACTTCTTGGAGACAGCCCCAAGGTATTGAGGAGGATGAAAATCATCCACTCTTCATGCAAATCATTGCGGACAAATGGTTTCCAGCAAATTATTCCGACCTGTGGAATCCTATTCGACAAGGCTGAAGGGTATTCCTGCCGCAACACTCGTGGATGAATCCCGCTGGATGTTCCTCGCGGTATTGATCACTATCGACGTGGTGAATCTCAGGCTCGTCAACATCAGCAAAGTAGATATCGTAGTCGGGCTCGCCACGTGGTTCTAACCCGCAGCAAAGAGGTGGATCGGTTAGCACAGCTGATAGCGACAAAACATAGATAACAGGGTATAATTATGTGTCGGAGTTTATCCTACCCTCATGCCAGCGACAGCTCTTGTTTGTATTCTCGGTCAAATCGTATTCCTCTTCGCAATGGATGCAGTACGCGTAGCGAGGCTTGAATCGTTTCTGGGGGTTATCGAGATCTGCGATCGAGGTAGAGCCTTCTCGCTTTCTCTTGTTATTGGCCCCAGAGATTTGCGATTGATTGCTGGAATTCTCATCATCGTCGTCGACATCCTCCTCATCGTCGTACTCGTCCTCGCTGTCATCACTTCGGATTGAGCGGTCGTCATCGCTGGTGGGGACAGGTATCTTGTCCTCCGGTACTAACAATTCGGAGGCAATGAGGCCCCTCGCCTCAGGAATGGCGGCACATATTCTAGTCAACACGCGCCGGAGATGTCCAGCGGAGGTTGTATTGATGGTGTACTGGAGCTGATTATCCATGTCGGGGTAAAGGATCGTCATGCTTGCGGTATGGGTAGAATGGTGTAGGTGGGCAACGTAGAATACTCGCTCATTGAAAATATTGAAGATGAGAATAAAATGAGACTTGTTGTGACTCGCATGAGTTTCTCCAGGTGCGACGCGAAGGGAACACGCTACGTAATGTCGCGGCGGGAAAGAGCAATGCCAAAAGACCGGGGTCACTATCGCTAGTCATGGCAGAAGTGACGGTACTATTAGCGAGGCTCGAAGGCGGGGAAGCCGCCAGCCTTCCAACAACCGACTTGGTCTGATCTGAGTCTTCTCTTTCTAGTCCTAGACACTTTCATGTACGAGTTATGGCAGCAACGATATTCAGATTTTGAAACTCGCACATATCTAAGAGAATCTGGAGCCGAGTTCCTCCACGGCACATTCATGTTGTCTTCAGATCTTCCTGGACAACCTCCGCTAGTCCGCTCAAGGTTGTCCCCTCGTTCAGAATACTGAGAAAAGAGATGTCTGTCTTGAACGTCTGGTAAAACCAGGTCCGAAACTCTGCTGCCAACATACTATCCATCCCAAACTTGGTTATAGGTGTCGTGATGTCGATCTTTTCAACTGGGACCAAGATCAACGACGAAAAGCGTTTGACGACAACACCAACTATGGCACTCAGAATATCTCCACCCGCTTCCATAGGCGCTGCTACAGCTTCAGGGAGACCGGACGCAATGACTGAGCCACCAGAGTTGCTTTGTCGGTTCAGAGCACTTGAGAGAAGCAAGGCGCGGGCATCGTTCAGTGTCGGATTTGTGCCTTCGAAACCCTTCTTTCTGAGCTCCTTTAACCCGAATGGCTCCAGGCCGGTGAGAATGTGGCTCTCAGCCAGCGGATCAGTCGCAATGGAATCTCTATCAGGCTGAGAGCTAAGGGCTATATCTATGATCTAGAGTAACTCCCTCTCATTGATGGCTTGGATACCTTTCCTCAGCAACAGGGCTTCAATTTCTTGGTTCTCATGAAGATAGCCGACCTCAGAAATCATACCCAGACCAACGGAGGTAGCAGGGAGCCCTTGGGAACGTCTGTAACGAGCAAAGATGTCAAGGAAGTAATTTGCAGAGCAATAATTGGACTCGGTTGCTGTTCCCACACTACCAGAGACGGACGAGGTCATGAGGAAGAAGTCAAGGCTCGAATCCTTGCCATTGATTGCATTGTGAAGGTTGAATGTTCCGATAAGCTTGGCATCAATGCCGTTGTGCCAGTATTCATTGGACATGGTGGTCCAGAGGGATTCCTATCTCGCTGTCAGTGTCTTTAGTGGCACGTCAAAGTACGAAAACGAACGCTAAGGCCCATTGCTGCTTGAACAACCCCCCCGATATCGCCGTCAATCGCCGCAACACACCGTTCAACGTCAGCATAATTGCACACGTCGCCGCGTATTACAATCACAGTCGCTCCGCAGCCACGCAGGTCCTCCACAAGATTACGCGCTGCTGGTTTATCACTCCCTGAGCGGCCAAGGAAGACGAACTTTTTTGCTCCTTGAGCAATCATCCACTTTGACATGCTTCTACCGAGTCCGCCAAGACAACCGATCATCAAATAGGTCTTCTGATCTGAGAAGTGTGTGTCGTAGGAATCCTGAGCAACTGTACACTTGATTGAATACGATTCAAAACATACCTTTTGGCTCAAGCCGATAGCTTTAACAGAAACTTCGACATGATTACCTGAGAGCTCGGTTTTCGCTCCGACATCCTCTTCGAATGCGAAAGTATCGAAGTTGCCAAGCTCTTGGATAGTAAGTCTTGCGGCCTTCGTGTCGTGAAGAGGTTTAAGCGTTAGAACTTCGTCCTGCTTCATCCGGAATGTCTGATTCAGGTGTTCGTCAGGCACGAATCGGCTAATATGAGCCATGCCATTTCTTTCCACATATTCGAAGTCGGGGTTCTCAAGTCGGTCAGCATCTTCGATTACAGCTATCAAATTGCGAGCCGTTTTCTTGCTCAAAGCCTCAAAATCACTGGCATGATACACAACGAACCGCAGAGATGGCTGCTCGAGCATGATTGCACGAGATAGACCCGAGACTAGAGCGTATTCTGGGTGGGTGCCATCCATTAAATCCGCTCCAGTGAGCCAGATCAGATTTGATGCGTTATCTGTCATAAGCTTAACCTTCGTCATTTTGGCAGCAGTCAAGGTCGAAAGGATAGGTTTGTGGAGCTCAATAGTGCTCACGACAGTTGGCCTGCTCTTGAACTCAGCGATTGAGAGTTGCCGAAGCGGCACTCTACGGATATCCCTTTTGAAATAAGCAGCCAGCATTGGGGCCATGAAGTCATTGAACGCTTGGTCCCCTTCTTGCTCAACGACAAGAATGCTCGTCATTTTAGGGTCCTTTTGATCACTGTTCTTCAAGCGTCGGAGTACCACTTTCTCGCCCGAGCCTACCACCGGGAATTCCAACACAGGAAGCTCGAGGTCGAGACGTGGCTTGTTGCTTCAGACCCTATCAGTCCGATGAGAATACCTCCATCCTTGAGTAGTCCCTGTATGAGAGATAGCTTCTCGATGCCATAAGCCATTCCGCTTTCTCCGCTTGGGAGAAGAATCACATCAAACATCTTGCCCGTTTGCGCCGTTGCTTTGTCGGACCTGTCTTCGACATCTTCAAACGACACAAGACGTTGGGCGAAAATTTCGCCATCTTCAGAGACATAGCCACGATAGTATGATGCACACCGTGAGAATGCAGTCTCAAACCGAAGCATGTCAAGGAGGTTCTTAGTAGCATCTGCTCCTGATCCTCCAAGTTCAAGGATGTCGAGAGTGGGATTCTTGTGTGCAACAAGGTCGACAACTGCAGTAAAGCTGACTAGATTGTTTGGCAATGAGTTTCGCCGTGTGGCATTGAATGACTTTACATATGTCGCAAGATGAGATGATTCTTGAATTTTCGAGATGTCAGGCTTCCACACGACACGGAGCATTGGATGACGCTCATCTTCATTCTGATCTGCAGCGGCGCCTTGGAATGTAATGAGCTTGACATCCTTCAACTGGGCACATACCTCGCCATTGCCGTCATGAAGTTCGGCATTGATTTGAATGACCCCCAGACCCAATGCCTCAGATTTGGCATCGATGATCTATTTTGAAACACCTGGTGGTTAATTTGGAGCTCTAAATCTTGCTTCTGTCACCGAAGTCGGGACTTTGCAGGGAAGATCTGTCAAAAGACCGGCGGAGCTTGCGATGAGACCGGTCTGGAATAAAGCATCGATGGTGATGGGGTGAACGATGTACTCAGACTCCACCTCTGTTCCGCGTATACTTCCAGTCTTGTACGGCACTGTGGCTTGAGCATAAGGAAGTTTTTTCCTGCGGTGTGTGGCCACACTTTCAATGGTTCTGAAAGAGTCACCAAAATTCAATCCAACTTTGACAAACCTATCGTACCAGTTTCGAACGGCAAGCTCTTCGAGTCCCAATCTCTCAACAGTGATTTCTTTTCTCAAAGCTTCGCAGTCTTTGTCAATTGACACCATACCAGTTGCATGGACCACAGCGCTGTTGCCGTTGTGCGAACTGATTTCAAATTGATGCCATCTATTGGAGCTTGTGGTTCGTGAGATTGATGCTCGGCGGATAGTGGTGAAAATCTCAACTCCAGGGTCATTTGTATCTGGAGAGAGCTCAAGAGCCTTTGTGATATGAAGATTACGGAATGTCACCGTTGGATTGTCTTTCTTCTCGATGGAAAGGACCTGGCTCGCAGCCTCGATACCCATCGAGAGGTAGGCAGCGCCGGGCAGCACAACCGCTTGGCCCAACTTGTGGCCTTCAACTCAAGGAATGTCGCGAATCCTGAGTTTGTTGCGCCATATTGTCGTGACTCCAGTGCCTCCTGGCATCGCTGCTCCAATCAGGTCGTGGTGTGGGTACTTGCGGGCTCGGAACTCGCGACTCTGCCTGCCCTGATACCACAGTTCGGTACCATCGTAAGTCCACCGGTACGGCGGGAGGTCAGCCATCACGGACCCTTGCCTTTCCAAGTCGATAATCATGTCAACTGTTTCCACATGGTTGACTTTGGAAAAGTCGATATCGTGTCCGTGAAGGAAAAGTTGTCCCATCTAGCTCAGCATGAAATCCACTGCATCTTTCCCTCTGGACAAGACGTTAGAGTACTGAACGTCAGCCTCACTGAGCCCAATTTTTGCTCTTGTTTGCTTTATAGGTAGTTCAAGTGCGGAGTGCGGTCCAATCTCAATCAGATGGTACTTTGAATGCTTCACTAGTCTTCCAAAGGCATCGCTGAATAAGGCTGGGCTCTCCAGATTTTCTCGCCAATAATTTGGGGAAATCGCACCGATGACTTCCTCGAGGTGAACAGAGGATACCCAGCGTGCATGATGAGTCGCTGTCACCGAGGTCAGTGCAGAGAGTCTTGCTTCCAGCAGCTCTTGATACTGTTTACCGATCAGAGTCATATGATGAGAATGGTAAGCACGCCCGTCAGTTTTGAGCTTTCTTGCAAAAAATTTCTAGACTGGAGTTCTGAGAATAGCAGGTCTATCCCAGTAGCGTCGCCACTGACAGTGACGGACTCGGGGCTATTCACGCATGCGACTTTGACCATCCTAGCGAGACCAAGCGCGTTTATCTCAGCCTTGGCAGATTCATTGTCCAGGCCTGCAGCCATCATGCCTCCCGGAACGGGCTGGCTTGCAGTACTGATAACATAGCCCCGATAGTACGCGACGGTGATAGCTTGAGAGGCCGTCAAAAATCCGGCGGCATAAGCGGCCCCGATCTCCCCAGAGGAGTGGCCGATAACGCGCTCAGGCCTGATGCCACATTTATTCAAGAGATTCACGTATGCAATCTGTATCGCTGTGCATACTGGCTGTGATCGAGAAACATGGTTGATCTTTGCTGGGTCCGTAGACTCGGTCAGGACAGCTTCTAGGGTCCACGAGGGTGCTTCGGGAAGTGCCTGGAGTACGGCATCCAGATCCTGAATTGTGCTGCGAAACGAAGGAAACTCATTCAGAAGTTCCTTTCCCATCTGAGGCCATTGAGCTCCCTGGCCGGTAAACACGAAACCTATCGGCAGCACGGAGAAGGTTCCCATGGCTGTGGTCCGAAATCTCTCTGGCTGGAGGTCATCTTTCTGAGTGGTTTGACCAACAAGTGCGAAACCACGATCAGACAGTCTGGAGCGGCGCGTTCCCAAAGTGTGCGCAAGATCAACGAGATTAAAGATGTCTGGTGATGTAGCAAGTGCGGCCGCTTGCGCTTCGATAGCGGATGGATTGCTCGCGGAGAGCGGAATGAGGAATTTAGACCGGCTCAGGGATAGTGTCAAGGAGATCTCGTCGGAGGTAGTGACATACGTCTGAGGAGACTCCAGAATGGCACTGTCGAAAAATCAGCGTCGAAACTTTCTCAGTGCTTGTAGTGGCTGGCTTACTGGCTATTGGCACCTCCATAGCCGAAGGAATTCACACCTGCTCGTCGAAAGTGCTTTCCACCGACTGACTTAATTGGAAATCTCTGCTCCTTGGTGACAACTTGGATTCCCCATTCTTTTTCCTTACTCTTCGGGTTGAGCTTCTTCAATCCGATGGTTGGAGGAATGTGGCCTTTCTCCAGAACAATTGTGGTCTTGATAATGCTTGAGATTCCACTGGCAGCTTCACCGTGGCCAAGATTTGGCTTAATCTAGTGAGGCAAGGCCATCAGCTCCGGAAAGGCTTCTGGGAATTACAGACAAGAGCTTACTGATCCGATATACAATGGCGGTGCTTCGATTCGACCCGCCCCAAACACACGCGAGACCGCTTCTACTTCGATCGGGTCACCGACTGGAGTCCCTGTTCCATGACATTCAACATAGCCTGTCTGAGAGAAGTCATGCAATCCTGCCTTTGCGTATGCCTTCCGGATCACCGCTTCTTGACCGATGGCACTTGGCAGAGTGATTCCAGGTGTTTTGCCGTTGCTTTTTAAATGGCATGTCAGCAAGCTGCAAGCTCGTATTGCGCAAAGCACGGTACAGTACCTATTAACTGCGGTTCCTCGAATGACAGCACGAATCGGATCACCGTCTTCGATGGCCTTGCTTAGTTTCTTGATGAATAGAGCCCCAACAGCCTCTCCTCTCCCATATCCATCTGCAGATGCATCGAAGGTATGACATGTGCTGGTTGGAGACAAAACACCAGCTTTCATAGTCCCGATGTGCTGCTCTGGAGATTGAACGAGATTGGCAGCGGCCACAATCGCCGCATCACACTCGCCGGCGTCCAAGGCAGTACAGGCAAGATGGAGACTATACAAGGAGGACGAACATGCGGTATCCAGAACAAAGCTAAGTTAATCAGCACACATCTTTCCAGGCACAGAAAAGGAGCGCACCTTGGGCCCCGGAGATTGAAGGTATGGCTGATGCGGTTGGCGAGAATGGTCGTTCCCATTACGGTTGCGCTAAGTCTATGGAAATACTCGGAATCCCCGGCCTGCATTGTCCAAAAATCCATGGCAAAACTTCCGACATAGGTACCGATATTGGCCCCGGATACCTTCTCAAGAGGTACCCCAGCGCTTTCGAAAGCTTCGTACACCACTTCGAGCAACTTCCGCTGCTGAGGGTCCATGTACGTCGCCTCGAGGTTGTTAATCCCGAAGAAACTGTTCTCAAAATTGCGAATGTTCTCCTTGAGAAAGTATCCGCCTCGCATGTCAAGGCTGCCAGGTCTTTCAGACCCATTGGGATGATAGAACCCATCAATGTTGAATCTAGAAGGAGGGACATCACCTTGGCCAGACCCTTCGGCAACGAGTAGCTCCCATAATTCCTTTGGAGATCTCACACCCCCGGGCAGCCGGCAACCTAAACAGATGTCAATCGCTAATGCTCATCATGATCGGAGAGCCTCATACCAAGCCCGATAATAGCGATTGGCTCGTTCTCAAAGGGGCCGTCACTGACTCCATCGGGTGTTTGGAAGTCAGATACTGAAACGGTTGGAGAGAACTCGCTCATTGCTCCTTCCAGTTCGTTGAATGTTGGGCTCATGTCGTCGACTTGAGGCTCTAAAGGCTCATTCCTCTTTCGTGACCAAGATATAGCTGTTTCGAAGAACTCCTAATTTACCAGTGGCTGTTATATCTGGACTCTTTCTGCTCAGCCAGGAAGAAGGCTCTTTTATATGGAGCCTCGATTTTCTGTCTGAATTTCGAGGTCTCCTTGTCGGAGTTCGTAAGCTACAAAGAGTATCCGAGACAACACTCTGCATTCCACGATATAGTCCATCCTTGAGCATGACCCTCGAAGACTGACCAGGTCTATGTCAGACAATGATCCCAAGACACAGGTTACGCTACGCCAGCTCCGCTTCTCCTGCGGTCCGGACGCCTGACTGTCATTCACCCTCCATTCTTCAACAACATACCGATATACCGCTCACACATCCTTTCGTCACGTCGATCCTGAAAGGATAGAGCCTGAAGATTACCTGTACGCTGAGAAGAATGGGAGAAGATCAGGATGCACGATCCTTGAAGCATTTTCTGATTCGCCTATCGCTGGTCCTCCGATCTCACACTCGGAGTCATCAAAGCCCCATAGACTTTCAATGAGCAAGTTATCGACTATGGAGTGAATGGCTTCGAGGTGCAAGGTTCTGAAATCCAGACCAGTTTACTACGAGCTCACTCAAACATCAACAGCTGGCTCAAAGCATACCCTACGCTTCGAGGCGGAACAAGGCCTGCGGTTGTGGCACGTTGCAAACATGGCTGCTCCATGAGCATGGCGAACACATGGGATGAGTCTCATGTGGGCTGCATACAGTAGTGTGACTCGAGGCATTGCACGGTTATCTTGATTCTGCGATTGTCTTAGAAGGCTCTCCGAGTTTCAAATTTACCCGACGTTATTTTGCAGAACGATGGAACAAGGAAAAGCTTGATAACACCCAGTTGTTGGTCCTCTCCACGAACTGCAGGAGAGCTATTTCATTCATAGGTTTGTTTTGTTTTTTCTAGTTGACCCCGAATTTTACAGTCAGCCCCCATTTCTTTTCCTTCTATCTCTACCTCTCCCTTAAACCTTAAGTGACTTGATTGAAGCAAGTGCTCTACTCTGTACCTTCTCTTGACCTATTTATCCCAGAACCCATTAATCGAAACATTTCTTCACGGCTATCATCACCTCGAATGCTTTAATCGACAGTTGGCTGTTTCTTCGCAATGACTATCACGAGTATTTCTCTTCGGGACTACCTCACGGTGTCGAATTTCACATTCTATGGAGCTTCCTTCATCTTTGCCTGCTTGGCCTTCAACTACATCAGAGCCTGGTTCTTTCTCAGAAAATTCCAAGGTTCATGGCTTGCGTCTTTCTCGGAGCTATGGCTCGCCAAGACAGCGCTATCAGGTCGCTTTCACGAGATCCTTTTGGAAGCAAATAGGATACATGGTAAGCAATGACTCTCATGCCGAAATGATCTTCGATGCTGATGTGGGTAATGACCGCAGGACACTTGGTTCGAATTGGGCCGACCACACTGCTCACCGATGACCCGGACATCATTCGGCACATGAATAACGCCCGCAGTAAACATGCCAAAACCGACTGGTATACGTTCATGAGACTCAACCCGTACATCGACAATATTTTCTCCGAGCGAGACCTAGCCAAACACGATCAACTGCGAGCGACTATGGGACCAGCGGTAGTTGCTATCTGCCAAGGTGGTCGGATTGCAAATGCTGATCATGCATCTGTAGTATACCACAAAGAACAATGCCATCCTCGAACGCAAGATCGCAAGAAGTATCCAGACCTTTCTCCACTACATTGATGGGCGCATTGACCGCGGAAATGGAAACTGTACCATGGACTTTAGCAGGGCGTGCCAATTCTTTACCCTTGATGTCATTACCGATATGGCCTTCGGAGAGCCGTTTGGGTATCTCGCCACCGACCAAGACTTGCATGGCTACCATACCACTTTTGCTGCAGAGGCACCTATGATCTCGGTGATTAATTCCATGCCAACGTTGTGTCGTTTCATGAACCGTGACTTTGTCAAGAAGCTGTGGGGTCCAAGCACTAAAGATGAGAAGGGTATTGGGAAGCTTATGGCGTACGGAATTTTGCAAGACGCAAATTGAAGAACTCTGCTGATGCGAGATAGAATGGCCGAGGCAACGGTCAAGAAAAGAATTGAGTCGGGCAAGAACGAACAGGATATGCTTGGATCGTTCTTGAATCATGGCATGTCTGTCGCACAAGCCGAGGCTGAGATCTTGACCCAACTGTAAGTTCCCTTGCATTGCCTTTTCCCTAAACCTATACTGTATCTAAACTGCACAGTTCTGCCGGAACCGACTCCAACTCCGCGGCACTTCGAGGAACGCTGCTGCATATTTTCACTTCCCCACCTGCATACAACAAACTCCGCGCTGAGATCGACGAAGCAATCCGAAGCGGTAGGGTTTCCCCATAGGCAACCGCGGCAGAGGTGGCTGGGCTGCCGTACCTTGATGCCTGTATTCGCGAGGGGATGCGCATTTGGCCTCCTTTCGCAGGGCTCAACATCAAGCAAGTCAACAAGGATGGAGAGGTCATCAAAGGTAAGTTCTTTCCCGGCGGGACGGGCATCGCAACCTCTTTCTGGGGCTTCCAACGCAACCCTGTCTTTGGCGAGGATGTGGAAACCTTCCGACCGGAGCGTTGGCTTAAGGCCACCCCTGAAGAGAGGGCTCGGATGGAGAAGGTCAACGACCTTGTTTTTGGGTACGGGAGATGGCTGTGTCTGGGACGACAGATGGTAGTCATGGAAATGAAGCAGGTCATCGTCGAGGTACGTGTGCCGGCTTGGTCGCCTTCAGACCGGTTTAGAAGCTAAGCCTACGTGCTGACTATCCTCAGCTTTTGCGACACTTTGATTTTTCAATCTACAGTCCTACCTATCCTTGGACTGTGAAGAGCTATGTTTTCATGCTGATTCAGGACATGCAAGTGACCATTACGCGTCGTGTTTAGATGGTCGGTCATAGTTGATATGAGGTGTGATGGGGAAGAAGTCAGGTGGCACGGCAAGATCTTGAACAGCACATCTTTTTCTGGTTATGGTGAACAATAGCAATGGGTACTTCGTACATTGGTACATTGAATTTGAATGATTTTGATGCGCAATAATTATGCCTTGGCCCGGAGATTGTACTCAGACCTATGGTTCAAGTTGAGTTTCGTCATTGATTTGAATCATCTGAATCCGAATGTTTCTCCAAGAACTGCAAACCAAGCAACCGATACGCCACCCATGGTACAACCGATGCAGTGTAACATTTCCCCAGATGATCTGCAAAAAGCAAGAGTTGAATAAGGCTGCCTCGAATCAGAATATGGGGCTCAGTACCCTGCTACAAACACAACGTTGGTCAATGGAGTAAGTCATAAGACATTGCCAGTACAGGTGGGAGACTGCTGCTTACGGACTAACTTATTCTATGTCTAGAATTCGCCGAACGATATAATTTCCTATTGAGGTGCGGACAGAAAACACTCAGACCGGAAGTTTTCAAAATTAAGGATTGTGGGTGCTAGAAAGAATATCCTTCAATTCGGATGATATCACACCCACCGGGATAACTACAACGTACCCCTAAGATTCGAAGATAAATGGGACCTTTCAGGACACAACTGCCAACCTCTCATTATATAAGAGACATTGCCTCGATACTAACGATCATCACCACATTGTTCAGTTTGAGTTGATAGAACCACTTTCCCAACCATTCACAATGCCCGAATGCTTCACCTCCCCCGGTCCCTATGGCAAGCAGACGTTCCCAGCTCCCGGCCTCCGAGATATCACCCGCAACATCACCACCCACAATGAGGAAGGAAAAGGCGTCTTCCTTCCCCCCACCAACTCCCAATGGGACTCTCCCATGGCCAACGGCTGGGCCATCAACAACGTCATCTACAACACAACCGGCTTTCCAGTCGACCTGAACGACGGCCAGGATCTTAAGTATTCCAGCACCCACGAGGTACAGTGCATCGCACACATCCTTTTTCTCAGTGCATTGACACCTCCTACCACGCACACCCAGGAAAGCCCCCAACCTGCTAACCCACAGCAACTGAAATCTAGCCCGGCCTGATGGAGAACGAAGGCTCGCTCATCCGGATTATCGACTTCGCCCCGGGCTGCGAATCCAACGCGCATCGGGCCCTCTCCCTGGGCTACGGGGTGGTCTTGGAAGGGGAATTTGAGTTCGAGCTGGACGGTGGCGAGAAGCGCGTGATGAAGCGCGGCGATGTCTCTGTCAACCGGGCTACCATCCACACCTGGCGGAATTTTTCGCCGACGGAGCCGGCGCGGATGCTCTATGTGCTTTTGCCTATCAAGCCGTTGTATCTGGATGGGAAGATGGTGGAGCAGGATATGGGGCGCTTGGCGGAGAGTTATCCGGCTGATGAGAGGATGTAGGATCTTGTCTTAGGGGAGTTGGTCAGTTTATGCATGCTAGTAGTAAGGGATCAGTTTTTACTCTAGTCTGATGGGGATGGGAATTTGATTTTGGATGTTGTGTGGGCTTTGGTCGATATAGTATGCTCCGCACCTGGGCGTCGAATTAAGGCTAGATACTACATTGATTCGTATTGCTTATGGTATCTAGTACTAGGCATAGTATTTTGCATTGCGAGGATGGCTACGGTGACTGCTAACTTCGAATGCGCTCAACATTTCGGTGGGTTAAGCGTTGCCAACTCAAACGTATTCTTCTGCCTCTCTCAATGCATAGCAAATCCCCGATGATTTGATTTATGACCATAGCCAGACTTTTACATTGCATACCTTTTCTTCTTTGATTAAGCCGCTTCTAGCTACAGCCTTTCCACGTGTGGTCTGCAGGCTTGATGTAACGCTTATATGTGAGACGTCATCCTCTCGCACTACCTGTCGTATTCATGCTTTCCAGCTGTTTTTTCTCACACTATCTCCTAGACTAACTCAACGAGTATCAGATTTCTTAGTTCCATTTAATCCGAGGCCGGCAATACGACCCTGCTGACTCTGTAGAAGCGTCAGGAACTCGGAGCCCAAGCTCAATGCCCGGGGATCAATCGAGGTATCAGATACTACTCTGCCTGGTGATGACCATCAAGCCAGGAAGGCTCAGAAACTTCGTTCCTTGGCCAAGTGGCTGAATGCCGAGCAGCAATCCATGTTGGAGACTGATGCAGTCTCAATCGAAATCAACGAAAATTGGAGGTTTCTACGTCACTCTGCGAACGCATCTGGAAGTGTAGTTTGATGGCCATGTGCCCCTGTTGAGTATTGTGCCTGCAGCTCTTGGCACGATTTTGCATGCTACTATACAGTCTAAGGGCCAGATGATATCTTGTTCGCTAACTTCTGTTCTCGAGGTCTGGCACATTGAGCAGTTATCACGCTGGAACAGGCCTCATCCTTGTTGTTCAGCTGGTTTATTGAGGGAGTCGGAAGATGAGTCGTGATGTACCTCTGCCGCAACAAGCTGCTGTTGATTCCTCACTTTGCTGACGACACAATCCAGAGAACCAAGTCTCCTGAGCAACCGGACCGATCATCAGAATTACATTCGGACTTGTGTAAATTTCTCAATATCGCCTTCGAGACTTACCAGCTAGATCTGCGATGATACAGAATAGATTTGGCTTTTGTTCCGGAAAGGATGTCCTTGCTTACTGGTGGAGTGCGTGTCACTCGGAGCGAAAATCAGATTTTCAAGGTAGAGCTTACTGATCCCTACGCCAGATTGCGTCCTCGGCTTTCATTCATACGACGGTTGATTTGGCTCGCAACTAGCCCGAGAGCCGTGATCCTCGGAGGAGCCATACAGTCAGCATAGGTCTGGCCGCTGTTGTGTCTCTTATGCTCTCTTCAAGATCACAGATTCCGTTGACGACTCGCTCAGAAATTCATATCTTTTAGCTTCTTATTGACCATGGCTGGGATATTTGCGTTGATCACCGGGTAACTCTCTCAATACCGAGATCATCTTCATTTACTGACAGTATGCCCTAGCTGTGGTGCAGGTGGCATCGGCCAAGCCCTTGCGTATGGTCTACGTGATAAAGGTACTGCACCGCAGGGCTGAACTGGGCTTTAGAAGATCCTAACGTCTATTGAGGCTACACTGTTATCGCCACGCTGCTTCCCCACGAAGACGACACTCATTTAATTGCTCGCAATGTCAAAGTCTATAGAGTAGATGTGACGAGCGAGAAGAGCGTCAAAGAGCTTCATACGGCTCTCGAGACTCTTACCAATGGTAGACTTAATATTCTAATCAACAACGCGTGAGGCCTATTCTCATACCCGCCAGTCGTTGACTGACAGCCTCCCAGGGGAATTGTCTACACAATGCCAGCAGTAGACACGGATGCCGCCCAGGTCGAAAAGATGTTCCGTGTTAACGTTTTCGGGCCGATGCAGATGGTGCATGTCTTTCATCGCATGCTCATCGCGGGGCAAGGTGTGATTGTGAACATCGGCTCCATAGGCGGCATCTGCCCATACGTCTACGGATCATCATACAACGCAAGCAAAGCTGCCTTGATCCATTGGGGAAACACTCTACGCGTTGAGATGTTGCCGTTTGGGTTCGTCGTGCAATCACCTCCCTTTCACTACAAGATTTGGAGGGGGCTAACGGTTACTAAAGAGTTCGCGTGGTGAATGTGATATCCGGTGAGGTAGCCACCAACATCCTCAAGACGGATTTCAATCGTAGTCTCCCTGAGGGCTCTGTTTACGGGCCCCTCGCCGATGCCTTTCGGCAGCACGTTCGTAGGACTCCCAGTAAGTGGTTCTGACTTCCTTCGGTTACAATTCGCAAACGCACCCACTAACTGACTTTCCCTCCTGCGTAGATACAATGACGCCAGAGGAATATGCCAAGGGTGTTATAGAGGAGATAGTCAAGCCTTCGCCCAAAGCATGGTTCTGGTATGGCAATGCGACGACTTTAGTCTGGTTCTTCAGAACGTTTCTCCCGCATACGGCCTTTGACTGGCTCTTTTACCGCTGGTTCAACTTGGAGAAACTGGCAATCAGATTCAGGGAAGGAAAGATTGAGGGTCTTTAGGGTATCTGGGTTCCTGTCCATGTTGTGATCGTTTTGGCCGCGAGTGCGAGCTACAGTAGTGTACATCCTGCTTCGGATTCCATCGTATTCACAGCGCATGGTTTTCAAATCAAATTCTTATTTCTAGCTTCCCAAATTAGGTCACGAACAGTTTTCCTTGCAGCAAAGGCCTTTCCCCCTCTCTTCTCATCTTTGGCATATTTTTCTAGTGGTTAAAGTAGTGCCAAGGAACTGGCCCAGCGGCCGCTATCTTAGAAGCACCTCAGACAGAGTCAGCAGATGAGTGAGTATCGTTTTGCGGGATTTTCACCGCAAGGTGTGAGGAACCGTCTGTTGCTGCTGCTGCTGGTGATGGCGCCGAGAATCATAAGCTTTGAGTCAAACAAGTAAAGTTCTGTGAATACAATCAGGTACTGTACATATCTGGAACCACCTGTTGTGTTTAGTGCATGAAGATTGGTTCCACCTGAGAGAAGCGGGCAAGATTGTCGCGAATGGCATCTTTTTCCTGGATTCGATAGAACCCTTCACGTGCATTGTTGCTTTTCACTCCGAGTAAAATATATTTTCGGGATCCAGACAACAGAAAACGAAAAGCCATCAACGAATACACGCAAGAGGTATCAACGCTGTAGCTCGGATCTAGTACGTTGAGATCACAATACTCAAGGGTCCTTCGAGATCGGGAAGTATGCGCAGTAAGGCTGCATGATGACTGTCATTGTTTCCCCTCCGTTCACCCCCTCAATTGCCACTTCGAATCCCTGCGAAGATATCATTTTCATGAATATTGAGAGCGAAATAACAAAAACCAAAAAAGAAATGCTTTGAGGGCCGAGCGTGGATCGAACACGCGACCTCGAGATCTGCAATCTCTTGCTCATACCACTGAGCTACCGACCCTTTTGGAGCGAAAGTTTAATACTCGGAAGAAACCTCGTTTCCCACGTCACTGCTGTATTTTTCGAATCTACTGCTCTTCATATTGAAAGTTTGGACAATTCCGCTACAAGTTATCGGCATGCGAGAGAGCCATTACTCAAAGCTCAATTGTCCTCGCAAGATGACACCAGAATATTTTGGACTGGGTATATCCTTTGCGATGATGAGGCGTGAATGGATGCAGGTGACATTGGAGCATCGCATGACGTGGTGAGTGAAGGGATATACAAAATGGAGGATAACTGTAGTCTTTTGTTTGAGAGAGATAGACTGTACGTGACGAACTCCCTCTCTGTGCTGGGCTCACTCATCTCTACTACTGTCTAACCCTAGAAGTTCTACCTCTACACGTCTCACAATGTCCAAGTCCCCCGAGCCATTTACCTGGAAAAACGGCTTCCGACAGCCCTCTGCAGGCGAGCCTTGGAGATATCCCAAGCCTGGCGCAGAGAAATTCCCTAATCCTCAACCGCACTATGTGACTCCTCCCTCTGTTGATATCGTGACTTCGTCTGTGCATAATTCCCTTGGGGAGAGCAGACTGCGGTCATGGCCCACCATCTTCAACGGCACGAACTCGCCCGCTGGACCACTGGGTTGGTGGAAACCATCTAGCGAGGTGGATGTGCTCATTGTAGGAGGTACGCAGCTTGCCATAGCTCCTAGCTCAAACAGCGTTTTGATTGTACTGACTCGCAGTTCTCGGGCTCAGCCGGACCAACAGGTCTAGAAATCGCTCTCAGCCTTGTCCGCCAGGGCGTTGACATCCGGATTCTGGACAAAAACGAAGGGCCTCTGCCTAACGGCCGTGCCGATGCTGTATTGCCCCGATACTTGGAGATCCTTCATGCATGGGGCATCGCGACGGAGGTCAGTGAGGAAGGGCCCCTGATCGAGCGGACGGCGATCTGGCGAGACGGAAAGGTCCTCTTCCACGGCCGCACGCATCAATCGGACTCGCGGTACCGGGGCCTCCACGTCATTACACAGGGTCAGGTGGAGCGGATCTTTGTCCGAGATCTGCTGCGGCATCAAGTGCTGGTTGAGCGCTGCACAACTCTCCAAGATTACACGGTTTCTGAGTCTCCTGGAGATCCTGGCAGGCCTGTCCGAGCGGTCATTCGAGATAACCGGACCGGTGAGACAGAGACCGTTCGCGCCAAGTTTCTGGTTGGAAGCGATGGAGCTGCGAGCATGATCCGCAAGAAGCTCAATATCCCCTTCCATGGCGTGAGTACGGATATGTACTGGGGCATCATGGACGGGAAATTCGAGTCTGACTACCCTCATGCGTGGATCTTTGGCGGCTATCTGAGCACGGAGCATGGTTGCTGCGTGATTATTCCGCGCGAGGACGGGCATATTCGGCTGTATACGCAGCTCAACCTGTCACTGATTGAGCGTATCGCCAAAGAACGACAGGAACGGGATCCTTCCTTCAAGGAAGCTGGAGGCAAGGTGGATACTAACTCCATCACGCCCGATGAGGTCCTCGAGCAGGCGAATCGCATCTTTACACCGTATACTGTCCGGTTTGCCTCGCCGCTGACCTGGTTTGCGATTTGGAAAGTCAGTGAGCGGGTCGCAGAGGCCTTTTCCTCTGATGATCTGCGAGTTCACCTCGCCGGTGATGCTGCGTAAGTTTGCCTCGTGCGCTTTTGTTTTGGTTTCCCACCTTACAACCTCGACCAGGCCACAACTAACTGCGCATGGTCATGCAATAGCCACGTCCACAGTGTCTTCGAAGCCTTTGGACTCAACGCCTCAATCCTCGACGCCTCTAACCTAGCCTGGAAACTCGGCTATTGCGCGCGCAACCTATCCCCAATCTCAGCCCTCCTTCCGACGTATGACTCGGAACGCCGTCTGCATGCCGCCAACGTCGTCGAGATATCCGGCAAATACCTCCGCTACTGCTGCAACTCCGATGTTCCCGTGCTGCACACCCACTCGCTGGGCAAGGACCTGGGCGCCGAGGCTATCGAACACGCCGTGCGCGGGGAACCTTACGGCCTATTCCCACCCGGCACTTCATTGCCCGAACACCTCTACTTAGCAGACTTCTACACCAAGTACGGCGCCTTCATGCTCGGACTAGATGTTGCCTACGGAAAGTCCGCCTTATGCCGTCGCCACCCCTCCGCATCAGATCTCGAGATATCGCCAGTTGTGGCTGTCGACAGCGGTGTTCGCGCGCCGAACCCGCGCGTGAGTCTCAACCGCAACAGCACAGGCTATTTGTACGATGTAATGCGCGGCGCCGGGTTCTTTCACCTGGTGCTGTTCGTCTCTTTCTGGGAGGGCGCGGTGGCCACTTATGTCAGGCGGTTTGCGCAGGCGCTGGCTGATCCGAATGGGTTCTATGTTCGCTTTGGAGGTCGCCGAGTGTTCAATGTTGTGGTTGTGACGAAGTGTCTGCCGTTTGAATTTGAAGAGAGGCTGGCAGACCCGGCGTTGCAGGCCCTGAAGGCAATTGCTACGGTCGTCTCGGATGATCGTGCGCCGGATGAGGACGGGCATACCGTGTGGGGGGTCGATCATGGCACCGGGGCGGTTGTCGTTGTCAGGCCTGACCTCTGGGTAGGATGTAGTGCTCGACCGGATCGGGTAGAGGACCTGGATGAGTATTTTGCGGGGTTTTTGATCCCGCAGGTAGAGGGGAGGGATTTGGGGAATGGGGCAGGTTGTTGAAGGGCGGCAGGTAGGTGGCCTATATCGCTCCTCTAGATTATCTCAATTCTCACGGATTTGCCTATCTACATGAATACAAAGTATATCAAAGCCTGATCTCGATGCGAGAGCCTTTTACGATGATAAACGTAAAGTGAACTCGTTATTGATCTTTATCCTATTCTTCTATTTGCTGTGACCATGAGTCCTCCCACCGAGTGTCGGGCGGCTCTTGTTTGTTGATGTTTTTGACTCGTGGGCTGGACAAGGCGGGACGACTTGTGAGCTAAGCCGGCACAGATCGTAGGTTCGATCTAGATACAAGTGCTCTAGGCTGTTGGAACGGGGCTTGCTATCTAGTCCGGAGAGCGATATCAGTTGCTTGAAGCTGCTTACTCTGACAAAAAACACGCGAGTACACGTGGCAAGAATTTCCAAGTTGGCTTCTTCTCCTCCTCGTCCAGCAAAACAAAGCTCTGACCAACCTTGCTGCTACAAGGCCGCAATTTCTGTCAAATGAAACTTCGAGCTGTCTCGCTACTGGGATATTCCCCCCTGTTGACTCGATGGCCCGTTAACCCCGAAAAGCTGATGTTGCCCACGTTTGATCGTGTGTGAATAGTGCTTCATCGACCAATCGGAGGCTATAAAAGACCGAGCTCCCCCTGTCATGCTTCCCCCGTCGATCCTCGGCTAACGCCGAGGTGTCTCCTTTGCATTCGTCTTTTTGAGGTACTAGGTACCGTATCTTACAGCCTTGTGTATGGTTTTACCATGTCTGGTAATGACACCGATTTATAAGTCTATGTTCGGTCCGGTGATGCTGACATCCAGTGACTCAGTTGGTTGGCGATTAAATGGACTGGAATATGAGATCTGCACTCAAGTATGATCTGGATTGAGTTGGGGAGAATGCGTGGTTTGAGGTCCATCCTTGGGGTAATGCGCGGTCAATAAAGATTTCCATTCTGACTGTGAAGTAGTGATTGTATGAGTTTGACTATGAAGGTATAGTTCCTCCAGAGATACGGTATGCTATGCTCTGTTTATCTTGTGACCTCACTCATGTCCGAGTCTGCAGCGTAGTCCCCCCATCGATTATCAATCCCACACCAGTAATGTAGCTCGCCCCCGGACCGCTCAAGAACATGACTGCCTCCGAGACTTCCTCTGCAACAGCCAATCGTCCAAGCGGAATGGCCTTCAACACTTCCTCCTCGAAAGCAGGGTTACCGTCGAACACCCGGTCCATCATCGGCCCCTGCACCCACGACGGACAGACTGCGTTGACTCGAATGCCATGGACGGCGTTGTCCAGCGCTGTACACACATCAGACAAGTCCGTGCACACTGCGCAGGGCGCTACTCACCTGCGTTCTTTGTAATCCCCATCACCGCATGCTTCGCAGCCGTATACTGGACAATCTCGCGCGTCGGAATGTAGGAGTTGCAGGATGCGATGTTGACGATGCAGCCGTGACCAACATCTCGAGCAGTTCCACTCCGGCAACCTTGTATAGTCCTTCTGGCCTGGAGCTTCAGAATGCGACTCACCGCCTTGGTAAAGAGTAGTGTGCCTCTGACATTGACATTGTAGAAGGCATCGAATTCGCTCACGCTGATCTCGGATACCTCGGCCGGAAACTGGACTCCGATCTGCTTTTTTTGCATGAGCTTAGACACAATTCGGACTGAAATCATATTACAGGGGGTTCTCTGGCTGCTGACCCCGGCACTGTTCACCGCGTAGTCGATCCTCCCAAACTCAGCGACTACCTCGGAGATCATCTGGTCCACGCTCTCTTCTAGGGAGATGTCCACTGACAGAACGAGAGTCCGGAAGTCGGGATTGATGGCGGTGGCCCTGCTCTCGATGGCGACTTGCTCTGCGTTCTGCGGGTGGAGGTCGGCGAGTGCGACGCCTGCTGCTCCGGCGGCGGCGTAGGCGAGGGCGATCTCGCGGCCTATACCGCTGCCTGTGCCGGTGACTACTGCGATGCCGTCGAGTGCCATATTCTTTGGGGATGAGAGTCGGGTTGCAGGACAATGTCACATTTTATGGTCGTGGTCGTCACTTATACTGAACCACCGCTGGGTTGAGAGAGTGAGTGAGGCAGGCAGAAATGTGGTCGTAAACTACCTTTTCGGACTCTGAAAACGCAAATACCAGGCAGGGAAATTGACGTTTGGGAAATACGCCAGGAACGTGACGTGACGCGAAGCTGGGCTGCTGATTTTGCAACGCTTAACACCGTAATTCGGGCTGCCTTCCTTCTCCTACTGTCATCCATCACCATCCATCCTCCGTCCTTTGCGCATTGAACTCTTGGGCAGAACTTCTGGACACCTTGTTCATGGGTTACCTTTATTCGAATCGAACATAAGCACTTTGCGGGTACTAAGTTACCATGGATTATGAATACTACCTAGTTGTGCGCTTGAAGCAAATACCACACCCCCAGCTCTATTGAAATGCCTTGGAAAGCTGGCCGGCCTTATCTCGGTGCTCCTTCATGCCATTTCAATCAGAGAGACATCTCAGTCTGCTATTCTTGGCTATTCATCATCTACAATCATGTCTGAGACTTCAAGAACTACATTGGAGTTTCATCAGCCGAAGCCTCCCGCAAGTTGGACCAACCCAGGGACACTAACACTCTCGCATGGGGAGAAAGAGTCGGACGAGGAGAAACAAGCACATCATGATTTGAGTTCAACTGATACTGTGACGGCCTCATCACCCCCATCTTCTGCTTCACCTGCGCCTCCTGCTGCACCTCCTGCTTGGGATGTCCACGGTATCAAATGGGCTTTCGCTGGTATGTTGTCCTTCTATCTTTAAGGATGGAATTAAATTGAACAACCTATGGCTAGTTGTTGCTATCCTGTCAAGTGTGTTTCTATATGCACTTGATCAGACAATTGTCGCAGACGTGCAGCCAAATATCATCTACGACTTTAATTCGATTGACAAGCTTCCCTGGCTGTCTGTGGCGTTCCTTCTAGGGTCGGCAAGTACAAATCTCTTCTGGTACGAAAGTTCCCTCCGGCTTTGCTCTTTGACTATCTTACAACCACGCTTGCAGGGGACGTGTATACGGTCAGTTCAACCCAAAATGGATATACGTGCTATGTGTCGGTGTCTTTGAGGTCGGGTCTGCCGTCTGCGGCGCGGCGCCCAACATGGATTGTCTCATCGTCGGACGGGCGATAGCCGGTTTAGGGGGTGGCGGCATGTATCTCGGAGTCATGATGATGCTGTCTATTTTCACCACCCCGACGGAGCGCCCAAAGTATATTGGGGTCATCGGAGCAGTGTTTGGTATCGGGACGGTGTGAGTTCATTCTCCGGCCAAACAAGCGTGTAGCAACACGGGCTAATCCTGCGAGAAGACTCGGGCCCGTCATCGGAGGCGCCTTTGCAGACCATGAATCCGCAACGTGGCGATGGGCCTTCTACATTAACCTATGCATCGGGGGTGCTTTCTCTCCAGCATATTTTCTCCTCCTCCCATCCCGTGACCTTCGTCCAGGGGTGAAGCTTTGGGAGAGGTTGAAGGCCATTGATTGGGTGGGCAATGTATTCATGGTTGGGGCCTACATCTCCCTGCTTATGGGGATCTCTTTTGGCGGCGCAACCTTTGCGTGGAACAGCGGTCGCGAGATCGCACTTTTCTGCGTCTCGGGTGTTCTGTTCATCATTTTGGAAGTTCACCAGGTCTGGTCGAATCCTCAGCACCGGATGTTTCCGTCCATTTTCTGAAAAGAAAGGATCTTGTGGTACAGTTCCTGATAGGGGCAGCCGCCGGCACTTCATCCTTTGTGACCATATACTTCATCCCCCTCTATTTCCAATTTATGCAGCATAGCTCGTCTCTGCTGGCAGGGGTACGGCTGCTGCCCTTCATTGGCGCCTTAGCCGTCTTCACTCTCCTGAACGGCCATCTCATGGTCCGGTGGGGCTATTGCATCCCCTGGTATGCCATCGGGTCTGCGCTAGTCATCGCGGCCAACGCCATGTTAATGCATATCGACCTTTCCACGTCCAACGCCTTCATCTACGGCGCCATGGTCATCAACGGCATCGGCACAGGAATGTACCTGAACGCCCCATTTGCCCTAGCCCAGTTCCTGGTCCCGCCCCAGGAGATCTTCAACGCCGTTGGCTTCATCATGTGTGCGAGAGGTGGAGGGCTTGCCATTGCAGTATCTATTGGCAACTCCATGTTCCTGAATCTGGCACAGAACAGGATCCAAGCACTCTTTCCCTCGATGAATCATACGCAGATTCAGAGCCTGACCTCCGGGATTGGGAGTAGCCTTCTAGAAAGCATGGACGAGTCAGAGCAGCAGCAGGTTTTGGGGGCGATTGTACGTGCAATCAGCCGGGTCTTTATCGAGTCCTTGGTGGCTGGGTGCTTTTGTTTTGTTTTGACTCTGTTTATGGAGAGGAAGAAGATCAGGGTTCATTGAACCGTGGTATCAGGCGGATGATAGTTGCACGAGCTTATAGTACAAACGCTGTATTGCTGTGATGTCAGATTGAAGACATCTCCATTCCTCGATGGTCTAACGGTCATGATTTCCGCTTGTCAATCCCACTCGGGAACAAGCGCGGGAGACCTGGGTTCGACTCCCAGTCGGGGAGATTTCTTTTTACACTTTTTGCTTGCACCCGGGAATCATTCGATAGACAGGCGAGCAAATATCGTGGTTTTCATGCAGTCGGTGAGTAAATGAAGTGGTCTTGTCGATTCCCATGATTACCTCCAAGTTTCACAAACCGGGAAGTAAGCCTTCTCTTCCAACAAACTGTAAAAATAACCATTGAGTTACAAAACAACCCGTATCTTAATCTCGCCCCTGCACATGTTTCTTCCTTATCTCCGACACAACCACTGCTGACGGCACCAACCGAATTCAATAGGCAATGGACATACTTCGTCAATGCCTTGGCAGCTGTTCTGATGACTCCACTAGGGACGCTGGGTTAGTTTGGCTGGTGGACAGGCCTCATTGGCTGTGATTCTGGTCACCAGTGCGCAGCTTGCAAAGAACCATGTTGAATGATGACCCTTGTTTGAGTCAGTCAAGTCATGTTAAGCCGACAGAGGGGGAAACTCCGTTAATTATAACGTAGTTGATGGGCCAAGTGGTGATGAACTTGCTTAAGACCAAAGCTACCCTGAAAGGTAGGTTTTGTGCCTCCTCCATCATTCAAGAGTATCCGTACTGGCGGGCGTATTCCACGACAACTGTGGTTGGTTCATCATGATTTCCTTCCTAGCAAACGTCCAGCATCTTCTTCTCCGGTTAGGTGGCTGGAGTCTCTTCGCGGGGATTATCTACGTGAGTCACAGCCCTGGTCTATACGTCTCTCTCGTCAATTGCAATTGCTCATTCACCAACAGATCGTCGGCATCTGTATCTACCGACTGTACTTCCACCCATTGGCCAAATATCCGGGCCCTTTCTTCGCCAAAATCACGACATGGAGGGCTGTATACCACGGCAAATCCGGGGATCTCCATGTTGATATTTGGCGGTGTCATCAGAAATATGGTGCCTTCTCTACTGAGCATTCTTTCTTCCTCTTAGGTTACTAAGTATCAAAACAGGGCCTATCGTTCGTTAAGCTCCACACCGCATTGTCTTTGCCTCCAGCACTGGGTTCCACGGTAAGGCACTATTTGCCAACTGAAACCAGCCCAGCATGACTGACACTGACCAGACATCTACGATTTCGGCAAGAATGTCCAAAAGAGCCAGTCCTACCGCAGCATCCCCCTCATCAAAAACGCCTACAGCACCCTAAATGTCGTCGACAAGAAAGTCCACGGCAGAAAACGTCCCATTCTAAGCCAAGGCCTCTCCGACCAGAATCTGAAACTGCTGGAAGCTTCATTGCTCAAAGTTGTTGACCACCTATGTGACCGCTTGAGCGAGAAGCAGGACAACTTCAGTCCAGAAGTCGCCCGTGACACGGAAGATGGATGGACGTGTGCAAAGAACATGGCGGAATGGAGTACGTCCTCTCAACTCTGTTCCAGATTCTGGTACTTACTGACACCACGGACAAGGCGACTTCTACACGTTCGACGTCATGACCGAGCTCGTCTTCGGCCGTTCCTTCAACACCCTCGACACGAACACCCACCACTACATCCTCGACGGGATCATGTCCCAGATGCGGCGCATGTCCCTGCTGACCGAAGAGCCGCTGATCGAGAAACTCCACCTCGGCCGCTTTCTCTACCCAGGGGCCATGGCCAAGGCCCTCCGCTTCTCGCAGGCCGGTCGCTCGATCATGGAGGATCGCAAGCGACACCCGAATCCGGGGGCCGCGGATATCTGCACCAAGCTGCTGTCCGCGAAGGACCCGGAGACGGGCGAGGGGTTTCCATTCCAGGAACTGTGGGCGGAGAGTAATCTGTTGATTGTTGCTGGTGGGTGTTCTCTTCCCCCCTCCCTCTTAACGCAGTGCCGGTGTTTTCAGCTGATTTATCGCCCCCAAGGCTCGGATACAACCTACACGGCGATGGCAGCAGCATTCTTCTACCTCTCGCGCTGCCCCATGGCATTGAGTCAAGCCACTCACGAGATCCGCCGTGCATTCACGTCCATCAACGACATCCGCCCCGGAAGCCCCACCCTCGCCTCCTGCAGTTACTTCCGTGCCTGTATCGACGAGGCCATGCGGCTGACGCTCTCCGTGGCGGGCGCGCTCTGGCGCGAGGTCCTGCCCGGCGGAGCGATGGTCGACGGGGAATTCGCCCCGGCGGGCATGGAAGTCGGGGCGGGCATCTACGCCCTCCATCATAAAGCGACGTACTTCCCGGATCCGTTCGGCTTTCGTCCGGAGAGGTGGCTGGCGAGTTCGCCCGGCGGAAAGGGGGTGGATCCGAGTGCGTTCGCACCGTTCTCGGCGGGGCCGAGGTCGTGTGTGGGGAAGAGACTGGCCATGATTGAGTTTACGGTGGTGCTGGCGAGGATTCTCTGGCGGTTTGATTTGCGGGCTGCGGCTGGGGAGTTGGGGAAGGTCGGGGAGGGGAAGGGGGTCAGAGTGGGTGAGTATCACACCGATTGGCGCTTTACTAGCAAGAATGATGGACCGTATATCCAGTTTAGGGAGAGGGGGGTGGTGGTGTGAGGTTGTGGTCTGTGTCAGGGCATGTCTTATTGCATGGTGCATGATGCTTTCAGTTGGTAGGGACTATCTATGATATCTATGAAGTTATTTGAGGCGAGAGCAGAATGACAAGCCATATCAGGTGGTCTCACCACCGCCCACAGCTCGGTGGTAATCCGAGGCACTTATCTGGAATGGTTGAGGTCGACTAGACGCAAACCGAGTCATCGCCGTAGACATGACCTGCAGCATGAACCGCCGGGTCAGCCAGTCTTCACGGCTCAGCTTTTCACCATCCATAGCCGAAAACCCCTTGTCCACACCGTTGTCCTTCAACCAACTCGATGCGAATGACCCAACGTGGACTTCGAAATCTACCAGCAGCCGGTAGAGCGGCGTCGGGGGAGGTAACGTCCGAGACACAAACTCCATCTCCTCCTTGGAAGGAGGAGAGCGATGTCCGCCGCTGCCACCAGTTAACCGTGTCACAATCGCATTGATCAACTGATTCCCGAAATTGTTGTCCATGAGCCTGTCGGCCAGGATATACGCCTTGAGAAGGTCTTTGAACTCGGAGCTGGGAGTATAGGTTGGAAGGTAGAGCCACCAGAAATACTGTCCGAAGGTCCGGGGGTCGACGTCGGGAAGCCTGACAGTACGCTGCGTGCCTTCTTTCCATGTTCCCGCCAGTGCTTTGTCGAAGAACTCCGATGACGAACGGGCTTTTCGTTCGGGGATCCGGTACATCGTGCCTCGCGGGCCTACCAGTACTTTGATCCATGCGATGGATGGTTTGGGGCGTTTTGGTTGCCTGGTGCTTTTTGCGTGTGGTTAGCGAATCTGTGGAACTGGGGAGAGGGGGGGACGCTGCTCACATCCCGGCATTGTTCTGGGGAGCGGCTCGCTTGGGCCTTTTCTTTTGTGCTGTGTTGCTTGCCATTGAGGTCTAAGTAGGTGAAACAGATAACAGGGTTTTAAGGATAACCAAATCTAGCTTGTTGGGATGATTGATAATCGGTGTGTGAGTGTCCAAGAAAGCAGTGATCGAAGAATTAGTGCATCTCAGTCCGCTGTGTCTTAGTTTTCCTGGGAAGTCGGATTGGGAAGGAAGAGTCCGCTGTGGTCATCACCCATGTATCCTGATATTGATTGTTGATTGCCTTATCTCTCAGGCCAGGTACGAACATGGTGGTCTTCCAGAGAAGGTCAGTGTTTCTACCAACTACCCAATTGCACATCATACACATACTATACATTCACCCTTCGACTGACTATCTCACTTGGCCCTTGGTCCCAGCTAATGGCACCAATTCCTTCTTGAAGCACCCAGAGAAAAAAATCAGGCTTCAAACATCCACCCATGTCTCTACTCAGACTTCTCACTGAAACTCTTGAAGAACTCGAGAACTCCTGTCACCGCGTCCTCAGAGAAGAATACCTTCTCCATCGCCGTGCTGCGCTCAATCAGATCTCGTCCTCGCGCTAACATGTCTTCCTCGTATTCCTCTAGAGCACGCTTCAACTTTTCTGCACTCGAACTATCGAATCCCGCACCGTCGCCGCAGTGCTTGACAATGCTATCAGCCAGCACGACAGCGTCATACAAGCTACAATTGACTCCTTCTCCCACGAACGGTGTCGAGACATGCGCTGCATCCCCCAGCAACGTTACCCCGGGGGTCTTTCCACTCCAGCAAAGCTTCTCGGGGTCCATCCGATACAGCGGCCAGGCACGGAAGGGCCCCTCCGCGGTCTCGACGAACTTTCTCAGCTGCGGCCCCCAGGTGGCAAAGTATTCGTCCGACAAGAGTAGCAGGCTGCGCAGTTGCTCCGTGCGGTTGTTGAGATCTTCGTCCCCGGAGGGTCCGCTGCTGCATTCGCGGTGGTGATAGAAGTCTTCGGGGGCTTGCAGCCCGAAGTATACACGGTATGTACCGTTTGAGACTCGCTGCACGGCCAGCTTCTTGTGGTGCCCGGCTGCGAACATGCTTCCGGGGCCCACGAGCTCTTTGGCGGTGGCGTAGCCAGGGTTGTCATGTGTTAAGCGGCCTTCGATGAACATCTTGCCTGAGTATACGGGCTTCGCTGCCGTTATCTGCATTGACGTTAGATATAGAGGTTAGAGGACCGTTTGACAAAAATGGGCATGTCTTCCGATCGGGAGGAGCTTTTGTGTACTCGAAAGACTCACCAAAGGGCGCACTTTACTCCAAGCCCCGTCTGCCCCCACTACCAACCGAAACCCAGACTCAATGGTTCCGTTCATGAAATGAATGACTATAACACCATCTTCACTACCAGCTTGGCTGCCGTCGGCTTCTCTCCTTTCGACGGCCCTTGCAGCATGACCCCACCGAATCTTGTGCGCCGGAATCGACTCCAGGAGCAGCTGACGGAGGTGCAGACGGTCGATCTCGGGAGCATCTCTTTCCTGGTCATGGCGAATTGCGGTAGTCCCGTCCGGGTAGAGCATATGAAAGCACGAAGCATCCCAGCGGGCGAACTTGCTGAACTGATCGAACAGGTCGGCGCGGCGGAGCGCCAGTTGACCTGAGGAGGGGCGGAGGTCAAGTGTGCCTCCTTGCTGCCACGGACCTGGAATAGCGGACTCATCGCGCTCGTACACAACGTAGTCGGTGATCCCGTTGATCTCGAGAAGGCGAGCGAAGAGGAGACCACTTGGTCCGCCGCCGATGATTGCAATGGACGGGTTTGGGTTCATAGTTTTGGTATGAATGTATGCGGCAAAGATACAATGCAGAAGTTCAAGGCGGGAAGTGTCCTCTATCACGAGGAGAGGTTTGATTGAATTATTATTGACATTCTACTTCAAATAGACAGTCGTCATGAGGTACTGACACTTATGTCCCTCATTGTCGCGATTCCGCATCTATGGGCCGCGGAGTGTCCGTTCGAGCCTTCTGATTGGCTCACTCCGGAGGCTCCGAACCAAAGGACGATCATCTCGGACTTTGCATCGCCGACGGCTATTCTTACATTGAACTCTTGGTTTTTTGCTTCGATTTACCTGGAACATATCAGGCTCGCTAGTCCGAATCTCCTTCCGGGACCGACCAGTCAGGTGCCTTTACCATGCAACGCAGGTTAGCCCAGTTTGCGGTAAGCAGTACTGTAGATTGACCGCCACCGGAAAACACTCCACTGACATGCACAGTGTGACTTTTGCAGGCAAAAGAAGCTAAAGTAAGCTTATATATGCTCGCATGCTTTAGAATCCTGGCTAAAGGGTTGCAGATGTTCCCGGGAGCTGCCGAAATGCAATACTTGCAAGCCATGGCCAGGCGAGTGCATCTATTCGAGAGATACATTCGACGTCAAGTCAGTCAGCCACAATTGAGTCTATGTAACATGGAAACTAATCACGAATGTTGTCAAGCTCTTTGGGTGCTGCGTCAGCTGATGAGCGTACCATAGAGAGTCGACTACAAGATCTTGAGGAGCTAGTACAGCAACTGTCCAAGTCCGTCGATAAAGCCTTACAAGTCATTGCCTCAGCACCCGCTCGGACCGATGATCCGAGGCCACCATCCGAGACTGACCATAGAACTGTGGCTGAGAAAGATCGTTCTAATCCCAAGCTCTACATCGGCCCTTCGCATTCATTCTCATTCTTGCGAGAGGCATCAGCAAGCATCGAGAAGATACCCCGACCACCGAGTGATGCCACTCACCTGAGTGCCCGCTCCGAGCTTCGATATCTATCTAGCCAGCTAGGTACTAGTCACGTTGAGCAGATGACTGAAAAAAGTGCAGCGGTCTTTCATATACCCTCCAAAGCAACGGGGTACCGAATGATCAGTCGTAAGGCTACCCGATTCGTGCTTCATACTTTGCACTTATAACTAACGCCGACGCGGGATAACCAGGATTCTTTCAGATAGCTGACGTTGGCAACCCATTTTTCATCAGTCCGCCGGATGAAGTCATGGCGCAAGTTGTCTTTGAACCACACAGGGTTCAGGAAAAGGCTTGGGTCGTCTACTTCAACTACATGCTGTTGGCAGCCGTGCCCGTCGAGGAGGATAGCGAGGAGGCGGCAGTGTTACGTCGAAACGTGCACCTGGCCCTCAACAACAGCAGCATCTTCCTCGAGCCGCGCGAGGTCAACGTGCAAGTACTAGCCTTTCTAGCTATGCATGGCGAGGACTACGCCGCGCCCAATACCTCGTGGATGTTGCTCGGCAGCGCATGCAGGCAGGCGGAAGCGCTCGGCATGCATATATCTGGTCCTCAAGGCTCGTCTGAATCGCGACAGCATCAACTGTGTCTCTTCTGGCTTCTCTTCTTGATGGACAAATCCTGCTCTCTTGCCTTCGGCCGCCCTGTCTTCTTGCCCACGGCTTTGTATCACCATGTTCCTCTGCCGGACGAAAGTACCTTGCTCATGTTCCAGCCTCATACTCGTATGCACGGTACAGAGATCCCCCAACGAGTCTCTCACTTCGGTGCACAGATGCTTCGTTGTTCTATCGAACTATCAAAGCTGATGGGGATCCTTGCGGATATCCTTGCTACTGGTCACTCCGCAATCTACTCGCGCATGGAACTACGATCCAAGCTAAATGCTTGGTACTCGTACTCTAACCAGGTGGGTATCCATCCATCTCTCATTTCAAAGAAATCCTCTCACCCTAAGACAGCGTATGACAGAAATCCTGGAAGTTGAGAGAGCCTCATCCACAGCAGACCAAATCCGGGAGATGGCCCTCGGCATCAACAGCATGAAGTTCCAGTACCTGCACGTGCTGATCCTGCTGCTGAAAGGCGAGGAGTCTTCGTCAAGTCTGCGTCTATCGTCCGCCCGCGAAGCCCTTTCCCTTCTGACGTCAATGGTCTCCAATTGGAACTCCGTATACAACGGCGTTATCTGGTAAGACACACCTGCGTCCTGCTCAGAATGTCTAGTCAAACTAACCAATAATTGGGAAAAAAGGCATCTTCTTTACTACCCCTTCACTTCTTTCTTCGTCCTCTTTGAGAACATCGTGCACCATCCAGGCCCTATGACACCTACCGTTGAACACGATCTCAATCTTCTCGCGACAACGGTGACATATTTCGCAAGCATGCGCTCGCAAATGCGTCTCCTGGCGACGCTGTGTACCAGGCTCGAGCATGTTGCGGCTACCTTCTTGCAGCTGGCGAGGAATGTTCACTCCGCTTCCACTGGAACGGAAAACCCGCCGTGTGAATGGCACGAACACGAGCGCACTCGCGTAGAGGTAGAAGAACTCAATGGTTCCAGCTACCTTGACTTGCTTCCGGCTGATATGGGAGCCTTGCCTGGACATAATCCTTGTAGTAGGGGTAAAGAGGCTCGGCGGACGTTTGATAGCATGTTTGATTGGTTCTCTTGGGATACGTATTATGGAGATCTACAGGGGTAGCATTTCTACTCAAATGTTGTATTGTTATAGTCATTGCTGGATATGTGGATGACTGTTTGACGATGCTAGGGTTGTCCGCTGGCCACTCGCGGCGACCGGGAGCCCTGGAGCCGAAATTCGGTAGGCGTTGCAGATCAGATAAGTTCTGGACTTCGGAGAAGTAGCTACAAAGCTAGTTGTCCGAACTGAATAGAAGTACCAGGGCAAAGTCCTTCAAAGTAACGATAAGGAGGCTCGACGGGCGTTCGACAGTATGTTTGATTGGTTCTTGTGGGATATGTATTATGCTGGTTGTCAGGGGTAGCATTCTGAAGCAAATGTGGTATGGTCATGTTTATTGCTTGATTCGTGGATAGCCGCTTGATGATGCCGGGAGTTGTGTCACCGGATAAGCATTGTGTTCACGGGACGGGATGTTCATGGCAACTCAGTATTGACCAGTGATGACACATTTTGGGGGCTCTGTCATATTTGAGCAGTTGCTCTAGTCCAATTACTGTTGATGGGGGCTTGCTGCCAGGGTCTCCTTCTCCTGTGGCTGGTTGCTGATTGCGTCGGAAGGAATACTGAGGTTATTCGTCGAGGCCAGGGTTACGTTTGTCAGACTTTTGCCATGCTAGTGGTGGAACATGTCAAGCCAGGGGAAGCGGACTTCGGAGTATATCTCGAGGGATTGTGCTGGACAGGTCCTTGACGAAGTTAGGACACTTCTCCAGTGCCATCAGAGCAGGAAAGCGTTCGATGTGGTTTATAAAACCTGGCGTTTCGTTGACGCACTTAGCTGGCGTACGACACTCACCCTTGATATTTTTCATGACAGGCAGAGTTGAGTACTCGGGGCTGGTTTTGCAGTTTGTCTAATAGCATCTTGAGACTATATATACCCAGCTCATCTTGGAAGACCACTTACCTGCCAGCAGATGCCACCTACCTCTGCATCGATTCAGGATGGCAGCAACAGACCAGTCGCAGGAGTCAGTCACGCTCCCGGTACCTCCATTGCCGGAATCACCGCCAGCGATACCCGAGATGGATACCACACTCCGTGATGCTCGTAGGACACAAACCCCCAAGAGCAACGCCTCCGACAACCCATGGGACATCATCGTTCAATATCCCACGCAGCCTCCAAACCCCAACGAGCTGAAGTGGTGGAAGAACATCGCCCCTCTCATGGGCCGCCTCCTCCAGGTCGCACACTACCCTCTATCGCAACAGTATCAATACGTCCTCTTCCTTCGCAATCAGCTCGTACCCTTTTTAGGCCCGTACCCGCATCAATGGCGGAGCCTGCTAACCATCACGGGCCACCCGTTCGAGATGAGCCTCAATTTCCAGGGCAAGGGCTCCGCGTCGACGTCGACCGTGCGTCTCACCATGGAACCCATTGGTCCGATGACAGACACGGCCCATGACCGCTTCAACCAAGTGGCGGCCGCGCAGATCTCCGCCCAGATGGCAGCACAGGGGCTGGGGGCCTTTGATATGGAGTTGCATCGGCAGATCATGGGCTACTTCGCCATCTCCGGCGAGGAGGAGCAACGGCTCGTGCGCGACTACGCATTCACGCCCCACTCGGTGCAAGGCACCTACTGCATGGGGTTTGATTTCCTGTCGGCCGGCACGATTGCAGCCAAGGGCTATGCTTTCCTGGGCGTCCGGTGGAAACTCGCACCGGAGGCTCTGGGAGCAACCGTTCTTGAGTGTCTGGAACGCATGCACGCGCGGACCGGAACCGGAAATGTGGCTGCGGCGCGGATGGCGGTCGAATATATGGAGGTCGGCAAGCATTTCACGGAGTTCAACTTTTTAGGGTGGGATTATACCGATGCGGCGACGTCGAGGTTGAAGCTCTACGGGCTCTGTGGCGGCGAGGAGCCTCCTAGTCTGGAGAAGGCGGAGCATGTGTGGACGCTGGGCGGGAAGGCGCAGGGGGAATCGTGGTGCGAGAAGGGTCTGGAGCTGCTGCGTCGGCTGTGGGCGTACCTGGAGGAAGATGACGAGGCGGGGATTTGCTGCTGTGGGCGCCATCTGGCTAGGGATTCGGAAGAGGAGCAGGAAACCCACCGGCGGGATTGTTTGGCCAGGCAGCTCCTCGTTCTGGCGTGGAATTATGAGACCCATCCGGATTGCGAGACCCCTCTCCCCAAGATGTACCTGTCGTTGCATCGCAAGAACGACTTGTTTGCGGCCAAGGCTCTGGCCCGGTTTTTCCGGTCACTCGGTTGGGAGGGTAAGGCAAACACTTACGTCGATGACCTGCAGTATGTCTTGTGAGTTTCCTCCTCCGGGTCCTTTGATTCTGGTTTCCCTCCCTTTCTTGGTTCTTCCGTCCAGTGTCTGTGCTGACGGGGTTGCAGTGCGCATGAGGATCTGAGCCAAACCACTCGGATCCACAGCATCGCGTCTTTCGCGTACACGGAGGAGAAAGGGGCTTATGTGAGCATGTACTATCATTCCTGTATGGAGTATGGGACTGCTCTGGTCGAGTAGTATTCTCGTTTCCATGTATGGGGCGTTGAAGACTGTTTGAGCCGGGAAGAGGGGGGAGGAATGAGGAGGGAGATGAATATGTCCCGGGGAGGCGGGTCGAAGGGCTCAGATGAAGGTGCGGAGCGGTGGTTACTGCCAATTCTTCAAACACGGCAAAGTGGGCAAAACATGCCATACTTCCGGCTATCTTCGGCTAGAGAGCAGTACAGTGCTCGAGTATAGCATTAAATTACTTGGGATATGCCCCGTCCAAATTCATTTGACTAGCTCGCTAGAAGCTCTCTTGGTCAACATCACGGGACTTGTCATCGCATGACTCGATGTAGATGGACCCTATAGTCCTGGGCGTGTAACCAAAGACAAATAGATCAATCATCACATTGCCGATCTTCTTAATTTTCCAAGGGCCCGACCTTCACCTCTGTCCTTCTCTTCAGATCCTCAAATTCTCGAGCCTTATCTGCTGCGACCTGTCGTTCCTTGATCTTCTTAGCAAATCGCTTCTTGCCACCGTGCCTTAGCTTCGTGATGATATCCGCCGCCTGTCCTCGGGTGATATCCTTGGCCGTAATTGTACCATCACGGATCTTGGCCTTGTTAAGCCTCTCAAGCTGAGGCGGCGTGGCCGGTTGCCGACGCCATGGCTGATGGGCAGAGATGTATCGCTCCTCGAACTCAGCACCAGCGAATGTGTCCGCAGCGCGAACGGCCGCTTCAAAGTCCGCTACGGAGGCGATAAGACGAGGTCGGGCATATTTTCTAACCTCTTGGGATAATCCGTATTGCAGGACATGGTGCACTGTCCATTCTTCAGGCTGCCGCTCCGACTCTTTCTCAATGGTGAGCCATCCCGCTGTGCCGGAGAGAACGTATCGATGCTCGGCGACCCGGACCCAGGCGTAGCGGCTCAGAGAGCGAATATGTCTATCGGATTTCATGTCATTGATGAGGTCATAGATCGTGTCATACTTGGTGAAGGTGAGCTTGATGTTGCCCGATTGAGCAGGGTCCTCGGCATAGGGATCCGGGAGCTTTGAGTCGGGCTGCTCTCGGTAATTGTTGTTCTCGTCGTCTTTTTTCTCTTTGATATCCTTCACTTTTGTCTTCTCCAGTATTTCATCCGGGTGTAGTCCGAAAAGAGTCGGTGTGGAAATGACGCCAGTTTCGAGTGTGGCCACCATATCGATTATATGGCAGTCTTTCTTGCCAGGAAACAACCGCAGCCCTCTTCCAATCATCTGAATTAAGAGATTGCGAGAACGGGTCGGTCTTGCAAGTAGTACACAATCAATATTAGGTATGTCAGTGCCCTCGGTGAAGAGTCCACAGTTCAGAAGCACCGGATACTCCAGTTTCCTGAAGCTGCGCAGCTGCTCATCGCGGACATCCTTAGGGGTTTGCGACGTGATATATCTGGCATCGATACCCAGACTCCGGAATTTCGCCGTGAGCTCTTTAGTGTGCGCCAGGTCTACGCAGAATACCAATGTAGACTTGCGGCCTTCCGCATTGGCTAGCCATGCTCGCACCGTTATGTCGTTGGTTTTATCCGTGTTGACTGCTTCGGAGAGGGAGCCGACGGCGAAATCGCCGAATTTGTCTTTCTTGACCCTCGCTAGGTCAACTTGGGAGCGAACGGTCGTGAACACGGCATTCGAAAGCCAATTCTCGTCAATCATATCCATATAATCCTTATGATACACGATGTGATCAATGGCGGCGCCGAGCTTGAGGCCATCGAAGCGTGAGAACGTGGCCGACACCCCAACAAGAACGGGAGAGTTGGACGAAGCTTCGTTGAGGTCGAAATGAGCCAATGCGGTGCGATAAGTGGGCGCGACGATATGATGCGCCTCGTCGACCAGGATCAGCTTGAAATGTGCGGGGTTGAATTTCTCGATCCGGTCCTTCGACGTAAGACTCCGCACCGACGCGATGATTATGTCCCCATGTCCGGTTGCCACGGTATTGCCCATCTCAATCTCGACGGTTCGGTCGGGATAGGCAAGTCGACAATGCCGGGCAGCTTGTTCGACGAGCTCCCTTCGATGGACGAGGATCAGCGCTTTGTCGTGCTTTCCATTGCGCGGCGGAACGCGTCCGATGAGCTGGGTGAAGATGACCTGATCGCTCGCCAGTCAGTCTAAGGCTCTCGCTCTATTCTCAACGTTCTTGTCAAACGAACCGTTTTGCCCGCGCCCGTTGCAAGTGAAATCCCCAGACGCTTGTGGCCCTGCTTCAGGTGATCCAACACCGACTGGATGCATTCCTCCTGGTAGTCCCGAAGGACAATCCCAGGCGGTTCGGGAGCTGCTGCTGCAGGTGCTTCATCGGAGTATGCTACAGCAGACCCGTGGCGCACGAATGCAATACGTACATTAGGCGTCCAGGGAGCCCTCAGTGCCCTCAACCCAACTGAAATGGGAATCGATCCCAATTTCCGGCGAATACGGTCCATTCAGATGCCATGGAAAGAAAAGCGATAAGCCTCCCGCGTTTGAACCGAGAGAGGCCGACGGAAAGAATTCCGGGCAACAAAAAGCTAAGTATCTAATCGGGTGAAAGCAAACAGTGCAAACGGGCTCTTATCAGAAATCTTCCCCGATAAAAAAAGTCACCTTGTCTGTCAGTCCTCCACTCACCTAAACTTCACTTGTTCCTTACCTTTACGCGCCGATGGTCATTTTACTGGTTTTGATGTAACTCTGGGGCGATGGTTTGGAATTCGTTTCACCTACGCATCCGGTGTGAGCTAGTCGATCATGAGCAATTCGGTAGACGATGATCCATCGGACTCTGTTTGCAACCCCGACGAGAATACCCGATCAGCATCATCATTGGATAAGACGCATGATGAGAGAACAGACGCGGAGCCCCGCGGGGTGGCACGCAAAAATACCACACGAGCTTCGGCTCTCGATAACCTGCAGTCCACGCTACCACGAAAAGCGGTGGATCTCTATGTCGATGTGTTAAAACAACTTGCCGATGATGACACGCCCGATCTTGCGGACCCCGACACCGAGAGGTATAACTCTACACAGGATGGAGTCGTGGTTTGGAATCCACAGGAGAAGGGAGTCTTATATCGCAGCTTGGACCGCAAGGGGAGGGAAGGGATCCGCGAGGTTGCCCGCAGGCTCGGCTCGAAGTCGGAAATCGAAGTGCAGGAACATCTAAGACTCTTACAGAACGGTCTGCAAAAGCGCCATATGACGCAATCGCGTAGCCGAACAATTATTCTGGCCGATGTTCCCGCTGCCGCCGAGATTAGCAATGAATGTCACAGAACCTTGGATCATTATGCCGAATTACTGCGCTTGGAAGAGCAACAGGATGAGGATGTTACTGGGAGGCACAAGCACCGCGATTTCTGGGTCATCGATTATGAGAAAGCTTTGGATTTGGATCATCGAGCCAAAACAGAAAAAGCCGACCGGCGAGCGAGAGCAGACGATCCAGATCATCGACTCGCGGAAGATGAAAATCCAGCTAATCAAGAAGCCGAAAATATAAACGGCCACGGAGCACAAGACCTGGAAACAGGAACTCAGGATGAACAGCTCCACCCTCCGGATAGGGATGTCTACGACCGATCCAGTGTGCATCTCACGGCTAGCTTGTTCAAGATGAGCAACTGGGTTAATCTCTCGGAGCGATTTTTCATGAACTCCGGGGGCACACGGTCGGATGAGAATTGGCGTGGTTTGTCCTTCGCAGACGAAACCCCGTCCCTGACGGCGGATGCGTTCGCCGACTTCTATGCATTGGCTGTAAGTCTAACGCGCCGGTTGGTACAGTCGTCCCTCTTCTTTGCGGATGCAAGGTTGCGAAAAGTGGAAGAGGACGGCCGGGCGAGGGCTCGCGAAGTCAGGGCTCGCGATGTTAGAACAGCATTGGACGTCTTGAACATGAAGCGAGAAAACTCTGATTTTTGGATTGGTCTCGCCCGGAGACTCTCCCTTGATGTTGTGGATAACCGACACGTGAAGGACTGGAAGTCGATACAAATGGACTATGACGAGGTGGAGGACATTCTATCTCGAAAGCAACCATTGCCCTCCCAGTCGGGCTCGGTCGCGAGGAGCGTTTCTAGGGGTAGAGATGGGAGCCAGGTGGTTGACGATCAGGGCTCAGACGCCGGTAACGAATCCGAGCCTCCTATCTCTGGTCAGGCAGTTTCACCAGAGCTCATTGAGGAGGTTCCGTTTGACTCGGAGGACGAATACGCAGAACAGGTAGACAGGGAAGCAAGCCGCGCTGAAGAGTCTAACCTGTGGGAGCTAGTTGGTCGGTCGCCTCCGCCTACTCCATCATATGGTCATGCCGAGACCGAAGGGCAAAATGAAAGAGATCCTCGTCAGATGAAGCCAGAACCGCGCAAAAGACCGATTAGTGTGCGGAAGTCGATGGATGATCTATTCAATTGGCGGGATCGATTACTCTACCGAAGCGAATGGGAGGAATATGGCCACGATGGTTTTGACTTGCAAGACGAGATTCTTGAGAACAGGCATAAAAGACGACGTCTCGAGCAAGGGCATATGCAATCTTTTCTTTCGGGTTCTGCTGGGGTGGACGCAAGTGGAGGCAACACTGATGTCCAGTATGATATTTCGCCTCTGGGCTCGAGTCCTGGAAAGGTTCATGAGGCTAATAGTATGGTGCTAGATTATGAAACAATGCATGAGGAGCAAGGCGTAGGTTCTGTCCTTGGCTCCTAGTATGTAGTGTGGTCTGGGTGGGTGATCTGTGTGCATTATACCATTTTGCGATACCCAGCATGGAATATATTTTCGGATTCTTCAGTAACACGAATGTCATGCTCCTTCCTTGGAGTGCCACAAATAAGGTTCGCAGAGTGAATGATATGATAAACAAACAAAGTGCAAGGATGAACCATGTGTCCTCTAAACAGAAAAAATTATCAAGCCAACACAAGCTTCCAGTGTTGAGTCTCTTTTCCGATTAACAAAACCTTAGGTAGCAGGCCAAAAAGAAAAAGACAAGGGCCGAACGCGATTTGAACGCGTGACCGTGAGATCTGCAGTCCCACACTCTACCCCTGAGTTACCGACCCTTGAATTGTGGTTGGCGGCTCAATTTTTGACGCTATAAATCAAAACTATAGCTTTGGCAATAGCATCCAATACTGATGAATGAATCCCTGGGCAGATACACCAGTGCGTGCGACGCTAGCAAAACGCGACTAGTGGATTTATTATAGAGTGACAAGGGTAGGTCAAAAACAAGTCTCTTTAATTTAGGCATTAAGCCAGCATCGATCGACCATCCGGGGACTTCCATCCTACTGGAAGCCAATTGCTCAAAAATTTCACGTATGGCAAGAAGCTCTAGCCACAAGAGACACCTGAGAGGACATATAGGATATATAAAAAGAAAGCTTTGAGGGCCGAGCGTGGATCGAACACGCGACCTCGAGATCTGCAATCTCTTGCTCATACCACTGAGCTACCGACCCTTTTGAAGCTTGTTGGTTGACAGGGTGTAAAGGACTATATTTAAATGTAATAGCTCATGGCACGCGAGATCCAACTCATTCGAACACCCTCTCCTGTTTGTCCTGTATGCAGGAAGAGAAGTCAGTCTACAGTGGTATAGCGTAAGCACCTACTTGTATACCGTGCTATTGTAAGGCCCTTTACTGCTATTGCTTAGCCATAATGCATACCTCTGTAAGCAGAGAGGACGTCTGTGCTCACAGCTTATTGTTACCTGCAGGACAGCGCAGGACTGCATTGTAAGCAGGACCGGTTTAGCAACCTAGTTATCGTGGTAGCTGACCAAGATACTGCCTTGAACAAGTGGCTCCGTGATCATCGAAGCTGACCGCTTCCAAGCTATGTGTGGGGATCACTCATAAACACTCATCCCCACCGATGCTGATTTCTAATAATGCACCTCTCCTTAGAATGTTGAATGCGCCCGGATTGGGTATCGTCAACCTCGAGCTCCCCACCTGATCGGACTCATATAACCCCGACACACCGTTCCCTGACAAATTAAGTAGAACCAAATTGACCGAAGGGACATACTCCTTACTTCAATTATGCACAGGGTTCCTCCTGGAGGAGAACGCTCATCGCCTACCATGGAAATGTAAAGTATACGCACGTCCATTGCTGTGCATTTGTCAGCGGTTAAACATTCGGCAATGAAACCTGTCTCATGAGCCGGCGACTTATTCAACATCCACATTTGCGGTGACCCGAAAGCTATGCGTTATGTCACTCTAGAAAGTGACAGATTATGAGGGATATCCAAAAGGATATGTTGTCCTGAAGCTTCAACGCTTCAGATTAGCTATATAAGGCACGCAGGGTGTTGACCAAGATGGACTCCCATCATCACAAACAGCTTCAATCCTCCAGATAACATTCTCTCAACTACTTCAATCGAATATCTTTTACCACACATTCTTCCGCTACCCAAAGATGTCTCTCAAGCCGATCATCCTCCACGGCCACCAAGGCGGCCCCAACCCCTGGAAGGTGGCCATGATCCTGGAAGAGCTCGAAATCCCCTTTGAGCACAAATCTGTGGCGTTCGACACCGTTAAGAAGGAGCCCTTCATCTCCATCAACCCAAATGGCCGTGTCCCCGCCATTGAAGACCCCAACACCGGAATTACCCTGTGGGAGTCTGGTGCCATCATCGAATACCTCATCGAGACCTACGACAAAGACAACAAAATCAGCCCCAAGGCCGGCACCCCGGGCTACTTCCATGCCAAGCAATGGCTCCATTTCCAGATGTCCGGACAAGGGCCGTACTTCGGTCAATTCATCTGGTTCACTCGTTACCACCCTGAGAAGATCACCAGTGCTCAAGAGCGCTACTTGAACGAGATCCGCCGCGTGACGGGCGTGCTGGACAAGGTCCTCGAAGGTCGGGAGTACCTGGTCGATGGAAAGTACAGCTACGCAGACGCTGCGTTTGTGCAGTGGTACCAGATTATTCCCATGGCTACTGGCGATGCCATTGATTTGGAGAAGGACTTTCCCAACGTCAACGCTTGGCTGCAGAGACTGCAGGCAAGACCTGCGATCGCGAAGTGCCTGAAGACGTACAGGGAGAATCTCGCTGCTAAATAGGAGTGAGGAGGGACTGGGCTATGGACCTGGAGCTTAATGTTGGATTTTGAAGCGTGTGCGCGCTGATTTCTATGTTGTTTATGCGGGTATCAATACACTGAATCGCACACAGTTGCCATTGTATCCAGAGGTTCGCTGTAGAAATGCCCTGGTGCCGCGTTGATATATTGTGTACTCATTTCGTAAAAGTGTTGTCAAGCCAGCAACCAATACTGGCCGCTTGATGTCACAAGTAATGCAAGCCTAGCTACGGACCAGCATCTGATGGAATGCAAAATGACCATCAAGTTATTTTGGTATCAATGACTGCAAGTTACTCATAACCCTCGTATAGATGAGGAGGATGATGGAGGAGGCAACCGAGCTAGTACATATTGGGACTAGCGCACTGGAGGGTCTTGGCGCGAGTTTTTGGAGCGAGGCCCGTGTCGCGACAAGTCGCTCTGCTCCCAAGCAACCACCTTTCTTCCCCACGACTTGTTGCTATCTTGGTGGTCATTACCACCCGCTGATTTCCTCCCATTCCCTCGATATCTCTAGGATCCCAAGCACCATCGCACTAGGGATCGTACCGGCACTTCGATTACCCAATCCCTTGAAGCTTGAGGAGCGCGAAGGTCCCTTGTTCTCCGTTGCTTGCGACATCAACCGTCATCTCCCGCCATCAGATCAACAATATGGAAGACAGCCCTGTCGTTTCCAGCGGTCCTGCCGATGATATTCAGGCGGGCACCGCCGCTCAGGATGCTCCGGGTGACGTGATCAGTGCTTCCGGTGAGTGTTGCCTCCCTGCTCCCGCAGCGAATCGGGACATGTCGACCATCGCAACCGTGGGATGCGAGATCGCGGTCACAAGAAAGTTCTACTGAGAACGAAAATTATCCGCAGCTCCAGGGACTGATAACCCGCTAGATGCCCCTGCTTCCCCGAAACCCCAGACTGCCGATGGCGAACCCGAAGATGAGGAGATGGGCGGTACAGAGACCGAAACCAAGAAGGAAAGCGAGGGTGATGAGATTGCCGAAGTCGCTGCGCAATCAGGAGCAGAGGGCACCGCGGAAGAGAAGCCTGCACAGTCTAAGGCTTCGGCCGAGAACTCTGCGCGCTCACATCTCGTTTCACAAACCCATGCCATCATTCTTCCTAGCTATACATCCTGGTTCGACATGCACCTGATCCACCCTATTGAGAAGAAAGCTCTCGCCGAATTCTTCAATGGTCGAAACCGCAGCAAGACCCCCGCGGTCTACAAGGACTACCGTGATTTCATGATCAACACATACAGACTCAACCCCATCGAATACCTCACAGTCACTGCATGCCGCCGGAATCTTGCCGGAGATGTATGCGCAATCATGCGGGTTCACTCCTTCCTCGAACAATGGGGTTTGATCAACTATCAAGTGAGTATTTGATGCAGATTTCCCACAATTTGACGCTGACATTATGTCCAGGTTGATCCTCAGACACGCCCATCGAACATCGGTCCTCCTTTCACGGGTCACTTCCGAGTAGTTGCCGACACGCCGAGGGGTCTGCAACCTTTCCAGCCCGGTCCCAATCACTTTGTAAAACCCGGCAAGCCTCTCCCCGCCACCGAGCGCGCAGCATCGGCTGCCCCTGCATCCAAGGCCGATCTCAACCTCGAAATCCGCCGTAACGTCTATGACGATAAGGGCAAGGAGATTACCCCTGCCAGCGAAGACAAGGAGAAGCAGACCAACGGTGAGGGCTCGGCAGCCAACGGCACCCCTGCTGATGCCACCAAGGCATTGGAGAGTGCCAGCAAGGAGCCAAGGAAGAAGTTCCATTGCTTCTCATGCGGTATCGACTGCACTCGTCTCAGATTCCACTACGCCAAATCGACGCCGGCGACCGCCAACCCCGCATCTGATAGCAAGTATGACCTCTGCCCCAACTGTTTCCTACAGGGCAGGATGCCTTCTAGTCACAATGCCTCCGATTTCGTCAAACTTGAAGAAAGCCCTTACACAATCGCCCCCGATAAAGATGCCCCGTGGTCTGACTCGGAGCTCATCCTGCTTCTTGAGGGTCTGGAGAACTTTGACGATAACTGGGAACAAATTGCCAACCATGTCGGCTCGAGGACTAAGGAGGAGTGCGTGATGAAATTCCTGCAGCTCGAGATTGAGGACAAGTACCTTGACGACACCCCCGAGGTCCGGGCGGCGGCTGGACGCGATCCGATCAGCCAGTCCGAGAATCCGGTCCTTTCTGTGGTCGCATTCTTGGCCCAGATGGCCGAGCCTTCTGTGGCTGCTGCCGCGGCTGGTCGCTCGGTGGAGGAAATCCGCAAGGAGCTCCGAAAGCAACTTGAGAAGGGTTCTGGAGCCGAGAAGACCCAGGAGAAGGGCAAGGAGAAGGAAAGTGCAGTGAAGGCAGAAGACTCCATGGAGGTAGATGCTACTCGCGAGGAACCCGCCGCTGAGACGGTCCAGAGCACCGTTGCCAACAAGGAAGGCAAAGCTTCCCTCCCTACTGTTGCTCTGGCTGCCTCTGCTGCCCGCGCTGGTGCCTTGGCGTCTCACGAAGAACGGGAAATGACCCGCCTGGTCTCGGCTGCGGTGAACGTGACGCTGCAAAAGTTCGAGATCAAGTTGGCACAGTTCAACGAAATGGAGGAGATCATTGAGGCTGAACGCCGCGAACTCGAGCTCGCTCGCCAGCAGCTCTTCTTGGACCGAATGGCCTTCAAGAAGAGAGTCAAGGAGGTTCAAGACACTCTTCAGTCGGTCAGTCTGAAGGGCCCCGGAGAGGAGACCAACGCCCTGCTCGCCGATGCCGCCACGGCGGGTATCGGGAACCGGTACAACTTCCAGCCTACGGGTGCTGATGCTAGCCGGGGGGTGCAACCATTGAGCGCAGAGGCCGGGGCTGACTACAAGGCCTTGGACTTGTAATGAGATCTTTTCATTTCGTCATAAACGCCATGCATTGTTGGACACGTCTTTTGAGTGGCGAAGAATATCTAATGATATCTGTCCTTTTTTACTGCTGTCATGACCTGGGCAGGAACGCTGAAAGGTGGTGTCATCTTTCTTTTCTTTTCTTTTTTTTTTTTCAATAATATCCCATTGTATTTTGTACAATATCACAGGGGAGGGGCGAGCAGAAGGCAAAGAGCCTGCCAGGGAGTTTGTTGGAGATACTGAGGCTTGGGTAGAAGCGACGCGTGGCTTTGGTGATCAATGATGGGGACTCACTATGGTTTGATTCTTCAATGTTTCTTTTTTACTAGGTAGGAAAAGGCGCACATGATTCCTGTTTTTTTGTCTTGCTATTGGGAGTTCCGAGCTATCTGTGCCTGCGAGTCAATGAATACACTTTTTCCCTGATACGCTGGATGACCATGGTAAGCCTTTCCAGGTCCTCTACTTTCCCATGGGCATGAAAACGCGGTGTTCCGGAACTACGTGGGTGTTCCGGAAGTAGGTGACCCATTCATTACTTACACACACGGTGGCCCGGTTCTAGGTGGCCCATTGAGACGCGAACAGGTCACCACCAAATGGGGTTTTCGAGAAAAAAAGTAAACAAAACAAAAAAACAAGATCTTCGTACACCACGGGGTCTCTCACTTTCATTCTTATTTCTTCTTGTAAATCGCTTATTCCTCTCTTGCCATCCAATACCTCCCCCAACCCCCTTCTACCTTACTAGGTAAACACCAAGTTAACCCTGAACGGAGTAACCTTACTTATATCGACCCACCCACCAACCATGCCTCCCCACGACCCTCTCGCCGACCGCCTCGCCGCCATCCCCGAAGCGTACAGAGACGTCTTCACCCGCCTCGTCTCCTCCGCCCTACACCCGGAGCTGAACGTCAACCGCCGCCGCAAAGCCCCTGTCACAGGCACGAGCACGAGCACGAAGAAACGCTCCTCGACCGACGCGCAGCTTGACGTTATCGACGTCGACGCCGAGGATGACCACCACGACAACGATAAGGAAAACAGGTCGTCGCGCGGGGGCCGGTCTTCTGTTAACAAGAACTGCGATGAGGTCCGCCAGGAGATTCGCGACTTTCTGGACGCGCGGCAGATGCAGCCGGGACAGTTTCAACGGCTGATCGGCGTGTCGGCGAAGTCGTATCGGGATTTTGTGGGTCATAGTGGTCCCGAGAAGGGGGCGAGGTCGGTCACGTTTGTTAAGGCGGGGGAGTTCTTTCGGGGGTTCGAGGAGGGGAGAAGGGTGGGTAGGGGTGTCATGCTGCAGGGGCAGGAGCAGCAGCAGCGGGTTTTGGGGGATGTTTCGGGGAATTCTACTGTGGCGACGGGTGGGGGTATGGCGCCGGCTACGAAGAAGAGGGCGAAGACGGCTACGGCGGCTACGGCGGGGAAGGGTAGAGGTAGTCGTGCAGCGGATGGAAACTCGGAGTATGATGTTTCTGGTATTGAATTGGAGGATGAGGAGGACGAGGAGCTTGAGGTGCCCGTCTTTGAGACTTGTGATCGAGTCAGGGACATGATCCGGAAGCATGTTGCGAAGCCCAGGGTCACAAAGGCCGGGTTCCTGAGGGATGCGGCCAAGGCGGCATTCCCTGGGGGCGAGAAGACGATCAACCCCGGTTTGCTGCAGGTGTCCCTCAAGCAAGAGGGCGCCCTCGTGGGAAACACGGGCATAGTCTTCTATGCGGCGTATGTCTTCTTCGAGAAGTTGAGGATCAAGAATGGGGAGCCGAAGGATGATTTTCGCCTGACCATGGAGGAGATCTGGCCCTTTGGGATCGAGCGAGAGAAGCCGGTCAACGGACCCTGGATCGTTGCGACCGGAAGTCAGCCATACATCAACGAGTTTGGGCAACTTCGGGTCCTGCGAAATTGTTATCCATAGGAGAGATTAGCAGGTGCGCTTGCTGTGAAGCATCCAAAAGACCCATTTGTCGGGGTATGATGCAATTTTGAAGGTGTGATTCAATTCCCTTGAGGAGTGTCTTAAGTGGTGTGTATGTTAGTGAATCTTGACGTCGGGTGCGTCTTGAGGTTGATCGTTGCCTTGCTGCTCGGGCTTCAATTGACCTGCGAGCAATTTCCCCTGAGAATCGACGCCCTCGAAGATCTCAGCTGTCATGTCTTTCCTCGCTGGAAGAGTGGGTCTGGTCATAGATTCTCGTTTCCATGTAAACCTGTGCTTTACTTTCCCAGTCCCGGCTTCTTCGATTATGAGAACGCGGGGTATGAGACTTGAGATGCGCATCCAGATTCTGAGCATGAACCGACGTGTGAACACATGAGGTCGCCCGGCCGCATAGGGCTTGAACGTCTGACCCTTCTTTGGGCCATTCACCAAGAATTCAACATCGAGCTCTGGCTCAGATGGAGGAGCAGGGGTAGTTCCAGTGGCTTTCCTTCTTTTAGGTGGCGTCCATGGCAATTGGCCTGATATTAGACCTTCAAGAATCTTTAGATCGCGGCGTGGGACTGGTGGAAGGAGGTTGGCCAAGACTTTGCTGTACCATTTCTTTCTGATATTCCTTCGCCGGCAATGTGGAACCGGCCTAGCCCATGAATTCTTTTCGGGGATGACCGGCTCAAAATCCTTGATTCTTGGGGCTGCATCGAGATATTGAAGCAAAGGTTGCTGGAGCTGAGCCTTCAACAGATCTTGAACGACCCTAGGCGGTTTCCAGTCCTCTGTCATGCTATTTTTGGCCAAAAGATCTTCTAAACACTTCGGCTTCGGCTCCGAAGGCCGAGTCGTTCGAGTAATGAGGCTTAGAATGAGTTCCCTCCTCCGCCTCCCGGTGCGACCATATGCCATGCGTAGGACTTTCTCTAGTGGTTTCATATAACCTTGATTGGCTCTTTGTAGTACCGACAGACCCTTGATAGCTGTCTTCCGTAGTCGCCAGCGTTGCCATAGATCATTCCGTTCTTCGAAGCTGGGGTTGTTCGCATAGTGTCGGAATCGACCGAGGACATAGCGATGCATATAGCCTTTGGCGACGGGGTCGGGGAGATAAGATGCCTCGCGAAGGAGTGATCGAAGGAGATGCCGCCATGTCGCCGCGGGAACCGTGACTGGCGACACAGGGTTGATTTTCGTTGACATCATTAAGAACTGATTATTGACTTGTTTTCTTGCTTTTGCGGAGTTCGTTGCTCTCTAGCCGACATCCTTTTCTTTCCCCCGGGATGTTTGATTGTTCGATTGTTCGAGTTGTACGGCAGAGATCAAGGCGGTCAAAAAGGCGGAAGTCCCAAAGGGGTAATAGTACTCCGTAGATTGTTTTCTCTGAAGGCGAAACGCGAAAACGGTTCAGGTTAGCCGCGCACGCGACGGGCGAACATCGAGAGTTTCCCCGCGAAGCTTTACTTGACTTCTTCCTCCTCATGTGATTGAATTTATTGTTATTATACAAGCCAAATCTCTCTTAATCATCTGGAGTCTCATGTAGATATTATTTGAAGCGGGAAGGGTTTACATGCTTTGATCCCTCCCTGCAGACTGACTACAACACCCCCCCCCCCCCGGTCCCTTTCATCCCCTTCACGGTCGGAGCGCCAGCCACGCGCCTCCCTTCAATCTTGCGCGACTTCCCGTGGTCTGCCCAGTAATCCCGAGGCCGAGAGGATTCCCAGCATAGGTGCAGTTCCCCACATGCTTTTACTCTTTTGTTTGATATACTGAATCTGTCATGCCATTGGCCTGGACGGCTACAATTCGACTTCAAACTGACATCTTTTCTCGTTAAGCTGCCTTTAACAGGTCTGGTACCTGGGCTGGACACCCTACACACGCAGTAACCTGGACACAATGGCTTCCAACAACCACCACCCACCGCGCCCGACCCTGCAGATGTCCTACTCGCAGAGCAGCATGGGCTCGGCCAACGGCATGACTTTTTCACAGTCGCACATGGGCTCGTTCAACGCTTCTCAATCTGTAGCCTCCACCCCCCGAGCTACTCCGCCTCCGAAAGCCTCACACCAGTCGACCATGTCTTATAGCTACGCCAATGGATTGCCCAATGGACCTAGGGGTAGTTTCAGTACCTTTGAAGACATGCATGGTTATGGCACTGTTTATGAAGAATTCAAACCGCAGATTTACAAGGTTAGTCTCTCGGCGCATCTACCCAGGTCAACTACTTCCTAAAGCCGCTAATATACGCTTGCCCTTTCCTACAGGCTGTCTACTCTAATGTCGCCGTCTACGAAATGGAGGTGAATGGGGTTGCTGTGATGAAACGCCGCACCGACTCTTGGCTCAACGCCACTCAGATTCTGAAGGTTGCAGGCGTTGTCAAGGCCAGACGGACGAAAACACTGGAGAAAGAAATCGCGGCTGGCGAGCACGAAAAAGTACAGGGTGGCTACGGCAAATATCAAGGGACTTGGGTGAATTACCAGAGAGGTGTGGAGCTGTGCCGCGAATACCATGTTGAGGAAATGTTGAGACCGCTTCTGGAATATGATCAGGGCCCCAATGGAACGACCGGGAATGCACAAGACTCCTTGGACACTCCGACGAAGGAGCAGGCAATGGCTGCCCAAAGGAAACGCCTCTATAACCACATGGACAACCGTGGTATGTCCCAGCCGCAGCAGGGCACCTTCTTCCAGAACATTTCTCGCACTGCTGCTACTGCGGTCAATGCTATGAGCAAAGCCCGCTTCGACTCACCGGCCGCACGTGGTGTTGACGGAAGGAAGTCGAATGCTATGCGAAAACCCTCACAGCAGCTAAGCAGTCAAGATACTCTCCCATTCAACAGCCAACAGAGCATGTACAGTGTTGCATCTGACAGCGGCTTCGCAAGCAATGTTCAAAGCAATGGTCGGTATCCAGGGAACGTTGGCTCAGGCTTCGAGTTTGAGGAGTCGAACGAACCTCCTCGCAAACGCATGAGATCTGCTTCCAACCATGCGCCACCTTTCGGACTTCCCTATGAACAATCAACTTTGTCGATGAACGAACCAACTCCCACTGAACCCAACGACTCATTCTACCAGGACATGGATGTTTCCAATTCCATGGTCGATGGCACAAAGCGTGGATTTGAGCCTCTGCAACCTGCCACTACTCCCGAGAGATTCCAGAAGATGAAGCTTATCATGACGTTGTTCTTGGACAAGAGGACGAAGGACTTTTCGAAGCATCCTGCCTTGATGCAACTATCCGGAGAAGACCTGGAAATCCCGTTGGACGAATACCGTAACAATGCACTTCATTGGGCAGCAATGCTTGCTCGCATGCCACTTGTGTATGCACTCGTGGAGAAAGGCGTCAACATCTTCCGGCTGAACGGGGCAGGTGAAACGGCCTTACAAAAATCAGTTGGAACGAGGAACAATCTCGACTATCGGAGTTTTCCACGTCTACTACAGGTGTTGGCCCCCACCATTGACATGGTTGATTATAGTGGGCGAACAGTACTACATCACATTGCCGTGATGGCGGCAACTGGCGGCGGGGGCCATGTGTCGGCGAAACACTATCTAGAGGCTCTTTTGGAATTCATTGTTCGCCACGGTGGTTCTTCATCGAATCAGCTAGGGCATGCTGGTGTCGTGGAGAATGGGCAAACCCTACCGCAAGCCGGGGAGGTCATAACGCTGGGTCGGTTCATATCCGAGATTGTTAACCTTCGAGATGATCAAGGAGACACTGCGCTTAATCTGGCGGGACGCGCACGCTCCGTCCTTGTACCCCAGCTTCTGGAAGTCGGCGCAGATCCTCATATACCAAACCATACCGGTCTGCGACCGGCCGATTATGGAGTGGGTGTGGATATGGTTGATGGCAATGGCCAATCCCAACAAGCCGGGAATAGGAATGACTCTTTCATGGACCAATTGGCCAAAACCAAGAAAGAGATTCTAGACTGTAAGAGCTCGACCGCATTGTTTATAGGATTACTTGGCTGACAGACTTTTAGCGACATTGGCGCAGATCACTTCATTGGTGCACGAGACGCTAGGCGGCATTGATAGGGATCTGGCTTCCAGCTTGACAAAGAAGCAAGAAAAGTTCGACCACTGGCATGCTAAGATTCGCGAGTCGGCTAAAGCCCGACAGATTGAACAGAAGCACCTGGACGACCTGAAGAGTAGAGCTTCAGAGCGCATTGAACTTAGCCGTCGATGCAAGAACCTTGAAAAGTCGTCGGAAGACCTCCTTACTAAACTGAAAGAGACAGAGGGAGGATCATTTGATCTGTCCAAGAAGTACTTGCTTGGTGATGCCGACAAAGAGTTCGGACTAGATATTGCTGCGTTCGAAGCGATCTTCCCTGACAACTTTGATCCAAGTTCTGGGTTCTCCGAGCAGCAAGCTGCTTTTCTTCGCTCGTTTCCACCTGCAGAAAGCATACAGCAACGAATAGAGGGATACCACAAGTTCAACGATAACATACTGGAAGAGGTGGAGCGCCTTAGATCCAAGAACGTCGTTCTAGGACAAAACTACCGTCGAGTGGTCATGGCTTGCACCGACTGGACTGCCGAGCAAGTAGATGAAGCGGTGGAAGGGCTCACGCAATGCGTCAAGGACCTCAACGACAATCCAGTTCCTGAGGATGAAGCTATTGAGATCCTGATGAAGGACCGAGGTCAAGACTGGTGATCTTGTCCTCTGATGGCCTTCCATTCGAACGTCAAGAGTACACACATCACATTTTTCTTTTTCTTTCCCTCCCTAGACATCCATTGGCACTAGCGGCTGTTTTCAGATTTTCTACCCATTCTTGTCTATTTGTTCATGCCTGGTCGGAGTCCGGCCAGACAAAAGGAAGCATTGTTCATGTGAATGGACTACGGTGTTTGAGCATATTTGATCAGATGTTTTTCAAGTATTGATGTCTGTGCTTGCAGATACCCTTAGGGCACATGTACTGGATTTTAACGGCTAATATGATTGTGACATCTACATCTCCCGTGAACCCTTGCAGGATGGCTTTTGGCAAGTCAGCAGGCTCAAGCGATGCCAAGCTGAATTTAAGCGGCTGCGTTGGCTTCGATAAATATCTGGTGAACTGGTAGTGTTACCAATCGGCAAGAGTATCCAATTGACGGAATCATCGTAACCTTGGCTTCTCGAGGGTTTTCGGTTCGCATAGCCTAAAGTGCTTCATTTACCCGACTTTGAGCCACCAAGCCCCCAGGATCCCCGGACTACGAACAATCCACCCCGCCTTTTTTGGGGTATTTGAAGCAGGAAACTTCGGCCTTCGAGCTTGTCGGTGCTAATACCTCACATCTGCAAACGGTCCGGAGACTTGCACTCCAAGATTGCCACATCCTCGGACAGAGCCATCGTTGTTATCCTCGTTCTATCTCGTATAAGTCACAGCTAGCCGATCTACAGGATGTCAGCTGGAATCCTCAAGGTCAAAGGCAATCAGGTGGTAGACAACAATGGCGATGAGGTGCTCCTCCGTGGCGCTGCCATAGGTGGATGGGCCAAGTACGTCCAACTCCCGATTCAACAGAGCCACTACTGTCTGACCCCCCGTCTAGCATGGAGAATTTCATCACAGGTTTTCCGGGCCATGAGTCCCAGCACCGCGCTGCCATGCGAAAAGTCCTGGGCCCCGAGAAGTACGAGTTCTTCTTCGACCGATGGCTGGAGTACTTCTTCACTGAAGCCGATGCCAAATTCTACGCGGAGCTGGGATTGAACTGTCTGCGCATCCCTTTCAACTTCCGTCACTTGGAGGATGATATGAACCCACGAGTCTTGAAAGAAAGCGGCTTCAAACATTTGGACCGGGTCATTGATCTTGTAAGTTATGGGATCTCGGCCGTTCCCTTGGCCACATGTAGAGAGTGTGTAGGAGGGCTGACTGACGAGTGTGTTTCTGCGCTGGACGACAGTGTGCCAAAGAGAAGATCTACACGATTCTCGACATGCACACTACTCCTGGCGGACAGAATCCCGACTGGCACGCGGATAATCCCACCAGCTACGCCGCGTTTTGGGACTACAAAGACCACCAGGATCGGACGGTGTGGCTATGGGAGCAGATCGCGGCGAGATATAAGGCCAACCCGTGGGTTGCTGGGTACAACCCCCTCAATGAGCCCTGCGATCCGGAGCATGTTCGCCTCCCGGCGTTCTACGAGAGGATCGAGAAGGCGATTCGGCAGGTCGATCCGGA